GGAGAGAACCAATCCTGCCGATGCTGTGGAGAGACACACCGGCGTTACTGCTGGCATCGTGATGTGGGGATCCAGAGGGTATGAGTGATTCGGGGAACCCCGACGGCACAGTCTTACCCCTCCTGAGACAGCACCCTGGCACAGTCTTTCAGCAAGACTACGCCCGTCCACACATGGCACGTATGTCTATGGGCTGCCTGTGTCGTGTTGAGGTCCTCCCGTGCCCAGCCAGGTCCCCCAATCGAACACGTGTGGCATCAGCTCGGACGTCAACTCAGATCCAGTGCCAATCTGCAGGATCTCGAGGGCCAGTTACAGCAGCTGTGGGCCGACTTGTCGCAGGAGAGGATACAACGGCTGTTCAACTCCCTTCCGCATCGCCGCATGTATCCTGGTCCATGGAGGTGCCACACCCTACTGACATGGGATCAGCAGTGTGCCCATACTGCCAACTCTGTTGTCCGTTTGGTCTGATATTATAATCATTGCGATACAGTCACATGACCTTTCACTGCGTGCAGATTCATTTCATTTCCACCACTCTGTCTGGGTGCTTAACTTTTTTTGTCACTGAGTGTGTATTAGCTGTTACTAACCCTGCCTTGGCAGCACAGTGGATCAGTTGCCTTTCTCACCATTAGGTGGCAGAAGCGGAGACCTTTCTGAGCAAACTGTCACAGGAGGTGCAGCGGCGGCTGCAGGCCTCTCAGCTGCGCGGACGCAGGATCACACTGAAGGTGATGGTGCGCAAAGCAGGGGCCCCGCTGGAGCCGGCCAAGTTCGGGGGACACGGCATCTGCGACTCGCTGGGCAGGTCCGTGCGGCCGCTACATGCTAACACGTTAGCACGCACCTGCTGACAGCAGAGTGAAGTCACTCAGACACACACGCTGCCATCCAGAGGCACCGCCGAACTTTGGAGATGACCATTCCGCCGGTTTGGTTCCTCTTAAATCCTCTTATTGACTGCTGACATTTCCTGGCGAGCATCGTTATTGAGTTCAGATCTGCACTTTATTGCCTGCTTTTATCCGCGCCGTCTGGGCTGAATTTTAAAAACTGTCATCTGTCATATCACTGTTGCGTAGACCTGAGCACGGTTGCTATGGATACCATTGTCCCCCCCCCCCCCCCCCACCCCCACCCCATAGGACCGTGACTATAGAAAAGCCCACAGGCTGCGCCCAGGTGATCACGGCAGAAGCCATCAGGCTCTTCCAGGCCATGAAGCTGAATGTGACGGACGTGCGGGGAGTGGGCCTCCAGGTCCAGCAGCTGGTCCCCTCCCACTCTGGGCCGCCGGGTTCCCCGGGTCCAGCAGGGGGCGCCGGCCAGCCCCGTCGCTCCATCAGAGACATGCTGCTCGTCCAGAGGCCTCCTCATCCCGACAGGCACAGATCCAGCACAGGTCAGGGGTCTTTCTATAAGGGCAGAGCGGCAGTCTTTGTGTGTATGTTTTAGGTCATGTTCTTGTGTTTTTAGTAGCTGTCGCAACAAGCTGTTTAGCATCATGAAGTTTAAAACCTTTACATCCCATCCACCCCAAGTTTCTGTTTCAGATGCACCTGCTCCAGACAGTCCATTAGACAAAGGCAAGGAGCCTACAGCCACACAACTGGTCCCAGGAGAACCAGCGCCAGGCACCAGCAAGGGGGCGTCCCAACCGCGGCACAACGGAAGTCTGCACACTCCCAGGCATGTAAGGAAGCGCCTGGACCTCAGCATCGAGGTGCCGTCGCCCTCGCAGGTGAGCCCGCCGCCCGTACGCAGGCCGCGGTGATGTGTCCGCCCGTACGCAGGCCGCGGTGATGTGTCCGCCCGTACGCAGGCCGCGGTGATGTGTCCGCCCGTACGCAGGCCCCGGTGATGTGTGTCACACACCTGCAACACAGATACTGTGGCTTTCAGGGTGGAAAGTGTGACTGATAGTCAAACAATAGTTGAATAGTCATGCTGTCACCTTTTAGATCAGAGCTGAGTCAGTCTGCGAAGGTTTTGGCTGTGAATGGCTCTTAAATCCAGTGGCTGAGCCCAGCCCCCCACCTCAGGTCCCACATGATTAAAATTTGCAATTTGTCAGGGGTGGGGTCCCCATGATAAAATTAGCTAGGAGGAGGAATGAAATGGGACAAACAGCTAAATGATTTTAGAAAAATTATGTTTCTGGGGGGCTGAGACAAAAACGAGCCACTTCCATTACATTTAGACTCAGTGTTAGTGGTGAGCCTCCAGTGACCCCCCCCTCCCCCAGGTGGATCGCTCCGTGCTGGAGGCGCTGCCAGCTGAGCTGAGGGAGCAGGTGGAGCGCTCCTGGGGTTGCAGGGAGGAGCAGGCTGCCAGCCCCCCCCCAGCCCCAGCCCCAGCCCCAGCCCCAGCCCCAGCATCTAGCTTCACCCAGTCTACGCGAAGGCTGGTTCTACAGATACCGGGCCAGCAGGGCCAGACAGACCCGAGCGACATCGTGCTGGCCTTGCCGGACTTCTCGCAGGTAGGCGCCCGGCTGCTCCTCACACACTCTGTGTTCGCCTGTCAGGCCTGGCTTGAGGATCCGTCACGCCGCATGCATCACCCCCTCCCCTCAGGTTGATCCGGAGGTGCTCGCTGCCCTCCCCCAGGAGCTCCAAGATGAGCTACGCTCAGCATATAAGCGCAGAGACACAGTGCACCCCCAGGGCACCGTGGGTAAGAAATCCAGCGACCATGCCATTTGGAGCAGAGCTTCGCCCCCTAGTGGTGGGAATGTCAGCGTGTCACTTCATCCCTGCAGTGGAGTCCAGGAACCCGCTTCTGCAGCTGAGGCAGGCGGCTGCGGGACGGGCCAAGCGCCGCTACAAACGGAAGAACATGAGTCCCGCCAAAGGGCATCTCTATGGAAACAGCCCCGCCAAGAGCAGCCCGGCCAAGCCGGTCACGCACCCACACACGGAGGCCCTGAAGGTGGGTGTTTAAGCAGCAGAGCTGGCTGCAGGGGCGTCGTCCAAGCTGCCGGGCTCGTTTGACCTCCGCTTCTCTACCTCAGCTTGAGAACGGGCCCTCAACATCGTCCCTGAACCCAGACATGCAGGAAAAGCTGGTGAAAGTCGAGGCCCGTCCTGGTCCCACGCTGGCTGGAGCCTGCGAATTCCCCGATATCAGGACACTGCTGAAGGAATGGGTCACTACCATCCCAGGTACTGCACCGGGGGGGGGGGGTCATTGCTGGAACCAGACCCAACTTTCTGGTTCTTCTACTGCAGCTGGTTGAGAACAAGTAATATACCGTCATGTGGCGTGACAGTAACCTATTCTGTCGTCTCAGAACCCATGGAAGAAGACATCCTGCAGGTAGTGAAGTACTGCACTGAGCTGGTGGAGGACAAAGACCTGGAGAAGCTCGACCTTGTCATCAAGTACATGAAGAGGTAAGCAGTTACCTTCTGCTGGGCGGGAGGCAGGACTGTCACACTGAAAACTCAACTAATTAAGCCCTCACACAATAGGTCCACTCAGTGTGTTTTAGCAGGATTGTTGAAGGCCTTTTGAAGGTTAGGGCAATTAGTCTCAGTTCATGTCCTTTGTGATGTTGCCCCCTTGTGGCCAGGCTGATGCAGCAGTCCGTGGAGTCGGTGTGGAACATGGCCTTCGACTTCATACTTGACAACGTGCAGGTGGTGATCCAGCAGACGTATGGGAGCACCCTGAAGATCACATAGGACCTCCACTGCCCACCCCCCCTTCCAGTGGCTGGGGTGTGAATGGGCCATGAAAAAGGCTCCACGGTGGAGACCACTGCAGAAAGGTGGTGGGGGACAACAGGAAGATCCCTCAAGTGGAACGATCCATGAAGAGTCATGATTGGACGAGCATCCAGAAGCCCTTTGCTACCAGGTCCATCCTCTCAGCCAATAATGGTCCTAGAGCTTGGAGCTACAGACAGGGGCCTCAGCTGGATGGTGACCTATTGTCTGCACTGTGCTATCATGGTTATAAAACAGACAGAAAAAAAATGCTCTTTCAGGGCATTCGTTCCATAAGTCAGACCCCCTTTTCCCCCCTTTTTCTTTTGCAGAACGAAGTGCCAAAATTTCATTACCAGTGCATGTAAATAATGGTTCACAGGCTCTTGTAGTTCATTATTGTATCTGATAGGAAGTTTGTTCATATGGAAAGTTTTATTGGTTTTTACAGTGCAGCGTAATAAAGAGATGTATTTTAGCTCTGCCCCGTTTATCAGTAGTGCATTTGTTGCGATGGAAGGCGAGAGGATACAGCCCCACTCGGATGTGACGAGGACAGATTGATGTCACCCTCTTGCCCCACTATGGTGCCGAATTAGATTCTGCCCCAACTCCAAAAGACTGGCCCCAGAGATGATCGCCTCAAACCACAAGGCTGCACAGCGACAGACAGGATGGCACACGGCTAACATGCCATGTGGCTCTGTTATTCCCCACCCCCCCCACGCACACACACACTAAAGAACAGGCAGAACCGTGACGGACTGCAGCTCTGCGTTTATAAACTGGCGACGGCGCTGAAGAGAAGGGCTTCAAGCCACTCACAGGACCCTGCATAAACGTTTCTGTGCCTGGAGACCAAATGCTGTGATACCATTTGTATGTTTTCTAAGAGAGATTATTAATAAATGAACCTGGCAAACTTCGCTCTGGAGTGCAGCTGCCTTGTGTTACATAAGAAAAGGGGTTTTTTCCCCCTGCTAAATCCTCTTGTGCATCTATTATACACCTAAACCAGGGGAACGCTTTTGGCAGACAACGGTCAGACACAATTTAATCTGGTCCCCCAGAAAAAACTGTCACTGATAGAATGTGGATCACAGGGAAAAATAATCGTGTACCACCGCTATAACCAATCAAGCGTCTTACCGTCACACAACTTGATGTCGGCCACACTGATGAGAACAGGAAGTGACCTCATACCTTGAGGCTGAGGTTTAAGCACCAACTTGCAGCTTCCAGTCCCTGAACAGCTTCCACAACCAGAGGCAGGACGACAGCAAATATCAGCAACGTCCGCACTTTATTTTCACTGAAATTCTTACAGTTTGGCTTAATTTAATCATTTATCCCCATTCATTTTCAGCCATTTCAAACTGTACAAGCAGGAAAGAGCTGCAGACTGGGGTCATTCCAGAACCTTCTTCTTGTACATGTCAAACGCTGGAGGTGAAGGGAACTTTTCAAATAAATCATCCACTATAAAAACACACCAACAGGCACAAGCCAGTCCAAAGGGGTTTAGGAGCCTGCAAAGAAAGATTGTTTGGGGGGGGGGGCGGCGAGGGGGAAGGTGCTGTGATGATGGAGTTGAGTTACAAAAACGATTACCTGGTCAGAACCTTAAAAAGAAACCAGGACAAGAAGCCAAAAAATCACACTGAAAAGTGGGGCTATCTGTGAAGGCCTGCCCCCCCCACACACACAGACAGCCCCCTCCCCCACTCATCATCTCCGGTCCTCCAGCCCGCCAGGTGGTCAGTGTGAGAATTACAGGGAATGGAGTGGCAGCCTGTAGAGAAATTAAAAGTATACTAAATGAGAACAGGCACGTTGGAAGTATGCAACTGCTGTAAAACATCACTGTAAAACAGTGGAAAATAGTTCGGTTTCTCATAGAAAACGCTTCTTCTTCCCCTTGTCTTTCTGATACGTTGGATTCTGTGCCCCCCCCTCCCCACACTCTGGGATGGGGGGCTTGTGATCATCCGGCCGTGTGTGTGTGTGTGTGTGTGTGTGTGTGGTCGTCTCAAAAGGCTGAGCATAGCTGCTCCTCCCATGCTCAGATGATCTCAAAGGTCTTCTTCAGCTCCATGATCAGTTGCCAGTCAGACTTCTGCATCTCATCCCTAAACCAGTTCTTCAGAGCGTCGATGGACTGCCTGGTGATCTGAGAGACAAACGCACAAAGTGGTTTGGAACGTTTAAGTCAGTTCAAAGGTCAAAATCTCACCAAACTCGTACGCAGATGACTGCAGAAAGAGCGATACCTTGCTGACGATGATGTCGGTTGCTTCAAAGTGCCGCCCAAACATCTTGGGGGACTCGCCAGGGATGGGCTCGATCTTCACACAGATCTCCTGGCCCTTCTTGGCACTATCTACGGCCTTGTGGTTGTTCTCTATGCTGGTGACGATGCCGATGTCCACAAACTGCTCAGACACAAAGACGGACAAAGGCAGGTGTGCGTTCAAGCGTGATGGTAACTGCTGTGGTTGGTGGGGGGGATGTGTCAGGGGGGTGGGGAGAGTAGGCATACCGCTTTGCTGGGCACGCACAGGGGGGTACCCTGTCTGAGCACGCCGGCCTCTATGGTGACACCCATGACGATGGGGTCGCGGGAGTTAAAGATGAACTGGGGCAGGATGCGGAGTTTGCAGGGGAACACCGCTACATTCCTGGGGGGGGATGTTTTTAGTATTAATACTACCATCAATACTCTCAGTATTGCTACTGCAGATAATATGAATATTGATGTGCTAGTACTAATACTCATCATACTAGTGGTTCCTTGATTTTACCATTATCTCAGAAATACCTGAGCTTTAGTAAAGCATCTCTCAGGTGCTTTAATAATCAACCTGCACTTCATGAGTCTTTGCAACCAACCCCCCCAGCCATCCATCTATCCATCCATCCACCCGTGCAACATACTTGAACTCATCCTGCTTCTGTTTCTTGTAGTCCTCTCGGTACTTGGTGAAGGCGTCAAACAGGTGGTAGATAATCTCAGCGCTGAAGATGCGCACCCCTAGGCTGTCAGCCAGCTCCTGGGAGTCTCTCTCGATCTTCACGTCGAAGGCCAGGATCACAGCAAACCTGCGTCAGGAGTAGAGGGTCGGACGAAGCAGCGAACTCATCTAATCGGTTACAGTTCGAACCCATTTGTCTCATAATCACACCACACCAACATAACGGGACCACATTTTTGTCCGCAACATAACCCCCCCGCCCACGCCCCCAGCCCTGGCCGTACTGTGGATCGTGTTCCAGCATGGTGGAAGCCTTCATGACGTCCTTCTTGTGGACAGGGCCGATGTTGATGCCAGCGTACTGAAATCGCACATTTGGCAGCTCTGGTCAGTCTGGGGCTTCTGCCACATGCAATGACATCTGGTGGCCTTTCTGTCACAGACGCGTGTGGGCGCCAGCTTACCGGTACTTTGGACGTCCGCAGGAACTCCAACAGGGCCTCCAGCGAGCCCAGGGTAGACGCCTGCACGTATACTCCCTTCTCCTCCAGCTTGATGGAGCTCAGCGTCTGCTTCAACTCGCGGATCAGCTCGTCCTGCGGCAGGTACGGAGACGGGAGGCATGTGAGGCACAAGAAACAAGGTCGGGGGGGGGGCTGGGGGAGAAGGGTTTGCATGGTGACCGTACCCGTAGCACGGGGATCTCGTCCTCCTTATAGGCCACCAGCAGGGGGAGCCCAGCCAGGGTCTTCTCCAGGTCCTTCCCCAGGATCTTTACCCCCTGGGCTGTGGACACCGCCTTGTGCTTCTCGTACTGGTTCTGTCAGGGCACATGGGCACACACGCCACTCACACATTTGCTTCAATTCTGGATTAGTGTCTAAGGGTCTTAGAGGAGCAGAACTTCCCGAATGCCGTTACCTTGACACGCAGCTCCTTGAGGGGTGGGGGCACCAGAAGCCCTCGGATTTGGGTAACAATAGGACCTTCCACACCCGGGACAAGGATGGTCTCACCCTCACAGAGTGTCCCGTTAATGAGGATGACATCTATAGTGGTTCCCATGCCTGGGAGTGCCTTTACCTGGGGGGGGGGCAAGACGTATGATGAAATACATAAAAATAAACACATACGTATACTGCGGGCCTACCCGCCCGGCCTCGGTGCTCCAGCCCAGAAGCTCACCTCCATGACCTGGGCCCGGAGCTCATCGCAATGAGCCAGTCGGCGAGCTAGCATGCTCTGGGTCAGGTCCACCAACAGGGAGATCAGGTTGCCCATGCCGTCACCGGAGTGGGCCGACGTGGGGACCAGGGACACGAATGTGCGGGGGTCTTTGTTCTCGTAAAAGAGCGCAGCGTTCAGGCCCTGAGACGGAGAGGACACCTCAGAGACAGAACTGGCAGAAGACAAACCACATCAGCGACAGCCACAAATCCAAGGAAAGGCATTCGAACTTAAAACTGAACTTCATCCGATGTTCAGATTCTCTTGAGTATGATAAACCCACAGGCCGAGGGTTCCCCGGGTTCTACGGAGCCCACGGGCCAAGGGTTCCCCAGGTTCTACAGACCTGCTGAGCAAACTCAACAATCACAGCCTTGGCTCGTTCGTCAAATTCATCTTTGGTGTTCTTCTTCTGCTTCTTCAGTGTGGTCACTACGTCCGTTTCAGGACTCTTCTTCCAGTCGTACAGACGGTCAATCTTCAGGGATAAAACAAGGTCAAGACGGCTCCACAACACTGTTGAACCAGCACCCAGTTCACTCCAGGTCCACCCACCTTGTTCAGGGCCACGATGAAGGGACACTTCTTCTCCTTGAGCAGGTTAATGGACTCCAGGGTCTGGGGCTCCAGTCCATGCATGATGTCCACCACCAAGATGGCGATGTCACACAGAGAGCTACCCCGGTTTCTCAAATTACTGCAGGGAACGAGAGCAGCTCCGTCAGACAGCAACACATACCTGTACTTACGAGGACTTCCATGCAAACATTATTTTAAAGAAACGTTTGATCCAACCCACTGGAACTCAGATGGAAATGGAACACAGGGCAACCCCACCCCCACCCCCGCAACCCCACCCCCTTATTCCAGGAAAACGAGTCTTCACCTAATCACACTCACCTGAAGGATTCGTGTCCTGGTGTGTCGATAATGAGCATCCCCGGGATCTTGATGTTCTCCCGGTCAAACTGCGCAGACAGAACCATGTTAGAGGCTGTGTGTGTGTGTGTGTGTGTGTGTAATACATGTATATATATTCAGTTGTAGTGACATATTATTCTGATGTCGTGGGGACCACTCTTTTGCACATTAACCAATCGTATAATCAGCTTGTCCCTGATGATTGAGTATGGCTGCCCTATCCCACCTTCTGATTGGCTGATTTATAATTCTTAGTAACCCACAAATTTGCCTATTCCTGGTTGTCAAAACAGTCAGTTGGACGATGGCAAGCAGGCAGCATCTGTGTGTGTGTGTGTGTTCTTACATTCTTCACCATCTTGGTCTGCTCGATGACGGTCTCCTGGGGAACATTGGTTGCCCCAATCTGCTGTGTGATGCCACCAGCTTCCCCGTCCTGGACATGCGTGTGCCGCAGCTGATGCAGAGAGAGGGCAGGGTTAGCCCCACACATGCACACACGAGGGACTCAAGCCCCCATATCCCAAGGAGACGGACCTTATCGAGGATTTTGGTCTTCCCTGTATCCACATGCCCCAGCACACAGACCACTGGGGCTCGGAGCTTCTCCAGGTTGATGTTCTTCAGGTTTTCCTGTCTCCGTTTCTGAAAAACCACAAAGTACACTTGAGGGGGGGGATCACTAGTTTCTGAACAGTAGGCTAAATCTGTTTGTATACTGTGGATAGCACCATGTAAGGCATCCTGCTGTTTACATTTCATGTGTCATACTACCTCCCACTCACTAGAGGGCGTGCTATACCTCAATGCGCCGTTTGGCCCTGTCGTACAGCCTCTCCTCCTTGGTGCGACCATCATCCGAGTCGCTCTCACTGCTGGACTCGGAGCTAGCCTCTCGCCCACTCTTCTTCTTACTGGGTGGTTCTTGCTTCCCATCATCCTCTTCCTCACTCTCTTCTTCATCGTCGTCCTCCTCTTCTTCCTCGTCATCATCCTCCTCTTCCTCGTCATCATCCTCGTCGTCTTCCTCCTCCTCGCTGCCCTCATCTTCCTCTTCAGGCTGGCTCTTTTTCTGTGAAGTCTCCTTTACTTCAATGTGGACCTTTTTCATCTCTGGTGAGAAGACCACCGAGGCATATAGTTTATCTATGCCTGACTTTAAATGCTTTTTCGTCCAGTGTTTTCTGTTGGCTTAATTTTCCACTCGCAAATACAAATACTTTGGAATTAACATTAACAAATATACAAGCAACTCAAGCATAAAATCCATCACAGCCTCCTTGACTTTCCAAGTCCAATTAAACAGATCAAAGTTTACTCCAAAATTCTCTGGATATTCTCTTAAAACACACATGCCCAGATCTACAGCCAGCCACGGTGGGGTGGCCATAGATTAGGTTTTCTCCATTCCACATGCAGATAATGGTCTCCACAGCAACATAAAGAATGGAAAGCACAGGACACCAACATACCCTTCTCCTCATCGCTGGCCATCGCCTCCCAGTCATCCAGGTCAGCTATCTCTGGTTTCTCCTCTTTTACTGTAGAGAAGAGAGATGCTGACCTGTGGTGCAAAAGCTCACACCAAACCAACACCAAAGGAAATGCAATCTTTTCTCCTGCTTTTCAGAATCAGACGAGACCTACCTGTCTCCTCTGTGTGCGCATCTACCTCCATGTGAGCGCAAATCGGTTCGGCCATTTCAGATGTGGGAGAGGCAAGGTCAGCGGCTTCTGGGGCTTCTATGTAAAGGAGTGAGATTGGAGACAACACATAAAATACAACAAGCAGAAGGACAGACGGCCTGAACTTGTCTCGCCAAACGTCCTGAACTTGTCTCGCCAAACGTCCTGTAGCGGCCGAGACAGACTCACCATCTGGGGTCTGTGCCGTCGTCTTCTTCTTCTTCCTTTTGTCCGAGTAGACGGGCCTCTTCTTTGCCACAGCGTCCTTAGACGGAACGTCTACTCCTGCAAAGCGATGGCATAATGTCGCTAGGTCAAAATCTCGTCATTCTGCCAGATGCCCAATTACAACTAGCACCCGAAAGTACCGACTGGTCCACTCCACACCCGAAAATGATCCCAAAATGATCTGCCCTAACCCTAACCCCTTGTACGCTACTTACATGTAGCCAACCTACAATGGACCAATTCATCCTTCCTACTTGCTGGTTTGCCAGCACATCCAGAACCCTCCCATTTCAGCTCCTTAACCCCATGAATCTCCTGTACTCTACCCAGCCAGCACCCCACTCTGCCCCCAGGTGCCCTGCTTGCCCCAGGATGCCCACCCTGTGCCTGCAGCAGTTTGAGCGTGACCTCTGCTCTGGCTCGGGCCTCCTTCTGGGCCTTAGTCAGCAGCTTGCCCTCCTTCTTCAGACGTTCTTTCCTTTCCTTCTCCTTCTGTTTCTTCTTCTCCTTCCGTTCCTGATCCAATCGTTCCTGAAAGACAACAACTTGACTTTAGCACCGCTGATTATTCTGTAGGCATTAAACCTTGGGTTATGCAACTATTGGCCAGGTCTAACACACAATTCTCCCTCTAGCCCAACCAGCCCCTCCTCCCGCTGGCCCAACCAGCCCCTCCTCCCGCTGGCCCAACCAGCCCCTCCTCCCGATGGCCCAACCAACCCATTCTCCTGCTTGCTTACCTGCTCCTGTCTCTTGGCTTCCTGTTCCTCCAGCCATCGTTGTCGTGCTGCCTCCTCTTGCCTTGCCCGCTCCTCTTCCTCTTTCAAGCGAGCCAGTGCCTCCTGCATGGCTTTCACCGTCGCCTTGCTGGGCCCCTTCTTCTTCTCCTCCTTCTCCCCTTTCTTTTTCTTCTTGTCTTTCTTTTTCTTGTCCCCTTCGCCCTCCTCTGAAGCACATGAGATGCAGCACATCAACACCTGGTTCTCATCAACACACAGACAGTACGAAGCTTACACAAGCCTGCGTGAAATTCATGAAGGGAGCTCACCCTCATCTACTCTGTCCTGCTCCTCGGCCACGGCTGACTCCTGACTCTTCGCCTCCGCTGTCACCGGGCCTGTCGGCTCCTTCTTCTTGGGGACATCTTTCTTTGATGTCACTTCTGTGGCCGACTCCTCTTTCTCCTCAGGCTTCTCCTTCTTCTGTTTCTTCACCTTGGCCCGCTCTTCCTCCTTTTTCTTGCGCTCTCTCTCCTTCTTCTCTGCCTTCTTCTGGGCAGCTGTTTTCATCTTGAATGTACCGTCGTCTTCATCGCTGGCGTCTTCTTCACCTCCGCCCGTCGGCTTAACCTTCCCTTTCTGGTTCTTTTGGACTTGGGGCCGCTGTCGAGACTGGGACGAGTCATCGTCCGAATCGTCGTCACCTCCGTCTCCTCCTTTCTGATCACTTCTACCGTCGTCATCTTGAGAGGGGTCCCTCCCGGCCCCCTTCGCGTTCTTCCCCGGCTTTGAGTCCTCATTCTCAGAATCTGAAGCAGCAGAGGCGGCAGAAGCCGCTGTCGCTCGACCTTGCTGGTCACCTCCATTCCCCATGTCACCCTGACCCGCAGCTTCCTGACCACCCTCCTCGTCAACGCTGGCCCTTTTCCCTTTCCGCATCTTCTTATCAGCCTTGCTAGGTACCGGCTCAGCTTCCGCATCGTCTGTGGCATCGGGTTTCTGCTGATAGAGTGGGATGAGTCATTCTACAGAGCTGAACCCACAAGAAAAAACAAATCCACCACGGAGTTAGACCATAAACGTTAAATTGCAGCCGAAATACTTTGACTAATGCTGATGTATTCTGAAAGCTCCAAACACACCTTGTAAGGTTCAGTCTCACAATTCAGTCCCACATTAGGGATAACTGACACAATGATAGTAACCTGGAAATGCCATGTTGGGACTTGGAGACATACTTTGCCTGAAGCTGCGTCTTTGCTGGACTTTCCTCCTTGGTTTTCTAAAGTCAGCTCCTCGAGCTCCCTCAGAATGTCCTCTTCGCTGGAGAACAGAGGAGAAAAAGAGCCTTGGATGACCAACACGCCCACACTCCTCCGAGTTTAGTGCCTTGACCAGAAAGCAAGTGAGGTGTGGCCTACTCAAAGTCCTCCTTCTTCCCAGGCTTCTTCTTCTTCACTTTGGCCTTGGCCTGCTCCTTTGTGGTACCAGCACCTTCTATCTCAGCGGCAAGGGCGTCTATGTCGATCTCGCCGTCTTTGGCACTGAAAAACATGACACATTTCGTTGACTATAAGCCAAAAACAAAACTTTTTTTTATTTTTCATTGGAGCCATTGAGGACTAATAATCAGTCCCTCGTGATTAATTGGAACGACAACATACACACAAAAACAAAAAAAACACACACAAAAAATTTACATGTAAATTCACTGACCCACATAGACCAACTGTATACTGCATTATTCATGTGTAACTGGTTTAACTCGAAAAGCACAAACATGAATAGGGAGAAGCTATACCCAATACTTCTTATGGGGAAAATTATAATTAATTCCAAGTCAATGTAAAGAACATCATTTACTATCCCTAAAACATCTCTAGCAATTAAAAAATAGTGATATGGATTTGTATTTATACATCATATAAAAGTCATTTTTTGCAGTTGCATACAATTCTTAGTAGCAGCAACACAGATTTAACAGTTATATTTACATTAAAAATGAAAACACAAAAACTGTTACTGCAATTAGCTACAAGGCTCATCTGTGTGACTGGTACTTCAAACTCAGGAAATTTTGAATTTCAACACACTCTGACTGCATTTCTTCACTCAGAAATCTAATGCTGGTACCAATGATGCGGGAACTCAAACATGTCCACCAGACTGTGTTTACATAAAGAGCCACTCTTCAGGCTTTTGATTATCTGAACTGGGATCAGATCAGCTGAAAAACCTAACCTAAACTAATCGTGACGACAACCTTGTATGACCTAATTAGACCCACGAGGGGTGTCTCAAAAGCATGGAAGCCCCTCCCACCCCACCTGCTACGCATGCCGGTTGGCTCAGGCTACAAGTCTAATCATCCAACCCCGTCCCCTCCTTGGCTGTGGGCCACGCCCAGAAAACAGGCTGCAGAGGTAGGGTTACATTCCAAATTGAACCCTTATGCTTCCTTCCATTTCTGACCTCATTTAGGCAGCAGTTACCACCGTTACTCAGTCAGCAGTACGAAGGGACCTGTAATCTCAGAACATGTTGCAATTTCCCAGAGCCTAGACCACACACAACTTTACGAACAACATGCCCAGACTGCGTTACACCTCTTCACAGAGAGAAAGGCAGGGAACGGAAAGGGCCAGCGGGCGGCCGCTATCGTGGCATTTCAAGGCTTTGGGAAACGTCGGTATGATAGGACTCCACATGCCCAGCACTGGAAAAGCCAAGGAGAATAATGTGACAGACGAGAAACCTGGAAGGTGCGTGCAGACAGGTAAAGATCATGCAGGGCTTACCTGAGGATGATCCAGACATGCGACTGAAATCCCCAACCCGACAGGCTTTTATAAAAGGCAGGATGGATGCCTATTGCAAGCCTGTTGCATCAGCAGCTGGAGCCAATGGCAATGCAGAATTCCATCCGCACAGCCATAAAAAGTGGATGATGAAACCAGCATTGACCAATTAACAGGGATGGTGGCAGGTTAAACACTAGGTCAAAGTTACCAAAATCTTTAAAAAAAAAAAAAAAAAAAAAAAAAAAAAAAAAAAAAAAAAGGGGGGGGGGGGGGGGGGGGGGAATTCCTGTTCCTTTTATAAATGTTATATGGGATATGAGGAACTACCTTCTCAACAGAGATTTTGACAACAACCTTATATGACCCAATTACAACCATTAAAGGGCAGAAACACTGAAACTTTGCCTTATTAATTTTTTTCAAAAAAATCACAAAGGATTTGACACACAAAAGGGTTAGAAGAAAAAAGTCGAGTCAGTGATCCTCGACGTTTTAGACGTTTTTTCAGCAGTGTTGGCTGGCCCATTTCAGAATAGATACCCCTTGCTCTGCCCATCACGGCGTGGGTGTCACCATGGCAACAGACCAGAGCGCTTCAAAATAATCAAATAACAGCTCAGTGATCCCAGCAACTGCTTCCTCCTTCTGAATCCATTGAGTATCTAGCTACTAAAGTTGGTTCCTAAGAAATTCAATAATCAGAGAGAGTGGCACTGGTCATGTCTTTGGATCCGGATGGTGGGGGGGGAAACATCCTGAAGTTCAACACAGCTCATTCAGCATAAGCCACATGTGGGCTTGGGGATAGCCTTTAAACCCCCCCCACCGAATATCACAATCACATGGTCTGACAATTCGGACATCACAAAACGTTAGGCAACCAGAACGTTAATCTCAGACTTTGCATAACAAAGAAAGCAACCAGTAACAGGAAATGAACCCTCAAGCCAAAGATAATTAAGCATCCACCTTCAAAGCACTTTTCCTAGTGAGAGCCGTGGTACACGGACAATTACACACCACAATCGCAATAAACAGAATAACTATGTAATGTGACAGGGAGACAAAAACATTAATTATTTGGTAAAAACTGATGTGCAGAAGTAGATCAGGGAACAAAGCTGTTTACAAAATAGCATGCCATGGAAATGAAGGGGATATCAGAATAGACAACACAGAGAACACTTTCTCCGACAACTATAAAAGCTACTTTTAAAAGTGTGTGGCAGATATCAGGTAACATTACACATTAATTGTCATACATGTGCACAGCTTTTGCATTACATGTTAGGAGCTTGCTGGGCTTGTAAATCACAACAGGCACTGAGAATACCTTACTGGGCTTGTTCTACTGGGATCCTGAACTGATACAGAGAAGTCTACATATTGAAAAATAAACTGGAAATGGCAACGAATAACGGGGCCACACAGAATTCAAATCAGCAGTTTTCTGGTTACAAATACATGACCTCACTCATTACCCTTTCTAGCATTATTGAGTACCACACTCTGAACCATAAAACCTGACATCAGGTTTTATTCTGATGCCAAATAAAGACACCAAACTTTTCAAGGGATTTTCTTTAATGGAGATTGAGATATGGCTACCAGGGTGCCCCCTCACTTTCATTTCCACAGTGGGTTTCTGCTGTTGACTATGGGATTTCGCTACGAATCTCCAGCTTTATTTCAGTACCTAGTTCAGTGGCGTTTTCGGATGCTTCTGTGAGAAAACAGAGGATGAAACTGATAAGTTTGGCGGAACCACTGAAGGCAAAAGGCACAGGCTGGCAAAAAGAGTAAGAAATTATGTCCATTAAAAAAACTATTAAACGTGTCATTTCTGCAGAGGGAAATTAGAAGCATTTTGGCCCGTATTTACTGGAGATTTACTGGTATTGGAGAATACCTCCCTTCAAACTTCATAAAATATCGAAGCCTCACCATGTCTGACCCTCATTTAAATGGCAGCTTGCAAAAGTAACGGAACACAAGAAGCGCAAAAAGATGACGGTTTATTACAAGATAATATCGCAAAACTTGAAGCGGACCAACACGCAACACACAAAACAGCAACCTGGAAAACGGCAGTGAGAAACCCATAGGAGAGGTGGGAGAGAATAATAAGCGTCTGTGAGAGAATGACACGGAGTAACAGCTTTGGAGCGGCCGCTGAGACTTAGGGATGGCCAGTCTCGAAGACGACGAGCGATACCTTCGGCGAGGGACAATGACACGGAGCCCAAAAGAAGTTTCGTGGAGGGACAGGTTGTACGTATCCCCCCCTGGTGTGATAACACGGGACTGGAACAGCATTCAAGGACCTGCCTGCCGTGCCGTTACTCCACGGACGGGTATGAGTTAAGATTTATCATCTAATCTCGGTTTACCGTACCAAGCGCCACAGGCAAATAAACACTCAGCTGATGAGCAAAAGAGCCTCTCGGAATGAAAAAAAGCAGACCACCCCCTGGCACGGACAATGACAGAAACATTTATTCGGTTTGCAGGCCTCGCAAACTGAACTAGATAACGTTAGCTAGCCGCTAGCTACCAGATGTTACACCTGCCCGCTTTTTATCATCTCCCCTATCCACGCTGTTAACCTAACACGGTCTATAACAATCATCGTAGGAAAAGCCATATACCTGTCCTCGGCGGATTTTTTCTGCTTCTTTCCCATTGTCCCCGCGTTGTAAATTCAATAACCAAATACTCCCCTTCGTCTCTCCCAGCCGCCGCTCGCACATCAGCAGCGCATATGGTCGCCGTTGTGAAATGCGCACGCGCTGCTTCCAGTGCGAATCGGCGCACAAAAGTGACGCTTGCGATAGTAGCGGATCTGTAGGCTGAAACTCGTATGCTTTCAGAAGGTATGTCACAAGCAATGCAAATAATGTACAGTGTTCTTATATTGTAATGCTGAGATTGTGTATGAAGTATCAAATCATACTGAGAGTTATTACAAATTCAGCCACATTGTTTGTAGTCCTCCATTGCTTTAGGACTACAAGTACCAGCATATATGTACAATCAGTAAAACATTTAAACATTAACAAGTGTTTTATTAGGACCGAAATACATATGATGATGTACAAAATAATAAATAAATGCATTATTTGTATGCATAGTATACATTCCTAACAACAATAGTGACTGGTACAATGAAAGATGGTCGCTTAAGAATGACTTCAACCTCATGGTTCGCGACCATCTGCGTACGAAGGGAGGGAGGGGCGTTCCTAATTTTTGTATATTTCTAGTTAATTTTAGTCAAGTCAAAAGGACTTTATTGTCGTGCCTTTCATACACAAGTATACAGTGGTACGAGGCACCGTTTTCCCAGGACCACAGTGCAACAGAAGACACATGGGGGCAGTATGCACACAATTACAGGAGTAAAGTGCAGATTAAGAACGCGAATATTCAAACGATTTAGCACAATTATTCAAAGTTACTATTGTGCAAATTCTGAGCAAACAGTTTCGTGAGTTTTCTCTTATAATAATTTTAATAGCGAGTTAATTATCTAAAAGCTACGTCGCTGGAGCTGACGTTAGCAAAATAACTGACGGTAAATGCTCTCACTGCTCCTTAAACCTTCACCTGATCCTCACCTTTGGCAGAAAGTTGTCGGTGAGTCATTTATTTGCTGCTATATGTCATGATAATGGTGGTAGTTCCATAAATAATCCCGTCATAATATATTACATTCTCGTGTCGGCTTGTAGTGTTTATACAGTACTATAAATTCATTTGGCATCAGGATTATAAAACAATTAATTTATTTTCTGCTGTTAGAGCATTTAAGTTTTTTTATTATTGTTATTTAAATGTTGTTGCTTAGCTTCGAAAAATTTTCCCTAATTTGAATGTTTCACTATGGCAAGTCAGGTTGAATATCATGCAGAAGTTGCAGGGTGAGGTAATGACCAGTGGACATAGTAGCCCAGGTCCCGGAGCAGCGGTGACTGGAAGCCCTCACGGAAGCAGGTGAAGCAGGTGGGTGGTGCAAGGGTTGTATGCTCCTGCTGTGGTGCTTGTTTATAGCTTGTGGGAGTTTTACTTACAAAAAAATGTTCTGTGAGAAGGCCAAGAAAATTATTAATTCAGAGAGATAACCAACCTGATTGTAGAGGAGGTGGGTCCAAGCAACTAGAAGGGGCAGGACCGAGACATCTGATTGGTTGGACCCACCTCCTCCACAATCTGATTGGTTATCTCTCTGAACCAATCATTTTTCATTCTGCCCTCAGAACATTTTTGTATATTTAAAACTCCTATGAGCTTGTTTAAACTTGATGGGGCAGTGTGATTTGACAGTCATCCTTCAGTGTATCTGGTACCTTAGAAATGGCTCTCAAAAGGCCATGGTGAGTACAGGGAGATTCCCAGTGGGAGGGACTTCTACTCTGAGGTGAAAGTAGGAATGTGGTCTGCCATTTTTACAGGGACGCCACCTTCAGGTGAAGTCGTGCAATGTGCCTACACCAGACCTTAACATAAACACACCAACAGCCGGCGTTCAAATGAACTACCCACATGTCTTATTTGTTCACCCACAAAGGTGTAAAATTTCAGACAGGCATCTTTCCATTCTGTCTAAGAAACACCTGGAGACAAAGTTCATTAAGCTTAACGGCACCCTTCCTAGCCGAGGGGCTGCGCATCTGAGTAGTACCCACCATGGCACTGGTCAAGGATGGGAAAAGCAAAGGCTGTGTGGGCTTCACTGACCTGCATGGGGAACAGGGATGAATCCTCTGGAGTGGTGACTTAGCTGCTCGGATCTCTTTAAATACAGGTAATTCTCACAGAAATCCTTTGAACATTAGCAACTGACATTTCTGACAAAAACTGTGTGATTTACACTAACTTTAAAGTGCCACTTACATTTTATGCTTCAGTTTAGATAGACTTGTGCTCAAATTTCTCAAGAATTTAACACGATTTATGCCTCTTTTTTTTTTACTGAAAACGTACTGGAACCTCTGGATCTTGGACAAAAGTCAGGGTCAAAGTTTACCAATGTAGACAAGAAGACTGTGAGCTAACAGTGAACATGCTGTATTACCATAATACTATTACTAATATCCATATATTTATAAAGAATGCCAAAGCCAGCAGGTATATCACACCTGCACTGTCTCCTCACAGTGTGAAGTTCCCTATCATAGTAAGCATATGAACCATCTCAAATGCAGCATGTTTGCTGTACCAGTCAAAAGTCTGTACAAACCTACTTTTAATGCATTTGTCTCTATTTTAGCTGTTATTCACCTTATAGTAAAATGCCTCAAGGCAATGAATTAATGCATATCAAATATTACAACGGCCAAGAGAAATGTTCAACATCTCAAAATTTTCTCAAATTTTAGACTCTTCAAAACAGCCCTGTTGCTGTGATGACAGCATTGCAGACTCTTGGCATTCTTTCAACCAGCTTCCAGATGTTGCCACCTGGAATGCTTCTCCAGCATATGGTTTAGGTCGGGGGGTTGTGGGGGCCAGGTTATCTGTCGCAGTACCCCATCTCTTTCCTTGTTCACAAGATAATACAGTACTTACATAACCTCGAGGTCTGCTTAGGGTCGCTGTTTTGTTGAAAAACGTGCTTTTCTGTAGGTCTGTCCAGACTTTCGACTGGTACTGTACGGGGAACACCTTTGTCTTATTATTGGTGTCGGATACTTCATAAAGGTGTTACATATAGGTTAAACAGTACATCAAGATAACACAGACAAATAGTTAAATATCAGTTTCATTTTCATTTCACAAGAAACATGTAAAAATGCCATCTACTCTACAATCCCCGCCACATCGCGATTTCCGTCAAAATCAGTTCCTTGTGTAATATATATCATAAAATTACAGGACATTATTTTACGAACAATATTATCGTTTAATACTGTCTGAATTATACGTATTCAATTTGAACATCCAACTGTATTAAATATGTGTCAGTTTTAGTCTTTTTAAATGTTGTTAAGATTATTTATTTTTACCGGGCTGTAAAACTCGAAGCGCCAAGGTTTCCGGGGGGACTTTTTATGCGGAGCACATACAACTAACCAGGAAGTCAAACAGTACTTCACTTTATGATCGGTGGGTTTCAGCAGATCTGGAAAACAATAAACAATTAGGCAATAATAATGCTAAACACGACTGTTGTATAGTACCACACTTGTTCTGCAATCAATCAAGCCAGAGATTGAACAATATGTATATTCATATGTATATAACAAGCTATGGAGTGTAGTGCCTGAATGTTTTTAGGAGTACTTTGACTACCATATTTAATTCTCCGATTTCTGTATGCGGTATCCAGCAGTATAAATACTGGTAACTATGACACAAAACAATGTCCCCGGCATGGAGGCGTCCGCTGTTTCCATCCTAAAGAGAGCCGTGGAGCTGGACAATATCGCCCGCTTCCAGGAGTCTATAGTTTGCTACCAAGAAGGAATACAGTTGCTGCTGGACGTGATGAAAGGTATGTTTTAAATATCGAAAGTAAAATTCCCCAACATTATGCTGCTGTTCTTCACGTCCCTCAGAGAGCTATTGTTTTTGGATAACTTAAACCTGTAAGGACTTCTGCAGCGCTCAAGGATGAGTCGAAGAAGGCGCATTACAGGGAGAAGATCAGAGGGTATATGGAGCGAGCAGAACAGATAAAAGCGCATCTGGTCCGAGAGAAAGAAGGTACCATATGTTTTAGAGAAACACGGGCTGTTTTTAGTGCTAATAACTTTTTTCTTATTTGAGAATTAATTTATTGTTGTTTAGTGTAATTGTTCATACAGTATGTACTTTTTCCCACCAGAGGGTAAATATCACGAACAAATAAAAATCACAGGGGATGGCACAGGCTTCAGCTATGAGACACTCTTCAAGCCATACATCAGTGAAACTCTGACAGAGGTGTGGGTGGAAGATCCATACATCAGATACACCCACCAGGTAATCTTTCCATTTACTGCAGGGACCGATTTGTTTGTAGAAATGATAGGATCTTACATGTACTGTATGTGAAACGTAAGCATGCTATGTTTGTTCTTCAGCGTTGCATGCTCGTCTTATTTCAGCTGTACAACTTCCTGCGGTTCTGCGAGATGCTGCAAAAGGCCTCATGCCAAGTGAAGAACATCCACCTCCTGACCACCCAGGACGATGTACGCATTCCCAGACACTGAGCGGCAGAACCACTAGTAACATTGTTACCCATCACCTAAAGTTTCTGGACAATATGTGTGAATCATTTAGATTTTGTACATTTATTTTAAATCTTAATTTTCCGATGGCGCTTGATAGGGTGAGAATTCCTCTCAGCAGCTGAGTGCTCTTGCCGAGATCAGGCAGTCCCTGCAGACTTTTGGAGTGACCCTAGACATTGAGTATTCCTCCACCATTCACGACCGGGAAATCCGGTGAGTCTGTTTTCATGTTCTGTTCATCCTCATTGAAATATGAAATCAAACACTAAGGTCTGGGTCTTCTTTCCTGTTTCATAATAAAGCAGCATTACTGTCCCTGTAAGTGGAAATGTTACTGTTGTTGAGATTTCTGAAATTCTTTACATAAATACGGTCATTTCCACAGATTCAATAATGGGTGGATTATCAAGATTGGAAGAGGACTTGATTACTTTAAGAAACCAAAGGCAAGGCTTGAGCAAGACTTAGCCAACTGTGTTTCTATCTGTTTCTGGTGTAATGAGCATGTTCATTTACTTAAGTATTTTTATTCTAGATTAAAGGAAATAAATATATTTAACACTGGTCTGTCATACCATTTCTAAATTCTTACAGGGCCGATTCACTATTGGATATTGTGACTTTGACCTGAGACAATGTCAGGAGACCACGGTGGATGTCTTCCATACGAAACACACAAGATCATCTTAGCCCCAGGCTGCTATGGCCGTAAAAGCTCTCCGAACTGGACTGTACTTATGGAGGGAGTGAAAGGAAAATATTTGCTTTTCCTGTACAACTGATCTGCCGTTCATGTTGTAGGATTATGCTACTCGAGGGATGGACACTACAATATCAAGAAGAAGTGCCTGCAATATTAACCAAATGCCATGTGTTCAGTGGTGAACACAGGTGGTGTATTTGACCTTAAACTGTCTTAAATTGGTTGTAATATGAAGTAAATGTCCTATATTCAGTCTGTAAACAGCTTTAAATATTACTAGTGGGGCACCCATAATGTATTTCAGACAATGGTTTTATACGTTGGTGACTTAATGTATGAAAAGAAGGGTTGGATAGTACAATAGAAAATAAAGGTTAGTATGTATTTTTCTTTGTATTATATTACATTACAGCAGTAAGCTTGGTACACAAAAAGTTCAGTTTGGCTTGTAGGTCACAGGTCTGGGGATTCGCCCTGGAAACAGCCACAAAAAGTGCTGCAGTGTCACTGGGACAGAACCTACTGCCAACCAGAAGTGTGTTGAACTCCTCACACATGTGAAGGGGGAGCCAAGCTGAAGGAACCTCGAACCTGCACTTCTCTATAATGCCGTACTTCACCTCCATGTTAAGGATGACCTTTGACCTCACTGCCTCATGCGGGATGTCAAAACAAGTGTCAATCGTAAACTTCGGTGTCTTTCCGAACACCCAGTCCCATGTCTGAAGTTCTTGTGTCAGTCTGTGGATACCGGGATGGCGGAGTTCTTCTGTGGGGTTAATCAAAATCAGGGGGCCATTCAACCCAAAATCTCTAATGTAGCGGTTGGCCACGGCATCCATTATGATCTCGCAGTCCAGGGTGGGGTCTTCGTCGGCGAGGTTTTTCACAGGGGAAGGAACACTTGGTGTAGCGTTGCTCTTGATCCCCTGACAGGTGCTCTTTAATACTCCGCTTAGCAAAGACCGGTCCGCTGCGCATAGCAAGGTGCAGTGGTGGTACGCGACTGTCCTGCCCAACCTAGCGGCGCTCCCGGATATTTTAAACTGCTCGTTAAGCAAAATGTCAAACCTCTCCGTAGCGCGTACGTCCAAGGCCGGCCGCAGCTCCGCCAAAGCCGAAGTCACGATGCGCAGGTTTCTCTGTCTGTCGTACTGCTTCTTGGACGTGAAGAAGGTCATGTTGATGTTGCCAAGGTCGTGGTAGACAGCGCCACCGCCGCTGCGCCGCCTGGCCAGCGGGATCCCCTTCTCCCTCATCAGCCCGAGGTGGCACTCTTGCCAGGGGTTCTGGTGCCTCCCGATGACGGCGGCCGGCATGTTCCTCCATAGGAGCAAAAGGCTCCGGCTCTCCAGATCCACGTGCTCCTGTATCCAGTCCTCTAAAGCCAGATTTTCGTATATGTTGGTGGACAGAGACTTGAGGACGGCGCCTGACTGCCAGCTTTCGTCTAAAAGAGCCGAAAACGTACTCCGCTGTCGGATTAACTGCGTTTTCACGTACAGATTGCTACAAGTCCGTATTATCATTGCACGGCAATTAGCAATGTTTAAAGCTCCCTTTACGCGAATTAAGAATCTGCAGTTGAATAGCCGGACCGACACTAAGGCAAGACACATCTACGGTCAAAGATCTGCTTCCCAGTAAGCCGGGTGGCTGTGTTATAATAGCACCACCTAGTGTTTGGAGTGAGAACAGCACACTTTCCATTTGGTCTGTTGTGTTTTAATTTCCATCCATCCATCCATCCAACTTCCATACCCGCTTGTCCTTATTACATATACAGTAACTTTATTCCTTACACTGAATACTTTGATATGTACGCATTTCGGTGATGGTCATTGTTAATGTAAATCAAAATCAAAAAATCAAAAATAACATTTCAGAAAGAACTTGTCTACACACAGTGAACGGGATTAAGAGAAGAGAAAATCTTGAGTGGAACAGAAAACTAAATATCCGCTGCCGGTTGCACACTACTAAGTTTGACTGCTACTTAAGGCGGTAATTTAATTTCCACGTGCTGGGAAGCGTAATTTTCGCTTTCCGCGCCAGACACGTTTCCATGACACTCTCCAAAACAAACCAGCACGAAAGAGCGGGCAGCTGATTGGCTGTGACCCGATTTCCAGCGCGTAACAGCCCAGGTGGCCATCCAATGAGAAAGGCTCACCAAAATCACGTCAGTGTACATGCACTTATATCTGCAGCAAATACGTATGTATTAGTGTGGACATTCACCAGATAGTCCTAATTTTTACGCTCCAGCATATAAATAAGAGTCTGATTTGTAAAACTGATGTAAAGGAGAACAGAAGCTACGCCCATGTTGGATAGAAAGCTGGGCTGTGAGACAAACAGATTCATTGTCCGTATATCCTGTCATAAATTATATAGTGTTTAATGATTATCTAGTATCATTATTAGAGAGGGCTATGTAACAGTACCTTTCAGACTGTTGTCAAAAAGCTTGTTGAAGTGGTGTTATTTGCAGTATATGTATGTTTCAAAAAAGTGATTTTGTGGACAAGCTTTAAGTTTCAGCAAATTGCTGTTACTGCATTGTTTTCCAGTGCCATTACACACTGCTGTGTCTGGTTAGGGTTAGGGCTGCAGGGAGTAGAGGGGTTTGGTTGCCATGCCAACATGCACTGTTTATCAGCACACAGAGAAAAGCCCATTCATTATAGCAAGAAGCTCAGTGGAGCCAAGTGTTGCACCGTGACAGAGGCCAAAGCGGCTGGGTGTATTACACAGAATCACACTCGCATGGAAAGGCTATGATTTAACATAATAGAACTGAAAATTGCCTGGCAACAAATTCTTTTGTTTTTGACCAGGAAACTGCATAACAAGAATGCTTACGTGGAACTCTCTGACCTTTCATGTGAAAATAACCACCACACAAACAAAATAAGCAAAACACACAGGTAAGATTTCTGTTCATTTTTCAAAGTGTGTGTTCTTTTGTAGCACAAAGTGAGCAACGCAGTGGCATTTTACCATTCGCTGGCACTCCTGTCCTGTCATTTCCGTGTGTCTGTCTTTTCCAGGGATACATCAGAAGGTCCTGCTTGTGCAGCAAAGCAGCATCACCACAGAAGCTGTGCAACACCGGACTCACCAGAGCCAGCGGCGGTGCTTGGAGCGCACTTGGGTGGATCGCCGGAGTGGATCACGTGGGTGGATCGCACGAGTGGATCACGTGGGTGGATCGCCCGAGTGGATCACGTGGGTGGATCGCCGGAGTGGATCACGTGGGTGGATCGCACGAGTGGATCACGTGGGTGGATCGCCCGAGTGGATCACGTGGGTGGATCGCCCGAGTGGATCACGTGGGTGGGTCATCGGAAGCGAGAGAGGAAAGGTGTAGGAGCCACTGCCGGCAACAAGCCCAAAGGAAGCCTACTGACAATGTTCACAGGAGAGCTCAGAGTCAGCACAGCTCCTCCAGTGTACTGATATTGCAGTGCAATCTCCTGGTTTGTGTAATTACCCTGTTGAGGACTCTTTGAGGGTAGCTGTGTGAAACGGGTTAGTGTTCTGGTTAGCGTGAGGTTTGAAACTCAGTTTTACTTCAATTTCATTTTGGTCTCCAGCTTACAGGTGCAGAAGCAAAACCCCGCATTTTCAAACAGAAACATGTTGCCTTATGTAGTTCCTTGAACAGAGTGCACTGGTGATGGTTTCTGTCTAAAGAAGGAAACCGGCTAGACAGGGGCAGGCTGGAATTCTCTCTAAACTTATTATTCTACGAGCGACATTAACTTAGTGTATAAAGTGGACGTGCAGCCCTGGTGTGTCATAATGGGGAGTGATGCATTATGGGAGTGAGTTTTGCCTGCAGGTAGAAACCCCGAACTGGGCTTAGAGTCATTGGGGAGAAGACCGGGCCGCAACAAACAGTAATTTGACATTCTGCAGGTGATGCTGAGAAACCGCCGTTCTTGCAGCCCCAATAAGGGGGCCTACGTTAGCCGCAGCCCAACCAGACAGCCCCGTGTAAAGGTAAAGAAGTTCTGATTCATTGCAGTGATAGCTACTACTAACTGTGATTAGATTGCATTTGCTCATTCCGTTTCCCACATAGGGGGGCAGTTATGACTGTGAGCTGATTCAGGTCATGAGGGAAAGGGATGAGATGCATGGCATGCTGGGGAAATATGAACGGCACCTGTCAGAGATCCAGGGTAATGTGAAGGTCCTCACCGCTGACCGCGATAAGACCTCCATGTTATACCAGCAGGTGAGACCTATCAAGGGGGAATCATCTGGGACAGGTTCAACCAGAACTTCCTTCATGAGGTTCCCTGGTTCACCTCCGACACCTCCGTCTCCCCTTGCCAAGGCCCAGGAGGAGATAGCTCAGCTCCACCAGGAGCTCCTGAGGTCAAAGCGGACCAGTTCTCCAAGGAGCAGTGTGATGGCCCAGAATATTCTGAGACGCGTGGAAGCTGAACGGGATGAAGCAGCGGCTGACCTTCGGCGCATGACTATGGAGAGAGACAGCTTGAGGGAGAGGCTGAAGGTAGGCCAGACCACCGGGATGGGGGGGGGGCAGCCTGAGGGAGAGGCTGAAGGTAGGCCAGACCACCGGGAGGGGGGGNGAGTGGATCACGTGGGTGGATCGCCCGAGTGGATCACGTGGGTGGGTCATCGGAAGCGAGAGAGGAAAGGTGTAGGAGCCACTGCCGGCAACAAGCCCAAAGGAAGCCTACTGACAATGTTCACAGGAGAGCTCAGAGTCAGCACAGCTCCTCCAGTGTACTGATATTGCAGTGCAATCTCCTGGTTTGTGTAATTACCCTGTTGAGGACTCTTTGAGGGTAGCTGTGTGAAACGGGTTAGTGTTCTGGTTAGCGTGAGGTTTGAAACTCAGTTTTACTTCAATTTTATTTTGGTCTCCAGCTTACAGGTGCAGAAGCAAAACCCCGCATTTTCAAACAGAAACATGTTGCCTTATGTAGTTCGTTGAACAGAGTGCACTGGTGATGGTTTCTGTCTAAAGAAGGAAACCGGCTAGACAGGGGCAGGCTGGAATTCTCTCTAAACTTATTATTCTACGAGCGACATTAACTTAGTGTATAAAGTGGACGTGCAGCCCTGGTGTGTCATAATGGGGAGTGATGCATTATGGGAGTGAGTTTTGCCTGCAGGTAGAAACCCCGAACTGGGCTTAGAGTCATTGGGGAGAAGACCGGGCCGCAACAAACAGTAATTTGACATTCTGCAGGTGATGCTGAGAAACCGCCGTTCTTGCAGCCCCAATAAGGGGGCCTACGTTAGCCGCAGCCCAACCAGACAGCCCCGTGTAAAGGTAAAGAAGTTCTGATTCATTGCAGTGATAGCTACTACTAACTGTGATTAGATTGCATTTGCTCATTCCGTTTCCCACATAGGGGGGCAGTTATGACTGTGAGCTGATTCAGGTCATGAGGGAAAGGGATGAGATGCATGGCATGCTGGGGAAATATGAACGGCACCTGTCAGAGATCCAGGGTAATGTGAAGGTCCTCACCGCTGACCGCGATAAGACCTCCATGTTATACCAGCAGGTGAGACCTATCAAGGGGGAATCATCTGGGACAGGTTCAACCAGAACTTCCTTCATGAGGTTCCCTGGTTCACCTCCGACACCTCCGTCTCCCCTTGCCAAGGCCCAGGAGGAGATAGCTCAGCTCCACCAGGAGCTCCTGAGGTCAAAGCGGACCAGTTCTCCAAGGAGCAGTGTGATGGCCCAGAATATTCTGAGACGCGTGGAAGCTGAACGGGATGAAGCAGCGGCTGACCTTCGGCGCATGACTATGGAGAGAGACAGCTTGAGGGAGAGGCTGAAGGTAGGCCAGACCACCGGGAGGGGGGGTGCAGCCTGAGGGAGAGGCTGAAGGTGAGCAGGTTATATTATAGGACTGTTTAGATCAGGTGACAGCCAAGGAGCAGCTGGAGCTGAGATCATGGAAGGTAGCTGCTCCCTCTGGAGGCCCTTAATGAGTAGGAGCCTCAACCCTGGACACCAATGTCCCAGCAGCACACAGTTCCAGGCTCACGACCCTGTTTGCTCTCCATGTTGCCTGTACAGATCTCACACGAGACCTCCATCAGCGAGCGTGCACACCTGGAGCAGAGGGTGGAGGATCAGCGTCACACTATCGCCAAGGTGAGACTTCCCCCCCCCCAGCTGCTCAGTCAATGGGGGCACACGTCCCACACAGAATGCCACCGATCATGTCGGTTTTGTGTCCCAGCTGGAGCAGGAGAGAGCAGAGGAGAGGGACAGGCAGGCCACGCTGAGGGAGGCCATGATGAACCTGGAAGAGGAGATTCACACCATGGGGCTCAAGATGGCCGCCACAGAGGAGGAGCTGAGCAGAACCAAGGCAGAGTGCAGCATGCTGAGGTGGGCGTGGCCTCACACTGAGTAGAGCCAAGGCAGAGTGCAGCATGCTGAGGTGGGCGTGGCCTCACACTGAGTAGGCCAGGGCAGAGTGCAGCATGCTGAGGTGGGCGTGGCCTCACACTGAGTAGAGCCAGGGCAGAGTGCAGCATGCTGAGGTGGGCGTGGCCTCACACTGAGTAGAGCCAAGGCAGAGTGCAGCATGCTGAGGTGGGCGTGGCCTCACACGCCGATACAGACACAGGCGGGAAAAACATCTGCGCAAAAGAGAGACACGTACACCCACCTGCACACTCCTCGCCAAATTGTCAGAAAAGGTTTTATTCTGCATTTTAACTTATTTTCAAACACAAGCTACGGCAGAGGCTCCCTGTGACATATCTCTGTCTCTATGACGATGGCCGGCGCTGCTGTCTGTTGTGCTGACGTGCAGCGCTGTTGATATGAAGGTTATCCAGTAGCCAGATGGAAGCGGCTCTGACTGACGCCCAGAACAAGCTTTCGACCCAGATAGCGGAGCTGCACAGGAGACAGGGGAGGAGCAGCCAGCTGGAGGAGCAGAATGGTGACGACTGGGCTCCTTCCCGCCCTCCCTCACAAGTTTAATTTGTTTATGAGCTTGGCTCCAGATTCTCTTGTTCAAAGCTAATGACGCAGGACTCTTCCTGGTCAATGTCCTTAATTACAGTTAAATGCTAATCACATTAAAATGACAGTCAGTGCCAAGCTTGTGTGCATTTTTTTTTTGCAGAATCCATGCTACGTCAGCTCAGTGATCTCAGACAGCAGCTCACCGCTCAGAAAACCTCTGTAGATGTACTGAACCAGAGCAGACATGCTCTACAGGAGCAGCTGGAGTTGAAGAGCGGGCTGCTCTCCTCAGCCAATCAGGAACTAGAGCTGAAGAGCAGGCTGCTCTCCTCAGCCAATCAGCAGCTAGAGGTGAAAAACGAGATTCTCTCTTCGCTCAGTCGGGAGGTGGAGTTGAAGAGCGAGATGATCTCCTCTGCCAATCAGCAGCTGGAGATGAAAAGTGAACTGCATTCTTTGGCCAATCAACAGCTGGATGACAAGGTGCCATGAGCATATTGTTTGTTTCTCTTCTTCATCTTTTGATGTGAATGTGGGTATAAATGTGACAAATGGGGATTAATTGTATTTCTCTTATTTAAGGAGAAGAGTTTGAGATGTCTGGAGCTCTCAGTTGAGGAGCTAAAAGACTCAGTAAGGTATAAACATACTTATGGATCACTCTTTTGATGGGAGGAGGGTGTGTGCTATCTGACCTCTGACCTTTGACCTTGTCAATTGCTCAAGGAAGCTTCAGGAGATGCTGGACCAGCAGGAGCAGGACCTGGAGGGAGCGCAGAAGGCAAAGGAAGCGACTCTGAGGGAGAATAAACAGCTTCAAGATAACTTGGACAAGGCTCGCATCAACTCTCAAGTAGGGAGACCAGACCTGTGCCACCGGACCCAGCAGCACACCCGGGGTGGACCGTATTTAAGCTGACCCATGCTAATTTTAATTTGCGGAAATGGACGTAACTTTGGGCTTCACATGTCTGCAGACTCTGCAGTTCAAGGTGGAAGATTCCAACCAGGAGGTGATGGAACTCAAGAGGAAGATCCAGAGCTATGTGGCTGATGCTTCCCGAGTGCAGCGCCTCCTGGTGGCCAAGGTAATAGTGCCGTTATATGCAGCCATCTTTTAGTGCTTGGAAAGTCGAGGTGCTGGACTAAATCCGGGTTCTTGGAGGAAATGGGTGGAAGTTGCTCTCTGTTACATTGATCTACCTCAATTAGTGAACGTAGATAGAAAAAAGAGAGTATTAAGGTTGACACTGATGCCAAACGTTAAAATCTTGGGTCCAGCAGTCAGATTTGTCCCCTTTAAAGGTGGGTGGACCATATGTGTCTAAATAAGGCTGGGAGGGTGACGGGGAGATTGCCTTGTGTCCCCTCACCCCCAGGAGAAGGAATGCCAGGAGCTGCAGGAGGACCGACGCTGTGCTGAGGAGGAGGTGCAGCAGGCGGAGACGGCCGCTGAGGAGGTGCGTGTGGAGCTGCTGGGCTCAGAGACTGAGAAGCGGAGACTCCAGGGCCGGGCGGAGGACCTGGAGGCCAAGCTGCAGGAGGTCAGTGATGTCATCCGTGATGTCGTCAGTGACATCATCAGGGTCCACCTCCTGCATCTGGCTTTCCTCCAAGAGGGTCTAGCTGCAGACGCCTGTAGAGTGGAGCTCCACCGGAAATACGTCACCTCTACAGGAAACACGTGAACTTTAAGGGCGTAAAGTGGAGCTCCGGTTAGGGTTAAGGTTACTGTTTATTCGCTGTAACACAGAGTTGAGGTCACGTATTTCCAGTGGAGCTCCACTCTACAGGCATCTGCAGCTGGACCCTTCTCCTTTCCTCCATCCCACTGTGTACCATGCAGCACAGTGACCAATAGCATAATCAGCCTGTCCCTCGTGATTGGGTATGGACGCCCTTTCCGATTGGCTGATTTTTAATTCCTTGTAACCTAGTAATTTGCCTATTCCTGGTTGTCAAAACAGTCAGCTGGATGATGGCGAGCAGGCAGTGTGTTTGTTTGTGTGTGTGTGTGTGTGTGTGTGTGTGTGTGTGTGTGTGTGTGCAGGCATCTATATATTACCCGCCATGTGATAAAAAACCTGTTATTTTGACCTGTTGGGGGCAGTTTTTTCGGTCCCCACAAAGGGAAACTCAGATAAAAATCTGTCAATGCAATCAGAAAATAAAAAATGCCAAAAATGCCAATGGGTAATGCCCATGGAAGTTAATGGAGAGTCCCCACAAAGATATAGATACCTAATCTGTGTGTATGTGTGTCTGTGTGTGTCCGTGTATTCCCGTGATGCCTCTCGCACAGGCGCAGCGCCATTTGCACTCCTGCCGCTCGGAGGTGGAGCTGCTGCGCAGACAGCTGTCCAGCGAGCGTCTGTCCCTGCGCAGCCTAGAGACCACATTGCTGTCCAGTTGCAGGATGGAGATGGAGCAGCAGCTCAGCTCCCCGGACAGGAACGAGGAGATCGAGCAGCTGAGGGACCAGCTCGCTGCTGCGGAGAGCAGGGCGTACGCACCTCGGCACCGTCAAACCCACACCCTGCCATCGGCAGTCCTCAGCCTGTCCTGCTGTTGTGTCAGATTAGTGTTAGGTTGAGACCATGCCCATCTGAAGTCCCTGCTCTTCCTCCCCCTGTCCTCTTCTCTCTCTCTCTCTCTCTCTCTCATTCTCTACGCTTCCCTTATCCCTCTCCAGTTCAGTGCAGCACCACTGACCCGGTAGGTTGTGGGTTTACGTCCCCTCACTAACCTCACACCTTCCCTGGTCCACCCCACCCCTTCTCGCCTTTCTAAAGGAGCAGCCAGAACCGGGAGGTGATCCATCTGAAAACCCGGTCAGCTCACCTGGAGGCTGACCTTAAGATGACCAAGAAGCAACTCGAGACGGAACGCTTGGAAAGGCAAGGCTGCGCTCTGCAGAGTGGGCGGCAGTCCAGCCCATCTGTTAGGCACTGACATGAGCTCATTAAACACCCCTCTTTTCTAATTAACCCCTCACTCTAGTCATTAGTGTGCAGATTAATGACTTGGCTCCCTGTGCTCTCTGTCCCAGAATGCCTTTAGTGGTGAAGGTGCCATCATGTGTTATTTAGACCTGATCAGGGGTGTGACATCAAAAGTGGAATTTAGAGATACGTGTTTTGTCTCTTCGGCCAATCACACGCTGTCTCTGCCAGGGAGCAGGCTGTCCAGGAGCTGCGTCATCAGGGCCTGCCGCCTTCCCCCCCGCTGGCTGGTGACTCCCATAACCAGCGAGCTTCCCAGTCCCTTGAGCGGGACTACCACAGTGCCCCTGGCCACCTAGGGTATGAGCGGTCCCCAGTCAGGTGAGCTGACCATGCTGAAAACCAGAGGTGGACATTTCAGGTCCAGAAAGTAAAGATCCAAACCAGGATTTTGTTTCAACCAATCAGTTGAGCATAAAGAGTCACAGTCACAGAGTGGTCAACTGGTTGGTTGAAACAAAATCCTGGTTTGGATTTTTACTTTCTGGACCTGAAATGCTGAAAACCAGTTTTACCACAGTTGGTGGGTCTCCTAAACAAACATCACCCCAGTGCAGAAGCTTTCCCTGTTGGGTGATTTTTGTGACCCATTTTTGATTTCGTTTATTCGTTCTACCAGCTATTATATATCCTTAGGCATTCTGGGACAGCAAGGCTGGTGATGCAAATTTTTTAAACAAATTGCTACAATGCAATTACAGCACTGAGTGAAGACAGGTCCGCCACCCGGAGCTGAACGGCGGTGACACGCGCCTCGTTTGCACAGTGCTGAGTCCCTTAAGCTGCGTGTTCTCCTTTCTAAACAGGGGTGTGACGTTCCAGGACCTGCACTATTAAACCGGGATGTCATCAACAGCCGCCCCTCGGGCTCCGCGCAGAAAAGATGGATGGCTCTTCTGTTGAATTTATTTCCCAGGAAATTCGGAGTTTTAGTATTTTTACTAGATATGTAGGACGTGACTGCAAATAAAGCACGATTTTATGAAATAATGATTGTCATCCACGTTGTTTGAACTGAATGATATTTCTTTATCGTATTTTTGTAGTAGAAAAACCTTCCTTGCGTTATAACAATGACGCTAAACATGATAAACCTTCAAATTATTTGTATGTAACTGAAGACACATTAAATATATTTGAAACGTTTGCATATACTGACTTCTGTAGTTATTTGTTGCCTAAAATACAGTCACACTTCCCGACGAGATTCAGGCATTTCAGTGACGCCATGTGGGTGGATGTCCCGCGTGGGGGCGCTATACTTAATGACCTGCCGCTGCTGGCAATCCCGTTTGCTGCTGAAAGCTTTATTTTGACAGTGCAGGTGAAATCCGGCAATTATGGAGTTACCAAGACTTTGTACAGACATAATCCCCAGCGCGTCAGGTTTTTTTCGGCAAGGCTGAGAGCAATTTTGCTTTCCATTGGCTGATAGCAGCTGTTAAACTGAGGCAACGCCACCCGCTGACGGAAGCGCGCACAAGCTCGCTCCCTTCGCCAGAGGCGGTGAACGCGCCGCGGGGATGCGCCTACCCTGGAAAATATCTCAGTATTAACGAGTCGAATAAAGGTGAGTGACTTTGCACTTTTTAATTTCAATCTGCGTCGCCTGTTTATACGGAGTGGCAGATTTCCGCATGCAGGTACCAGGATCACCAAGTTTAAAGTGTTTAGTTATCTCTGGAAATGTGTCGCTGGTCTCAGGCACCTCTTCCCCTAGTCAGCGGTGTCTCACTTTTAAAAACGCTGAAATGGGGCATTTGCGAATATTTCATGCGAACCAGAGATTTTTCACGCGAGAGGTGCAAGGTGAATGTTAGTTATTTTCGCAGGGAACTTCTTCCCATCTGTTATGTGAATTAAGTTAATGAAGCTGTTACCTTTTAGCGCGTGCGTCTTTTAGTGTAATAAAAAAAGTCACCAATCAGATTAAATATAATTTTGAGACCAATTTTGTGTATGTTCGGAGTTTAAATTAATGTTAAAACTTAACTCATGAATGAAAAATACAAAGTATGCATGCCATTTATCCTTTCGCCTCATTTTCTGTTGTTGCGGAGAAATTCTTTAGTGTGGATAAAATTATCCGCGCAGATTCCTAGAGGAATGGATTAAATCTGGTTATAATCGCCCTTAATCTCATATGCGCTCTCCTTTGGATTTTGTATTTGCAATATAAATTGTGCAGCAAACATTACAAGCTTTCAAATAATACGTCTAAAATTAATCAAGGTTTCTATCTGGGGTGGTATCTTACCCACTTTCATTATTTGGGCCACAGAGTTGCACATGCTTAGTCTATTTATCCGTTAAATACCACGTTTCTAAATAATGTTAAAATGTACAAAATTGACGTCTGCGTTTCATTTGCTAAACTTTTACTTGGAGTCGCAGTAAATTGACAAACTGGTAGGTTCTGGTACTAACGGGGACGTGAAGCTCAGATACAGACACATCAGTAAAATAACTTTGTAACGCGATTATTATATGAAAAGGGACTAGGACGTTCGCTTATCAGCTATTTTTCACACTCTCTTTTTAAGATTTCCGAATGCGTTCGCAATGTACAAGCACTAAAAAAAGAGAATAGCAACGTGATTTTACATTAATGGACATTGGATGGACCCAGGCTAGTTTAGCCATACTCACGTTTCTTTGACTGCTGGAAAAAGAGAATACATTAAGTAAATGACCCCCCTCCCTTGGAGTTTGTACATATCATCATGTGAGGTCACCCTGCGGTGGTAAAATGAGTTAAACAGTAGCCGAAAGTCGTTTGTATTTTGCTCTTTTCATTAGTCACAGTTATGTGTTATATTTCGTTGCTGGGGTGGTGTAGTAGAATGAAAGTGTGGAAGGAACCCCCCCCCCCTCCCCCCCCAACGTGTAATGAAAAACAGATATATTGGTTAATCCTGTAAAGACACAGACCTCCAGTGCAAAGACAGTTGCCTTAGCTTAGGTTGCCTTGATGTTGAGGCAGAACTTTGGCGATTGCGTGGTGGTTTCTGTGTAGCGCTTGATGTGTGAGCGGAGCGTCAGAGTCTCTGCTGATGATGATGGTGTGCAGTAAGAAAGGCAACACAGAAGAAGGCCCAACTTCTGCGTCTTGGTGTGCAGTCGCTGCATAGGGCGGCACGGAGATGGAGGAGGCTGTGAAACAGGGCCACCTTCAGTGCCTAAAAATAGGGGAACGCAAGGAGAAGCGGTGGACAGACGGGGGGCGGGAGAATGAGGCAGGCTTATAGGAGAACTGGGGCACAGCCAGCTTGGAGGGGAGAGATGAATCAGGACAGCGACTGCCACTTTAAGGAGTTCAAATATATGTGTGTTGATTTATTTATTTATTTTTTTGCAGTTTTTGTGAACGTGAGGACTAATATGAGAAAAGCAACCAAGAGGAACTGGACTGTAAGCCTTCAGATGATCACCTGATCTGCTTGGAACCCTCCCTGACCCGGAGACTTCTGGAATCTTCTTATCAAAGGGTGATTAAAACTTCACGGGTGTTAATGTTAGCCATTCGTTGGTGGAAACCAGTGTGAGTGAAATTCCTGGACAGCAGGGACATTTGTGGTGAATTTTCAGTTTGCAGTTGTGCTTGTGATGCATATTTACATTTGCCCAAACATTAGATCCTGGTGGATGGTTCAGATCTACCTCCTATTAAAGAATGTAGCAGTGTATTCAGGGTCGTGCTGGGATTTGAGCTGAAAGCCTTGTGGCTTAGTTCAGTTGCCTGCCACGCTTTCTGCCTGTTTTACTTCCTGATGAATTCTTTCTTCTGTCACTGTGGGGTGGTGGTGGGGGGTGTGTGCAGTGCAACACAATGCAGGCTGTGAAAAAAGGCACAGTTGCGAGTTACTGCTCAACGGACAAATTGAAAGGGAGACCTGAGTCCTCCTCAGTTCACGACAAACTGTTACCATGAAAATTCACCTGATTGTCTGGTATGGGGCTGGTCCCATACGGCAGATTGGGTTCCAGCGTATGTCAGCCAGATTGCGTTGTTACAGCCTAAGATGGGGAACTGTTACATTTTGGAATGTGACCCTGAGTGCGGTGAACATCACATCACCCTCGGATTTGCTCAGGGAGATCAAAAGGACCGCGATGCTGAGCTCCAGGTCCACGGGGAACAGGATCTGTGGGCCGAAGGGTGGGAACAAGCAGCCGGTTTCTCCTAAAGCTAACAGAGCTTTGTGGTCCGGTCACTCCTGTGAATAGGCCTGGAAACCTCTGGCACAGATACGCTGCAGCTCTTTGGAGAGTTCCTGCTGCTGTCTGTGTGCTTCGGAGCTGCAGTTAAAGTGCCGACAGTCGTGCCGATGTCGCGACGATAAGCAAACTATTAAATGATGCAATCAGCTTAAGCAAATGCTGCCTGTTGGTTAAAGCATGAGGAACGGAGGAGAAGCCAGCCTGCCTGTCTAAACACTCCACCCGCTGAAGGAAGCATCACCCTTAGTCTCTACATGCAATGAAAATCTCCGACATGCTTTGTCACCATTACGTCTAGTGGACTAGATTAGGGTATGAAACGCTAGAGTGAGTTTTTCTCTCAGTCCAGCAGCCAGACATGAAATTCATGAATCGACTGTAATCATTTACTGACAGGGAGTGAAACGTAATGACTTCTCCTTATGGCTTTGACAAGGGCGATTTTGTTTGATGCCAGCTGTCATCACGACAAGGCTGGACAGTTAGGTGAATTAAAAAAAACCCAACAAAAACAGGTTCATCTTCACTCAAATATCACTTTCGGGCGATGTGTATGCAAAACGCTTAAAGGCCATGCAAATAGCCACGCTTCCTGTTTAGAGTTTGCTGTCCTGTTTGGCTGACTGCCGGGGTCAAAGTACACCTATACAGGTGTGCAGCATTTCCTGTTTTATCGTGCCGTGGATCTTGGGGCTGTAAGTATGGGAAGCTGTGTGATCCGGGTTTGGGGCGTCTCAGGGCCGGTGCTGATCACCGTAGCTAATGAAGCGGGATTCCTGCTCTTTCACGGCTCATCGCCCTGGTCTCCACCAGGCCCGTTGTCTGCATCACCATTCCTGGGCTTGCTGGTCAATGAGCGGCTATTAATTAATCGTTAAAACGGGAACGTGCCATTAGTGAAGCACGGCGGAGTAACCATCTAATAAAAACTGAAATCTCCAGTAAAAAGTCAGTGGGAGCCGATGCTGTTGGGATTGCGGAGAGTAACTCAACGTAATTGAGTGACTGGTAATTACGAGCTGGGAAGACTGCGGTGTTGAGGGAAACGTTCTGTAGCATCCTGCTGACATTTGGAGGCTGTTTCCATGTGGGCCAGGGAACAGCTCTAAACGAGAGGTCACGCAGTTCCCACAGAAACCACAGACATGGCGGAGAAAAGCATGACTGCTTTCCTGTCCCCGGGACGCTCCCTCAGCCTCTTGCAGGCCACGCTCGCTCTCCGTCCGGCGGGTGTCCGTGTCTGCGATAGCGCTTCCTCTGTAGCTCCGTCGCCTTATTCTTGCAGGTCTTGGCTCTGTGTTAGGCCGTGTTAGCTAACAAACCTCCAGCGACCGGAGCAGCTCGGTTCTAAATTCAGCCCAGAGCGTCACACGTTGACGTTAGCGATGCGCTAACAGCCGCGCCATGGACGGCAGAGGTGGACGTCATCAGATTGCCTCTCCACCTTCAAGAAATGCATCAGGATCCCATCTGTTCCTTGAATTCCTCTACTAGCCCTATGTATCTCTACGTTCCCCGTCTCTTCTTTTATTGCACTCCTGGTCCTCCAATAGTCTTTTTAGGTTCTTGCTTTGTTTTAAGTTGCTGTGTAGCTCCTGATCCAATACTGGTTGCACTTGTATCTGGACTTTCGTTGGACGCTCAGCCTAGCTGCACTTTTCCCTACCTGACTTCTTTCATATATATGTGATGTGCAATTTGCCTGATTGCACATCGCTATGGACAGAAGCATCTGCTGAATGTAAATGTGTTAAATGTAAATGGATGTGTACCGTGTGTCTGTCTCCTGGCAGTGTGGCTTTTCTGAAGGCCCACAGGGGCAGAACTATTCAGACGGGGGTGGAGAGGTTTCTTAGAGTCCCTCAAACAAAAAAAAAAGAACGAAAATATATGATGAAACGTCCCGAACTGGCACCGACGCGTGAAACTCCACAGCAACGTTCATCTAAGAGCCTTGGTTGATGATTGCCCAGAAATGACCTCATCGCCTAGCAACAATCACCGTGACTCCCACTTGCTGGCATGAACCTTTTCTCTCTAACGGCCAAACGCATGCATGCACACAGCGAAGATGCTGCTATGCTTGTGCTTGACATGTTTCTACCCTGCTTCTCCTGGGCACACAGCGACTGTGTCTCTAAGATGTCTCTCTGTCCTCGTGCTGATCACCGGTCAGTTTTGTGCTCTGTAAGTGGATCACAGTGGACGGCCGGCGACTGAGTGTTATTTGTGATGCATTGTGTGTTCACAGCAAATGCAGAGCGGGCCTGCAGCCCCCTGTCACCCCCATGCTTCTCTGCATCCTTATATGGCCTTGCCGTGTGTGTATATGCAAATCAGGAAGTGCATCGTGGGTACAACTGACTTTCCCACATTGTTTGTGAGTTGAGGTGTTTGGATTAAAGGTTTGTTGTGTCGTTGGGAGTCTTCCTATTTATGGAGGTCTGTATTTTATTGTGTGTGACATACCCATCATATCTAGACAGCAAGGATTTCATACTTTGCCCTTAGTCTTCCCTGAATGATCTGCGGTGAATTAGCCCAGAGATGTAACTACAGACTTGTGAAGAACAAGGACTCATTGTCGTTGCAGTCTTGGAGGTTAACCTGCACACCATGTCTGGTCATTCTTTCTTGCAAGCATTTGACGCCTTTTTTTTGTTTCTGTTTGTCATGTTTTGAACCTGTGACCACGATCATTCACTGTCACGCACACAAGCCATCACACTCGGTCCACGCTTAGTCTCACGCCCACACAAGAAATCTTCCAGTAAATCTGTATTATTCCATTATAAACCTAAAATTAGCTACATCAAAAGCGTCGGGGTAGTTTTCACACCCTACAAACTATTTACAAGGTAAGAAAACTCTTGCATATATGTGCAGAAATGTCTCGAATTGAATATCTCACTCCAGCCTGCTGAGTATCGGTGAATCTGCGGTTTCTGTCTACCAGGAAGTGAGCGCCTTGGATTTCTGAGATTTAGCCCGGAAGAGTTATTACCGCTGTGTTGTTGTGCGGCTTCTGTCGAGATCTGAGCGGGTCAGTCAGAGCTGTGTGGTTACTGTGAGGTCGGGCCTTGCATTCTGTCAGCGCCCGTTTGTGCAAACATCGCCGTGTGTGTATGCAGTCCTGAGAGACCTTACCGAAGACACAACGGTATTACGGTCTAAGTCCTGCTATCGTAATGTTACCAAAGCTCCCCCACATTCCGCGATGGTTGTCGGAGGCAGTCTGCAAGCCGAGAACCGGAAGGACACGTAATCATGTCGAACCCTGGCTTCAGGAAACCCTAATTTTTCTGGTCAGCAACCCTGTGCAAAAGTTTTATGTAGTCAAAGGCAATGTCTAAAATGATATGGGTAAATGGTAAATGGTCCTCCCAAATGTTACTGATACCTTGGATGGCTAGATGATCACCGCTTCAGCTCCCAAAACTCTCCGCAGGGGCACTCCAGTCATTCCATGTATTTGTTAAATTTCACAACCAGCTCATTTAATTTAATTAGTTAAAATCAATGAGCTGAACATGGTCAAAAAATACTTTGATGTGCTGGATGGTTGCTGCTGGGGTGAGGTTTTGGAACTTAGTATCACATAGTATCACAGTTTGACACCAACGTGAAGATGATGCCTAAATGATTGTCCTTGACGGCCCAGACTTTAACACGGTACTGTGGCTCCCCGGATGCTGGCTGGTGACGTGGGACTGAAAACGCTGTGTGACACAACCCACCACCCACCCACACACACACACACACACACACACACACACACACACACACACACACACACTAATGTATTGTGGGAATAGGGGGTTTCTGTCCTGTATGCTCTCTGCTGTAATACTCCGTTTCTCCAGCGGAGGCAGCGCACTCAGGATGGCCCGAGTGTTTCTTCTTGGTTTCTGGCAAGGCTGCCACACAGTGACCCCACAGTGTCACTGAAATGTTTAATGTCATGCAATGACTTAGGAGGCTCACCAGGCAACCAGGAAAGGCATCTGGGTAGAAGTAAACTGGGATGGCTGGTCAGCTGGGACTGTTACCAGATTGGCCAGATATGGCAGAGATCACGGACAAGAAGTGTTTCTACTACTGTCTGTGCCGTCGGTCTCTAGATTAGATTAGATTAGATTAGACTTTATTAATCCCACAATGGGGAAATTCTTTGAGAAAACAGCAGCAATAATGAAAAAAAGTGTAGTGGATGCCGTCTGTGCCGTCGGTCTGTAGAGGTGTAGTGGATACCGTCTGTACTGTTAGCCTTCATTGGTGAATGATGATGTAAGTTCTAAAACATCTCTACCTGGGCTCGGATAATTGTACTTGTCATGATGGTGTCGATCCAACTCCTCACACTGCAAGCAACCTCAGGCTGAAATGCGAACGGTTTAGGCTGCACACTCGATACGCCATAGAGTTCCGAAGATCTCTTCGGTTCAGTGCATGGGGCTGATCGTCAGACACTACTGATGTGCTTTGCTTTTCTCCTGTGTAAACAGTCAGTGGTAAAAAATAAAACTCATATCATCTCCTATGGTCACATGACATGCTTTCACAAACATGCCCATTGAGCATGCTCAGCAAATCGGGCCAAGCGAGAGAGGTGCAGGGGGCGGGACTTAGGCAGTGGGACACACCTTGAGCAGCTCTCCTTGCGTCTAGTTAAGCAGCGCTTACAGCCGCGGGCGGCACGACGGTGAATGTTGGTCACGTGGGGATGTAGCTTTAAGGCCTTTGGCGTGTTGTGGGATCACCATGGCTGGCTGGAGTGTGAGAACGGAGCTCCAGAGTGATGACTTTGCCCCTGTGGGAACCGGCCGGAGCAGGTGAGAGAGAGAGCACCTGAGCGGGTTGCTAGGTTTCTGCTACGATGCTAAGATTGTAGGATAGAATTGGAGATAAATCAGTGCTGTTCTTGCGCTTCTGTACCAGTGCAGTGAGCCTGTCTAAGCCTCCAGTGCTGTTCTATGCTTATTCTTCCTTGTTCCTTTATGGTCCTTAAACCTCACATGCACACTTGCCCTAGTTCTGATACCTGGATCTCGCCCTTTCCAAAGTTCATCACTGTAGCTGATTGACGTCATCTGTCTCCTACTTATCTGTCTGTTGTCTTCTCTGGGGTGGGTGGGGGTGGGGAATCGATGACATGGAGAGCTGTTCGTGTCCTCATGCTTAACACCATTAGGTTAGATGACCCTAACACCCCTCCACCCCCACCCTGATCTCACTGACCTGCTTGGCCTGATGTCCGAGATGATTCGCTAGACCTGTGATTTCATTACACGACAACAGATGCAATCCCTTCCTGGACCTTTGATTTCATCAAAAGTAGCACGGTTTGTCAAGGTGGGTGGTGGTGCTGAGATGCAGCTGGGAGCTGAGCCTCGGGGGGGCGGCGGGCAGTGGATCTTCCGCAGTGGATCTTCCGCAGTGGATCTCCCTAAAAAGGATCGATCCTATAAAAGGGATTAAGGTCCATGTGCCTCCCTTCTTCTGTAAATACCTTCATGGCTGCTTCGCTTCTTGCTGAGCGTGTGTCTATGCAGGCTGGCAGCGTGGGACAGGACATGCACATTCTCCCTTCAGCAGGGGTTAGGGTCCGTGCCCCAGACTCAGGGTGTAGGAAACATGCAAAATATTCCTCAAAATCCGATGTAGACATGCAGGGGTGTAGCTAGAAATTCTGGGCCCCCTGACAAAATGTCACCTTGAGCCCCCATTACGGTCCCCATGGTAGATTCTGCCAAATGGGGGGTGTCCCTGGTAGATTATGTCGGGCATGGGGGGGCTATAAAGTGCTTCGGCCCCCTGAATCTGCTAGGGTTTCTTGCCGGTGGTGCTGCAGTCACCCCAGACAGAATTGCATGTGTGCTATCTAGGTAGGGTTTTAATATTCAAGCCAGGTGGTTGTCAGGTCCAATCCCCTGTACCAACATCCCACTTAATTTAACTCATCCTCACTGTCATCAGTCTTCTAGGTAATAGGATCATTTCAGTTAAATACTGATAATATTGATAGATAAATAAATAAGAATGATAACTTTCACTCATTATTCTGTGCTCTATCAACATAAAGACAGCGCATTTAATTTGAGGTAAATATTTATCTGAATCTTTGAGTACACAGATGAGTAGATTAGTCAGTGTTGACCGTGGTGCTGGCTCTCTCTCTCTACTGGGCTTTATCTCAGGCCGTTGCATGACGCAGCATGACCAGTGCAGCCAAGGACACTGCGTGACATGCGTGTGAAAGGGTCATACATCAGCTGAGAGGGAGAGACATTCGACGTGAGCATTTCCTTTCTAATTAAAAAACACGCAAGGCATCTGAGATGTGGAACTCCAGTGTAAAGATCAGAACACACCTCAGTAACTTTTGGTGTTACTTCAGAGAACATTTTTGCATTTCACCTCAGGTTGGATTTCTTAATGTTAATCACAACATAGCTGGCAATCAGACCATCCTTTTCTGGGCCAGAAGGCCTGCTCTTTGACCATGATGACACCTGTTGGTCAGAATTGATATGACAGTTGATCTGACGTCTCCGTTCCTTCACTTGCAGCAATTACCTATTGGGCCTAGCAGAGAGCATGGACAGCCCTGGGGCGGAGGGCCCCGGGAGCAATGAAGACCTTGCAGGTTAGAGCGCCCCCCCTGTCTTCTCTCTGTCGGCTGCAATAATCAGGGCAATTCAGAGCTACTTGTTTTTGTGGATTCCTCTTCTGCTGCTCTTCTGTACTATGACCTAGCCAACACTTATCCAGGGCATTTTACAGCATGTAAATCCAGTTTTAACACACAAAACCCAGGTGAACTCATTAAATATGGACTTACATTCTGCTGACTTACAGTATAGAAATTCCTGCTGGTCACCATCTGAAACAACAGTGATGTTGATGTCTTGAGAACTGAAGACCCAAACTTCGTTCAGTTTAGGTTTCAGCTTAACATACTTCTGAAAAGTAATGTGGGGAAACGTGAGAGTGACCATCTTAGAACCTTCGGGCCAATATTCGGAGGGATGAGCCCTGAGTTGACAGGCCCATCACATGACTGGGGAACTGCAAATTATTGAGTCAGATGGCCAAATATTTTGAATTTCTTTATAGTCAAGAAGAAATCCAGGTTTCAGATTTTGAAGACACGTCTGTTTGGGAGGATAAAGAGGAAGGATAATGAAGATTCGATGAAGCACACCCAGTCCGCTAGTGACATCACAGCCCCGGAATGTCTCAGGGGCGGCTCTGACTCCTTGGAAGACTTTGTGTAAGTTCCTCCGTCCCAACTCAGAACTTGTCGCTGAAGAGTAGAAGACTTGTTTTGATATTATGTGATGTTGAGTTTCATTGAACAGCTACACGTTTGATTCTTTACACTCCAAAAGAATAATGGATGTTGTTCTAAAAGCATGAATAGTTCTACAGAAATAGAAAGTACCTGTTAAATGGCTTTTGTTATGTCTAATAAAGCTGGAGAGACTCTGGGGACAATGGGGTTTGAAGGCTACATCTCATTCTTTCTCTTGTCCCCACCTCCAGCTACTCCCCAGGGACACTCGGGTCCCGAGCGCTGTCACATGATAGCATATTCCTCACCAACCAATCAGAAGCTCCACCAGAGCCAGAACGAATTCTCTCTCAGGAGAACGTGCATGGCAAGATCAGAGCTCTGCAGGTTTGGGACCAGTTGCTGATGGTCGGTGATGGTAGCAAGCATGATGATAATGAACATCTCCAACTGTGGTTTTGATACACATTTCACATAAGTAATGATACCTCAGCAGCAACTCAAAAACCAAAGACCAAATTTTCTGGAGATGTTCATGACATTATGAGCTAACTTTAGTATAAAAATGATCAATTTTGAAATATAGGTTTTTTTTGTTATTGAACTTTTAATATTTTAATCAGTTATTACATAGTATGTATTCATATGGGGATGGCATATTATTTATTCAATCTATAGAGCTGGAATATAGCTTTAAAACAATATGAGGTCTATTTCTGTGCAGCTTATATTAAGGTAAATATAGCCAGTCAAAATCATAGTCCCCCCCCCCTCCAAAAAAAAAAGTTAAAACTTTGTTCGCTTAAATCTCCCTCAGTATTGATCCAAGACACGCCCAATTTCAGTTTCATGAGTTACTCATGTGACCAAATCAGCATGCCAAGTTTCGTTAAAATTCATGACGATGAGGTCCGAAAGTGTGATGATTTGGCATGGAATGACCCCATTGAAAATGTGTTGTGAGGATGGTGACGGTATGGATGATGCTGATGAGGATGCTGATGGTGTTGATGATGCTGATGAGGATGGTGGTGGTATTGATGATGATGAGGATGCTGATGGTGTTGATGACGATGGTGACTGTTGGTGTTGATGGTGACGGTGTTGATCATGATAATGAGGATGGTGAAGTGTTGAGGATAATGAGGATGGTGACGGTATGGATGATGCTGATGAGGATGCTGATGGTGTTGATGATGCTGATGAGGATGGTGGTGGTATTGATGATGACGATGGTGACTGTTGGTGTTGATGGTGACGGTGTTGATCATGATAATGAGGATGGTGACGGTATTGAGGATGATGACAACGATGATAATGAGGATGGTGATGTGTTGATGACGACGATGGTGGTGAGGATAATGATAATGGTGCCGATGAAGAGGATGACAGTGATGATGAGGATGGTGATGGTGGTGAGGATAATGGTGCTGATGATGAGGATGATAGTGATGATGAAGATGTTTGGTTTCCACTTAGATGAAGCTCCAGCAGAACATTCGGCTGGGTCCCCCACCCATGCTGATTCCCACTAAGCGCACAGATGACACTGGTGCCAGCTCTGAAGATGACGGGCTGCCCCACAGCCCCCCTGACGTGTCTCTACACGAGGGCCTGGAGCCAGCTATAAGCCAGAAGGTACCTGTACGTACGATGAATCGCAATCTTTCCCCGTGTTTCCTACAAGCCTTTGCTGACTGAAGCCTGCTCTCCATTTCACTTACAGAACCCTGACTCCCACAGGCACCACAGCACATTGAGTTTAGCCGGAACGGGAAGTGAGGAGGACGAGCAGGTATCATTCCTCCGGCGTATCATTCCTCCGGCGTCTCATTCATCACCAGCAGTTCACTAACGTTTGCTGGCATTTTCCAATAGTATTGAGTGTAGATTACAGAACAAAAATGGGCATATGATCTGGGCCTCAGAATGCGGCCAGCCTGCCAGTGATGTAATCCGGGGGCCTCAGCATGCGGCCAGCCTGCCAGTGATGTAATCCGGGGGCCTCAGCATGCGGCCAGCCCACCAGTGATGTAATCAGGGTGCCTCAGAATGCGGCCAGTCTGCCAGTGATGTAATCAGGGTGCCTCAGCATGCGGCCAGCCTGCCAGTGATGTAATCTGGGTGCCTCAGAATGCGGCCAGCCTGCCAGTGATGTAATCAGGGCGCCTCAGAATGCGGCCAGCCTGCCAGTGATGTAATCAGGGCGCCTCAGAATGCGGCCAGCCTGCCAGTGATGTCACATGATGCTTTTGGTCTTGTGTCTGAAACCTGCTCATTAATTCTGTATGTGTTGCTCTTCCAGAGCCCTGCCCAACCTCCGTCCCACCTTCTGTCACCAGTGGGCAAGTCTTCTCCCAAGCCTAGTAGCACCATGGCCCTCAGTCCCGTAGCAGACTTTGACGTCCCTGCCAGATTCATCCCGTGCCTGGACAACTCAGCCGCCCGTCACCGCATGTCGGTGAAGCCCCGGAATCAAAGAGCCAGCACCAAGGGCCGGAAACCAGCCTTGGTGAGACGACACCCCGGCACGCTGGCCCTCCTCTTGGGCTTCTCATCAAATTAGCCCAGGATGACTTGCATTGTGTCCTCATTGGTCTCTTGCATGAGAATGCCTAAGAGAACATCTTGTTTCTGTGTTGTGTCTGAGTATTTTGTTAGTCACTGATTTCTCCAAAGCTTTTCTATGTCGGCTTTATGTCTGGCTACCTCTGGACTATACTATTAGATGTGTCTAACTACAGGTTGTCTCTCTTGTCTCTGGACCAGAGTGTTGAAAGGCCGCGCTCAGAGAGCTTAAGCACCCTGGAACAGGCCATTTTGGAGCGAGAGCAAGAAGGAGAGGAGGTTCCCAAAGAGGCAGCCCGCTGCCGCTCTTACTCCACTCAGATGTTATTGGAGTCAACTCCTGAGAGAAGAAAGCAGGAGCTGGGGATGGGGGCCAGTCTGGAGTTTCCGAGGACTGCTGCAGTTGACCTGGAGCAGCCTGTTCAGCAAATGGAACAAGTGGCTAAACGTGCCCTCCTGCCCCGGCCTGTGCCACGGGTCCCGGAGTCCAGCCAGCCTGCAGAGTTAAGTCCTACAAAGGTGCTGTCCTCTCCTGGATTTGCTGAGCTACCAGGGACGCCTACTAACAAGCCCCAAAGCCCCAGCAAGGCACAAGGCACTAAGGACCTGGTGAAAGAAATTCTGCAGAACTCTGGTCAGCGATACTCTTCCAACTACCCAGTAACACCAAAGACCCGTGCATCTGATTACACACCCCCCAAAAACACTCTTCAGAAGCAAGGTGACCTGGGAAACGGAGCTCAAGAGATGACCCCAGCAATACAGTTGGATCCTTCACCCAACCCTCAGCTCTGTACAGTAGCACCCACCAAAAACATTCTGCAGTCTGGAGACTGGCAACCCATAATAACAAAGACATCATTACCGAAAAAAGCTACCCCAACAACTATGGAACAGTGTGTGCAAGAGGGTGCTGTCTCAAGGTCAGCCCAGAGAACATCAGCGCCACCCACTGTTCAGGATGATCAACAACCCACAGAGGCTGTTAGGCAGCAGAGACCCAACTCTGGGTCATTCCGATTCTCAATCTCTTCAGCCTGGGACAGACCCAGGACAAGCAGCTTTTCTGGTGGCGTTGAGGGGGGCTCAGCAAGGGCAGAAGATATGGTAAACAAGACCCCCTCCAACCATAAGTTCCAGGAGCCCCTAACAGCCAGAATGGAGGAGATCCCACTGCAGTCAGTGACCAAAACAGAGGAAAATCTGGTGGTCAAGAGTCCTTCTAGCATCCAGCTGCTACAACAACCAGCGGGAAGTTTGGGAGTAGCCAAATCTAAAGAGCTGCCCTGGTCTGCAGAGCAGAGTACCATGAAGAAGAGAGTGACAGAAGAGTCTGTGAAGTCTGGGCAAGTCCTGGGGAAATCAGGAGGCGGCTCTGACATAAAGGAAGTTCAGGAGGGTAAGAGCACAGGAGAGGAAGACACTCAAGGCAGGACTTCCTTCGGGGTGAAGCTTCGTTCTACTTCCTTGTCCTTGAGATACCGGTCAGACATAGCCCAGTCAGAGCAGACACACAAGGGCCACATTGCTGAGTTTGGTCCCCCCTCCCCCCCTGCACAACCTCCTCCAGCTAAGCTAGCAATCTCTGAGGAGCAGTGGCCCAGAGCTCTTCATTCTCCTAGACTGGATGACGAGGAATGGGATAGCTCCACAGACAACGTCAACACCAAGCCCCCGTTCCTGAGAAAGCCACCCTCTCAGAATCCTGACAGACTCCCACCGCTGGTTGCTCCTAGCCTGCCCCCATCCACCCCGCTCAGAGAGAAGATCGAATGCTTCAAGCAAGGAGGTAAAGACCACCATGCACGCTGTTTTTGAGATGATAAATCAGCATGTAGGTTATGGTGGTACTCATGGGTGCACGCTTGAGGGGACGCACTCGAAGCTAGGAGAGTGTGAGAGGAATAGTCTGAGATAGTGACTTCCAGCTGACAGAGGAACTTATGTCACATTACATGGGGTTTCCCAACAACCATAAAAATGGCTGCACCCGAGGTTAGTGCAAACCTTCCTGTCATCAGGTTGGTTTTTCTTTTATAGCTGCGGTTGCACTGCCCACAGATCTTTATCCCAGACCATTGTCTGGACATGCGAACAAGTTGTTGGTGACTTGTTGCCTCACACCTCTGGGACCTGGGTTCGAGGCTTTGCCATGGCTCTGTGTGTGGAGTTTGCATGTTCTCCCAGTATCATCAGAAGATGATACCTGTGCACGCCTGTCGGTGTGAGTGAATGGTGTGTGACTGTGCCCTGCGATGCATTGGCGCCCCATCCTTGGTTGTTACCTGCCTTATATGGCCAAACCCTCTGGGATTGGCTCCAGACTCCCCACAACCCTGAATAGGACAAGCGGTTACAGCAAATGGATGGATGGATGGTTGGAATTGGTCTAAACCAATATTCCTCAACTGGTGGATCACAACAGGTCGAAATCGATATTTGCCTGGTTATAATATTATGTGTAAGATCTTGCCTAAACTTACTTTCACAAGCATTGTTGAAACCTCACATCACATGAGTCAATATCTTGTCTCTGTCTTCTGTCTGGTATATTTTTCCAGCTCTCTGTGCAGACACAGGACCCCTGTCTAAGTCTGTTCCCGCTCCTTCAAAGGAGGGGGAGCTTGCAGCCTCTGAGCCCGTCTGGATGTCCGTGGCGCGGGAAAAGACCCGAAGCCTCCAGCAGATTTTCACCAGCAAGCTGGCACCGCTCGGCGGCACCCCCCAGGGCTGGTCTCAGAGGCCTCCACAACCCGTGGCCCGGGACAGGGAAGAAAAGAAGTTAATTACCCATCTCGGCCAGGAGGGGGCCCCCACATCTGCCCCTATGGAGAGGAAAGTGGACACGGAAGCAGCAATGGAAAGTAGGTCTCCTCTCATGCCAAAAAAGGCAGAATGGCCAGCCCATCTGGACAGCAAGGTAACGCATGACCACTAGGGGTGTAACGGTTTAATGAGCTAAATCTGCAGACATGTGATTTTTGCATGCCAAAAGGTGTCCTTGAATCAGATTTTGTTTATGTTAGCAGATTGTTAGCTTTGTATGTTAGTTTGCCTTGAAGCATAATATTAAATGAACAAAGATCACAGAACTAGATGGTTTGGGATAAGAAGTACCGACTAGACACAAAGCAGATCTTTTATGTTCACACTAAACTGAGGTCCCAAGAGGGGCCAAGCAAGCGTTTGAGAGCCAGGTGAGTGGTGTTAACATTAACCCAAGACAGACCTGCTGTGTTATTGAAAGAAACACGAGATAGCAATCACCATTTGTGCTTGTGCAAAGATCGTGCAGGTGCATTGAGGCGGGAAGTCGGGGGTGGGGGGGGCGGGTGTCTGGTTGCTCGTGGGACTCAGTTCAGTCTCTGTTTACCTGTAGACAGAGCTGCGGAAAGGCAGCTTTCCCGTCACGACTCAGCAGAGACCCCTAGCCGAGGGCAGGTGTGAAGAGAAGGTGGACAAGAGGGTGCCCATAAATGTGCATTTCCCAGGTACCAGAACAGCCGCACAGGACTGAGGAGATTCCAGTTGGTTGTGTGTTCGAATCCCGGTTCATAGCAGTGAGTTCCCGTGAGTGTGCCTGTGCGTTTACACCAGTGCGTGCTCAGGGGCGTGGCCTCTTCATCTCTCTTCCAGAGGTGCTGGCCTGCGCTGCCTCTGAGGCTCACGCTGACAAAGACGAGAGGTGGAGGAAGAGGTCAGAACTGCAGTCCCTGCTCTGGTCGTCATCTCCATCTTCGTCACCTCCAGCGCCGCCCCTGCCGATTCCTGCGTCTGGAGCCGGCCAGCCATCCTGGTTGGAGCTGGCCAAGAGGAAGTCACTGGCTTGGAGTGATAAGACCGTGGACTGAGCGGGACAGAGGGGGCCTAAGGACAGAGTGTAGAAAAACGAGTATCCCGACAGACCCTGCTAATGTGACCCCCACTGCACGCATAAGGCGTCCCAGGGCCCTGCCCCCGTGTGTCCACATCCCCTCACATGCTCCTCCGTCTCACAGCTGGGTTTCTTACAGTGACCTCTGCCTGGCTGACGTGGCTGTATATGAGGCTTGGTGTGCCCCTCTGACCTACAGTACATCAGCAATCGCACCAACGCTCATATACAGCCAAGTATGCAGCTCAGAGATGAGTTGGAGCGGACAGGGTCCATGTGTGTGACCTGTAGGCGGGGCACAGAGCTTGTTCCTCGTGGCTGTAAGGGTAGCTCTGTGTGTACGTGCCCCCCCCTCCCATGGCATTGGGTTTCCAGCAGTCTGGTCTCGAATGGCTCCGGTTTGAATTTTGCACAGGAAAACATGGAAAGCATGTCAAGAAATACTTTTGTTAAAAATGCAGGGTGGTACGTAAACCACAGTTGTGTTAATTAGAACTCCTAACAACCATTAGCATATTCCGCTTGTTTATAATTCAGATGGGCTAGATTTCCTTTAACACCTCTTATTTCCATTAGAATAAAAAACCAAACAAAATTATGCCTTAAAACACAAGAATATCCTCAGTTCTAGTTCCTCAGTTAATTCAGTAGGGAATTAAAAAATTGTTACAGAATTAAATCTTTTTTTATTGCATTTATGTATAAAATATTAATTTTATTAAAGCATTATGTAGGCAATAAAGTTGATTAATACAGTGATGTAATCGGGGGCCTTGAGGTTGTGGCCTCCCAGCCTGTGATGTAATCAGGGGCCCTGAGGTTGTGGCCTCCCTGCTAGTGATGTAATCTAGGGCCCTGAGGTCGTGGCCTCCCAGCCAGTGATGTAATCGCGATTGATTGATTCCAGGTCTGGCAGAGATAGTCGTTCATGAGCTGGATGCACTAGTCAAAGCCTAGATGATCCTCAGAGGGAATTTTCCCTTGAATAATATTCTTTTAAGTTGCTACCATAAGAATGTACATTAGCATATTTTAATTGGAGTTGTTTTGGCTCAAGGAGCCACAGTGAAAAGGTAAAATTACACTGTAGTGTCAATGAAAAGGTGTACAGAAAATGTAGAAAGTCAATAAAATTCACCTGGAAACTTAGTACATCTGAAACATCTGCTGGGAACTTTGACCAAGGACATGCATGGAGGCTGTCCCTTGTAGGATTGTTTAGTCAAAAAGATGATCAGATTGAGGATAGGTTAGATTTCAGACACCTGACACTGTGAGTGCTGTATAAGTGGGTCTCAGGCTGGGCGTTGGTCTCCTGCAAGTGACCCAAACGTGTGGGAGGTGAAAGCCAGAAGGGCCCCAGCCCCCCCCCACTGCTGAGTGTGCTTGTTGATAAAGTATCATAAACCCAAGCCGGGTGGTGGGATGGGTGGGGGTGAGTCTGAGCTCTGCTCTGAACGTAATTCTGGAAGTTCTCTCTGGTTGTGAGTTTTTGAAACTTAAATAGCTTTTGTGTGGAATTTCTTTGGTTACGATCTTGCGGAGGGTCTACCAGCTTCAGAGACGATGTATCATTTTGTGAAATAAAACTGCTTTTGTTGAACTTGAGCTATTGTTCGCATCACCTGTGGTGATTCAAAGGTTGTGTGTGTTGTATTTGGCTCGGACTCAGAATCTGGAATCTTGCTCCGGCTGTGATTATCATCGTTAACTGAGACGTAAACTGTAAGGAAACATTTTTGTTAACTGAAATGACTTGAAAATCAGAATCAGAATCAGAAAAACTTTATTGATCCTGGAGGAAATTGCTCAAAATAAAAATAAACCACAGCTAAACGAACACTATAAATATTGCCACCAGTGCTAACTGAAATAACATGAAAACAAATGTCAGGTATTTTCCATTACTAAATTTAATACTATTCAGGTAATGATTTTTTTCATTTTCCCTCCTTGACGGAAATCCAGTATGTTGCTTTTAGATGACCATTAATGACACCTGGGACGGCGTTTTGCCCATTTTGAGTACATGATGTGCACTGGCTGTGTCTCCATGTTGGATTCAACAAAGATGAGCCACATAAAATATCTTTCATTCTATCCCTAGAAATAAAACGACTTAAGCTGAAATTCAAATAAAACTATATATAAAATCAGAACTATATTTAAAATAAAAACTGGTGAAAATACACTAAAAACTAACTAATACTAAACTGCATTTCAAATGAAAAATTTAGACTAATACAGTATAAAAATAACCATTTTTTAAATCGAAACTAAAATAATACGCCTTGGATACCCCTTCCTATAAGTGTCTGAATATCTGCACCAGAAATACCTGATTGTATAAATGGGTATGACATACGTGCATGTGTACAGGGGAATTTCTAGCTATTGAAAAGAGAAATTCTTAAATCAAGTTTATCTGGTGCTGAAGTACTTGGGGTCAGGCTTATTAAAATACTCGGACCTAACGACGCCCATGTATGTGTATGTAATTAGATAAATGGCTGCGTACTGTGATTCTTGCTATGAGGCTTGGGCGGTATGTAGTTAGGAGAGCAAGGTTTACTTACGGAGTCACTGTAATCCATGTACAAAGCATAAGTGTCAAACTTGATATAAAGTTCGTCTATAGTCTTGTGATGACGTGCTTTTTATGGTTTAGATGTCACCACAACGCTTGGGGAAAGGGTGGTGGTAGGCCTACTTCATTGTGGGAACCCGGAGGACACGTACTGACCTAACATAATATCTGAGAGAAACTCCATATCGGTGTTTTTGTGCCCAGTTGGTTAGCGTTAAAGCTGGGAATGAGGTTTCATGACACCGTGCATTGAGGTGGCAGATATTCAGGGTATTTTTCTTTGTGTTTTGATAGCTTGAAGCTAAAAGGCATAGCCGCAATCATTGTTTCCTGCGCCGTGTACTTTCATCCTATTCAAAGAACTAGTTTTGTCAGGCACACCCGGTAATGCATTAACCTGGATCAAAGGCAAAATACACCACGGAGGATTAATGAACATTATGCAGAGGAATGGAAGGGTAGCTTGGTAAATAATACTGTTTTATCATCCTGTATTTGCGTATTTACATTTTATTCATTTGGTAGAAGCTTTTATCCAAAGCAATGAACATTTTGATAGAGCCGATGGCCGACCGATTACACACACGGCATCCTATCCACCGAGCTACAGTTGTAAACTTAGCACTGGAAAAAATAGATTATAGCAGAATTAGAGTCTGGAGCCTAAGAAACACTGAAATATGCCCATAAAATATGTCATTACACCATACAACGGAAGGAGCCGGACGTTCCCCACTTGCAACTACATAAACGATCTGTAAGTCTATTTGACCGTAAGGATATAGCGTGTTTCGTGTGTCCACCGGGGGGCGATATTGAAGAAAACGCACACTTTCTGTCAACGGCGTCATTCGATAAATAAAATGTAGTTCAGTATTGCTTTACTATTGTATGTCTTTTCAAACTTTTCTTTTAGCACAGTGCATTAGGATAGACATTGTGACATTGTTAAAATGTAAAATATATTGAAAACTGCTACGTTAATAGTAACATTTAATCAGCGTCTAAGATTCGTCGTTAACTCTGACGAATGGACCTAAAAACAATATCAGAAATTCAACGTAGTTTAGACGGCAAGAGAAAAAGCTCTCAATTGTTGGACAGGGTTTCTGTTATTTTATTATTTTTTTGTTTGTTTTTTTTAATGTGTTTTTGTTGTTTTAAATGACAGTTCAAACGTTGATTGATTTCTGTATTTGCTTGGATAGACGTTATTGATTTGCAACTTATTTTAGAAATGGATATTTTACGGAGCAGTTGTATGAACACTGTGACTAAATGATGGCCCCTGATCTTCTGTGTGGCCCCCGTGCAGGCCTCTGGCTTCCTGTGGGATTAGTTCACGATAAGGTGACTTGCAGTCCATTATGCCTTCTGTCGGCATAGGTTGCTATAGTGTTTAGTCTCGTTTGCGATGGTTTGGTTTCCCGCCCCGGTCAGTCTTCGGACCCACGCCACCTTGCGCAGGACAAGCGGTCGGAAAATGGATGGATTACTGGGTTAAGTCTGGTATTGTTGTTTATGAATAACTTTATTAACCTCCCGGATATATCCTCTGATATATTTCTTGTGAAGCCTTTCATTACGAGTATAACGATGCAAGTGTATTAATTACTACTGGCAACCTGCACGGGTAACTCCTCTCCAGACGACTGGGCACAATTAACGGATGGCAAAATTTAGATTTGATATGCTCTGTATATTAATAGCATTTGTGTATCTAAAAGGGAGGGGCATGATTTTTGGGTGGATTGGTCATGAAGGATACTGTTTTGTGAACCGCGACTGTACGTAAGTTGTGCCAAAGTTGAGCAACGGCTTTACTCTTTAGTACCGTTTCTTTCGTGTTTAGGTTGCGTAGTGGCATACACTGAGTCTGCCTCAGTTCTTCCAGAAACTCGACCTCACTGCAGGTCTTCAAAACATCCAGTAAAATTTGGCTGTCTTCCAGTGAGCAAGGGCCGTCCTGTACTCGGAAATATATGACTGCTATCACCTACGTAGCTTATCAATTTGTGCACAAAATTGCTGACATCCCATTCTTACGAGTGTTATGTGTGTTTTCTTGCCGTCTTTGGACACAGTAAGATATTCTTGATGTGTCATTTTCATTGCATTTCAGTTTCAATAAATACGTACGGAGCCCCGCAAGGGAGGGTGAGGTCGTGCCACAAAGGCAGGTTTATTATTCCCAACTGTCTCTTGTGATAAGCCCCCCCCCTCACACACACACACACACACACACACACACACTCTCTCTCTCTACTACAATTGGCTGCCGCTCCGAAGTTGCGGTTCAGACTTCAGAGACTCAACACGCAGTGGCGCCATTTCTTATTTACGTACATCGATCACTTCTTTATTTCTTCCTAAATTTGATATCATCTGCATTTGGAATAAAAAAACAATTGCATTATATTATAACACTTGATAGAAATGTTAATATATTTGGGGCAGGGCAAGAACGGCATCCGGGGATTTATACTGTCATATGTACTTCTGTAATTTGCATTGAAACTTGTCTTCGGCAATGAAAGATGACGTAAAATGGGTACGCGAGAACACAACTACAGTGAAGTACGCATATTGAGAAGCACCCAAGGACGCCTTTAACAATCTCCCCAAAAGCAAAAAAGAAATGTTCCACTCGGTTGTCATATGACCTGTGTCCGAAGAAGACATGCAGATTTGCACGCCGTGATTGGTCCGATATGTGCCGGCTTTAGCCAATCGTCATCAGTGGGTGTCGGCTGCGCTAAGCTTGCCTGAGAGCTCACGCGCTCTGTGCTTGTTAATTAGAGACGGTGGCGCTGCGGGGCGGTGTGGGGCTTGTATGCTCAGAAATTGGGAAGTCTTATCATCTGACTGACCGACGGCTGGACGACAGCAGGCGAACATCGCAGCTCCGACGCTGGCTTGAATTGCGGGATAGCTGGGTAAGGCTGTCGGGGCATCTGGACGGCAGTCCCGGGGGATGCGATGCCAGCAAGGTACTGGGAGGCGGCTTTGTCCTGGTGTTCACTTCGCCGTCCTCCCGCCGCGCAACCTGGCGTCCCGATCGCGGCGTCCCAGCAGGTGGATCCCCTACAGAGGCTGCTTGACCGTGACCCATAAGGGGGGTGAAGTATGTCAGCTGCCGGGTCCGGTTTGCTGTGAAATTTCGCAAGCCGCGCATGCAGTGCTAGGGAAATGGCATGATCTCCCGTTAAGATCTCTGTAAGATGCCGTGGTTTCCCATTGAAATCGCGGTAAGATGCCATGATCCCCCATTGCGATCTCTTGTTTAACCCAGTCGTTGTTTCCCGTCTCTGCGCATCTCTCATTTCATCCCGCGTCCCTTTGTCATTTCAGGTCAGAAGGATCCCACGGTTCTGAGACGCGCCCCCCCTCGTCGCCGTTCTCCCCAACGCCGGTGGATTTTCGCCGCCGCCCGGGAGATGCTCTGAGATCGCGCCCCGCCGCTGACCGCGGTCCGTTTTCCGTGCACGGAGTCGGTTCGGTCCGGACGCGCTGAAATGAGATGAGGCTCAGAAATGGGACTGTTGCCACTGCGGTTATATTCCTGACGTCGTTCCTGAGCCTGTCCTGGTACACAGCCTGGCAGAATGGCAAAGGTGAGCGAGCCGGTCCCCTTGCATGCACGTGCTTATACCCGCATCCGTCAGTCGTGGGCTTTCCCTGGACGTGGGAAGGTTTCTCTTTTGACCACGTGTTGTACTTAACACCGTTCGCTTTGGGTCATGGCTGTTCATTAATTGGCCCATATTCTCTAAATCCACTTCTGTATATAATTCACCAGTTTTCTGTGACGTGAGCGCCGCCTCGTCAAGAGGCAGCCAGGGGCATTAGTCTGAGAGCCTGGATCTTCAGGCTATTGTCAAATGCACTTTTTACGGCGCTCTGGTACTGGGGGTGGTCCTGCTCATATCAGTGCTGAAGTTCTGATATGATTACGGCTAGCTTGCAACTGAGGTATCCGAACTTTAGCTCCCTGCGGTCAGCGGAACGTTCACTGAATAAAATGGCCTGCAACCTGGGGGGTGTGAAAAAGATTTGATTGTGACCGATGGTAGTGTTTTATGTACCGTGAATGACTCGGACTGTTACTGGAATGGAAAATACAGAGAACTACAGATGGGGTGTTCTCTGTGGGTGTTCGAAAAACAGAGGTGCAGGCATCCTCACCCAGGTCTCATCTCCCGGGAAAGTAGTACAGTTTGACTGCTGTTGTATTTAGGTTTGGCCACATGTGACGGAGAATTTTTGCCCTGGATATGGCGCGAGGAGGAGTGAGGTGTGGCTTTTTATATGCATTTGCATTTCGGTAAGAAAAGTGCTTCTCCTGTATCAGTGTAGTAGGGATCGAAAGTCTTTCAGATTGTCGTCAGTCCGTTAGAGAGCACTCAGGGTTTCAGACAGGAAATGCGTGTTTTCCTGTTTTGTGAGCAAAAGACAGCTTTTGTTTGAATCCGTTCCTTAATGCTCTAATCTGCCTCATGTTTAGATGCAGTGCTGTTCTCCCAGAAATGCTGTCTGGGGTCCTTCCTTACATTTTTACACCTGATCGCAAACTGATAACACAAGTAATTAAATATCTACGCTCCTGTTGGGCCAGTTATATAGTCAGTCGAGAACCGGAATGAAACAGAATCCTGAATACAAGCAAAATCAGATAAAATGGTTTAATGATATTAATGGGATGACAGAACCTAATTATTATCGGTAATTATCGGTTTGTTAATGCTGATTCCAATGCGCTTGTTAATACGTTTGTCATGTAATATTTGTTGTGTGCAGAATTATTTGCAGAAAGGTGTCATTTTTCTGTCTCCGTTAATTGCCTCCTTTCATAGTGGCGTCTTTTTCTTCGGTCGTGTTTTGTGGGTCATTGGCTGGTGTTTTATTTTGAGCACCGTGGGCTGGAGCTACAGAAGAAAGTCTATGTTTTACTTAAAAAAAAAAAAAAAAAAATCAGCTGAGCTGTTGATGGACCCATGTTGAGCACAAAGCCGTGCATTGACGGGAGGTGGCTAACCCCGCCTCCATCTGGCCATGGACTCGCTTTCTCCTGCTTTGCCTGGGTATTGCTTTGAGGGGGCTGAGAACTTTGCACGGGGCTGAACTCACCAGGACCCTGCAGTGGGATCCGGACAAAGGACAGAAATGTCCCTACATGGAAAGGCCACTGTTTCCTGCTCTCCAGCGTGGCGATTATTGTCTCTGCCCTTGGGGCCACGGGGAAACTTAGCTGCTGGAGTAGAGGAGAAGTTGACCACCTTCGCTCTGAGGCCGTCCTGCCATATGATTGGCCCTCTTCTATCACAAAAGCCCCCCCTGAACGCAAATTAAGCTGCTTCCTTGTTTTGTTTTGTTGAAACAAACACCGTAGTCCAGATGTTCGTCTCCCTGCCCCCAGCCCTGTCCCTGCACCCTTCCTGTCACAGTACTGTTGTGAGCTGCATCTTGCTTCATCAGTAGAGCATTCCACGGTCCAGTAATAACCCAGCAAAAGTGGAATGATGCCAAAGACAGCTAGAGAGTGGGCGGAGTCTCTGGGAAGCCTCTGGCCGATTGGCTGCATCACTCGGAGACCAGGGAAGGCTGAGAGTTCAGGCTCAGGCCCATTCTGAAGGAAATCTGAGGCTGTAGGGGACTTGGGGCCTGAGTCGTATGTTGGGAGATATTCAGGAAATTTGCAGCTTTGCAGTTTGGGGGATTTGGGGCGCCCTGTGCCTACGCCAGTCCTCATTGTCCTCCGCCGCCTCTTGTCTTTGAGATTTGATGCTGCTGCTGGTCGCTTCTCACTCCTTCCCCTACTGGTCCTCACTTTGCTGTTTCACATAGGTTCTTGTCTTGGGTCATGGCTTGAAGCTTCACCATCCTCCCCTGGTCACGTGAAGTCGCATGACCAGCTTTTGCCCGTTGGCGTGGAGACCCAGGGGCACTGCGATAGGTCCCCAGTCGTGTAGCCTGGAGTTATGCCCCCCATGTTCACGCTCTTCAAGTTCAGTGATTTACTAATTTGTTGTTTTTTTTTAAGTTTGGATCTTGTGGTTGCCTTGGCAGCCAGCTAAATCCTCAAGCAGATCTTTCTGAGATTTGATCCCTAAGTTGAAGGTGGTGGGGGGTTGTGCTACGTACTCTTCCAGATGTCAGCATCTGAATGGGATGGACAGCTGCTCAGTAGAAGATGGACAGGCTGCGTTAGCTGAGAAGGCGTCGTACGGGGTTGACGACCGGCGTAGACTGGGGTCAGCGTTCTTTTTAGGACATATAGGAAGTCTCTGTTTCTTTATTCCTTATCAGTGGGTGGGGATGGATAGCTAAGCCTGTGATGCAACTTTTTCGGTCTTCTACACTTTGATATCACTGCTGTCACGCTTTCTGGTTGTGTAAGGGCTTTCTGGGCTGTACTACAGCCTTTGGAGCATCTGGGCACATCACTTCCTGTTGTCTTGTTGGGGGTGGGATTGTGACTGTATTGTCTGTTTAGATTAGATTAGAGTGGATTTTATTGGATTCAACTTTACTGTGAATGTGCTGAGTACAGATAGAGAGCCAGTGAGATGCACTTAGCATGTAACCAAGTGCTTTGAGAATCAGAGCTCTGTTTATAGGATGTTTGGTAAGATGTGTTATAATATCGGGAGAATGAAGACACCTATGTGGACAAACCCGGCTTCAGAGCCTGTCCCAGGCCTATGGAGGCGCGGTAACCTGGTCTCACTGTTCTCGCCTGAAATATTTACGGCTCTCCTTCATATCCTGCTGCTCAATGTCAGCAAACGGATTTCAGCACCCTCACGCGTTCACCTTTACATAACCGTGGGTGGGGTTCTTTTGTGTTTATGTTAGTCTTTTCACAGTCACTCCAAAAATAACAGCGCTGTTCATTGGACGAGGCTCCCTTTCACCCGGCACAGGTGACGTTAACAGTGTCTGATAAAAGGACCTGGGCCCGAGTAGCCCGGTGCTCTCTTTGGTTTGCCCTCTGTCATCTGGCCAGATGGCCCGTGTGGCCTGCAGAGGGGATAGGTGTATTGTTTGCTGGGGGGCGGGGATAGCTGTCAGTGCAGCTGCTGTTAACATGTTGGCTTGTCCATTAGCTAACAAAAGCCATTATCCCGCTCCTCTTGTGCATGACATGAGGAAAACTCTGAATTGACTTGCCGTGTGCGCTTGGGCCCCCTATGGATCTGAAAGGGGGTGTGGTTTATTGGTCAAACCTCATCTAGGACTCTTGTTCTGATGGAGTGTTTTTGGAATTAACCATCTGAAAGAGATCCTTCATCTTGAGACAGGAGCAACACTAACGCAGTCTTCCCGAGAAAACGGCCCCTCTGTCTGCGTGCCGGCCTACAGCTTCAGATCGGACGTGGCGCTGAGCTGCAGAAGGGCGGCCTTTTATAGGCATTGGAGAGAGATGTGAGGGTAGCTTTCACCCAGAGGCTGCTGGGAGTTTAAATATGAATCCCTGTTTGCACCGCTTGACAAAACCAGGGCCTATAAATAAGGGCTGTTTCCCATTTCTGATGTCACGGAGACGGCCCAGAGGGTGTGAGCGGTGGGGCTGCATTTGCATGTGCGATTATGGGATGCAATGCAGCTATAAGGAACTCCTGCGTTAATCACAGGAGAATGTTTCTGAGCAATGGGAAGGCAGCTGGCTAATAAGCTTCTTACTTAGCCTGTTGTAGCTTGTCACCCCCCCAGGTGTCTGGGGAGATGGAATGTCGAGGAAACAAAACACAAGCAAGCGTGTTTCAGCCTGCCCCATAGCCCCTGCCCCCCGCCCACCGCCCACCCCCCACTCCCACCGGGAGTCGCTGTAGGCTCGATGATGGACCTGATGGCCACGGAGGGTGGATTCCGGCCTCCACAGCACACAGTGTAAGCTAATGTATGGTGACTGGGGGGGGGGGGTTAATTATCACAGAAACTGTGGTGAAATTTATAAACCTTGTGTGCGTGTGTGTGTGTGTGTGTGTGTGTGCGCACTTCTTCTGCTGACTTGCGTTTCTATGTCAGGGTTGAATCTGATCCCCTTGATGGTGGGGATGATGGGGGGGGCGGTTTTCGACACGGTGCCTGTGACCGGCAGGTCACTGGTTCAAAGCCCAGGACCAGCAGAGAGATTTCACTATTGGGCTGTTGAGCAAGGCCCTTAACCTTTAATAGGTCTAGGGACTAGGATTGTCACGATACTGAAATTTCAAATTCGATACCGATACTAAGGATGGTGCTCGGTACTCGATACTATTTTCGATGCTACAGGGGGAGAAAAAACAAACACAGGAACTTTAAAAAAAAATAATAAAAATTAAGTCAGAATACCACCAAAAAAATAAAAAAGACAAACAATACAATGAAAAAATAAACCTAATAAATAGAAAAGGCCATTAACATTGTAAAATAAATAAAATATTTCGTGACAGTGTAGACAGGGATCTGGTCCATACAAATGTACTCGGCAACAGCCCTGTTGAGCGTTTGTGCCTCTGGTGATTTGACACTGTATTTCCGCTGTTGTTCAAACAGTGCTGGTAGGGTGGGTTGTGTTTGTGGCTGTTTACGTCTGACTGCTGATCCCCCTCTCTGTCTCAGCCTGGGACTATAACACATACATAATGATTGTCAGATAGGAACAGTGGAGTTTTATAGGTTTGGCACCATGGCCAAAAATAAAGAAATAAATGAACGAATAAAGGACATAAATGTATTTTAATGTTTTTGAGCCAAACTAAAAAAGCACTCCTCGCAGTGAAAAAATATGCGCGTCGTGCAATTAGATGATTGTGAAATGCGGAGAGAGAAGTGAAGACACGGCCATTCTTATAGTTAACTTCAACAGTATTGCTTGACAGTGGCACTTAAAATATTCATATTTTCATATTCATATCACACAACTTTACTCTCCTCTCGAAACTCCGCACATAATTCGGAGTGATGGTCTTTCAAATGCTTCGCTAAATTTGTCGTGCTGCTCGTTTTGGTTGCGACAACTTTGAAGCACTTCTCTTAAATGGGCTTGTCCACATCTTTTGTTTTTCCTTGTTCATCTGGTTCATATGCAAACTGTTTCCAGACCGTTCTCTTGCTTTTTACATTCTCTATCAAGCTTGGTGCTGCAGAACTAAAGCTGGAGCTGCTTTCGCCCGCTGCCATGTTTAAAGTGTGTCACTCATGTAAAACAATGGGTCCTCCAGGTAGCCGTTGTTGGGGGAGGGGTTGCCCGCTGCAGTGCCTGTTGAAAATTGTTGTAGTCTGCCAGTGATTTCCATGAACTTGCAGATGCAAAACTGGCATTTAAGTATCGATACCAGCGCTAATTGATATCGAACTCGATACTGAATTTTAGTATCGATTTAGTATCTGAGAATCTATTTTTTTGACAACATTACTAGGGACCACGTCACTTTGGAAGTGCCTGCTTTAAGGATCCTGCAGCATTCTCTGGAAATGTCCAGCCAAAGTTTGGATGGAGGGCAGATGCCATCCGCTGGTGGGGGGGGTGGGTGCAGGCTGGTATTGAGAGCAGAGCTGCTGACCTATCATTCTCTAGGGGGTAGAGATGTGAAATAGCATAAAGTTAATGGACCGTGCAGGGCAGTTTGGCGGGCGGGGGCTGTTTTGGGATCATTCTCGTGCAGATCTGTGAGCGGCCGGTAAGGTCTCAGTAGGTGACGTCTCCGTGACATAGACCGTGGGACATAGACCGTGTATGCATCTGCCTGGATGCGGATACATATATTCCTGCTCTCGGTTTTAAAAAGCCCTCTGCAGCGTGAAGGTCCCAGGTTTTGACGTTTAAAGCGCGAAACTCATTGTGGCTGCCGGTGTCATTGTTAATCTTCAGCCATTAATTAGAAGGCACAAGCTGGTGGTGCACTAACGGCACATCCAGCACTGTTCTGGAGGTCACGTGACTTTGAGTGAAGGTACCGGCTCCGTTCCTAAACTTTGCATAACGTCGTGTCTGGGCCTGGTGTGGAGGTCATGTGACTTCCGGCCTCATGGTGGGGGTCCCCCTGGAGGAGATCGGCCAGTGTTCTGCAGCCGGCGATACCAGGTCATCGTCACTTAGGTCCCCTTGAAGGGATGCGGGTGAAATTCAGTACTGACCCTGCTAATGGAATTGTGTTTGTGCACAGAGCCTTCCCTTTAAAACTAACAGAGATTCGTCACTCAGTGTTCTTTGTGTCCTATGTGTGGACCGGAGACCTCGTACACAAACTTAGTGTCCCGAAAGTGCCGTCGTGCTAATGAGTCTTGACTAATGTGAGGTGTGATTCATCAGTGGCGGTTGGTGGCGTCACTGTACCTTGCTGTCGCTGTTTCCGGTTGTCGCCTCGGACCCGGAATCTGCGGTCCCCTGGGGCTTCTGAGGAGGCGGGTATTTCTCATGCTCTCTGTGGAGAAACCTGGAAAGATCTGACCTTGAATTGTGCTTCAGGGTCTAAATTTAGACTAAGTGAAGAATTGGGGGGGGGGTACTGAATAGCAAAGGGAGAGATGAGGCGCCGAGATGCATGGTGGGTGGGGTTAATGTGCTGTCAATCACTCCTTGGCTCCAACCATTATATGAGAGTGACATCGCTCGGTGATTCTGCTCCCTCGCTGGCCCTTTGCAGGATCGGAAATCGAAGCTGTGATGACATCACATCCGAGTGTAACTGCATTCCAGTACAAGAAGTCGGAAGGCTATTTAGCAATACCAGAGACCGGTTTCAAAAAGCAGCATTACTTGCTTAGCAGGATAACTTATGAGATTTCAGGCTCCCCAGTTGAAATGACCGTTATCTTCATTTTTTTACACTTAGCCCAGACTTTCAATCTGTCTAGCTAAGCAAGAATTTCCAGCCAGGGTCCCAGCCAGGTTAGCCATTGTTAGCCATATCAGTTGATAACAATGCATTATACAGTGTTTTATGCATAAAAACACCATAGCAACACATCCACAGATAGTGGTTGTGTGTACGACTGATTTAATGAACCATAAATAAGACAAAGTGTTAAGAAACAGTATATAACCTGATGATAAAGACCCCAGCCAACTTGAATTCTGAGATGAATGAATTCTCCGACTTTCCGAGTCTGAACTTCTGACTTTGAGTGGCGTTCTAGTTGAAATTTCTGACTAGGACCTGTGAAATCTCCACCCCACAATCTCGGCATCTCATGCGGTCTGATTTTGTCCTCTGTCCGGTCGCCCTGTGCTTTCTGCACAGACGACGTCAACAGAGACACTCTTAAAGCGACAGGCTCGAAACATCAGACCTCAGAGGATGTTCATGGGAGAGGGGGTCGGTGAGTATTAAGGTAACATTTATTTTTTTTGTGCGCCCCCCCCATAGAGAAGCTGATAGCCTACCAGCGGGAGTTTCATGCCTTAAAAGAGCGCCTCCGTGTGGCAGAGCACCGCACACTGCAACGCTCCACGGAGCTGAACAACATCCTGGAGCAGTTCAGGCGTGCTATCGCAGAGACCAATGGCAGCAGGGACACCCTCAGCAACTTCTCAGGTGGGTAGAGGAGACGCACAGGTGTGTGTGCACTTCAGCATGCGGACCGACGGGTCGTGGTGACCATGAACTTCATTTCCTCCTCAGTTGAAACCCAGAAGCTGCTCAAGGAACTGGCCCACAAGAAACCTCTCCAGGTGCCAAACATCTACTATCATCTGCCTCACCTTCTCAACAACGAGGAGAGCCTCCGCCCGGCCGTACAGGTGGGGCAGGGCAGGACCGGGGGTGAGTCTCTGCCGTCTTGGGACCCGAAGCCTCCCATAAAGCTTCACAGCCATAGAACAGTGTTTCCCAACCTGGTACTCGGGGGGCCCACAGACGTCCACATTTTTGCTCCCTAGCGGAGGCTAGGAGGAAGCAAAAACATGGACCGTCTGCGGGTCCCCGAGGACTGGACTGGGAAGCAGTGCCATAGTGACCTGCCATGCAATGCAGACTCTGAATAACCTTGAGACGCTTCCCATGGACAAAGGGGCGATGTTAAAGCTGCCCCTTCATGATCAGCCGCCCCCAGCTCCCAGACGGTCTCGTTCAGAGGCTAGATCGTGGTGAATAGCATCCGGCCGCCTGCGACGATTGAGAGAACAGGAAGTGGCGTGTGGACAACTCTCTCACCTGCATGCTTAGTCAGACCCCCACCCCTCCAAATGCGGAGTTATGCTGCCGGGCCTGGTCTTTGTAGCTGACTCTCCGACGAAAGGCAGGGAACCTGGAATGTGGCGCATAGTTGCTGGACCAGGCAACTCCGACCTCGGCCATCGTGACCCCCCCCAGTCAAAGTCACCGGTCTGCTCACCGCCACAGAAGAACTCCGGTGGGGGATTATTTTTAGCTTTTAAATCGGGACATGTTCTTTCATTAGAGAACGTACCCAGCCACAGAATGAGTTTTCCCTCCTTATCCTGGCGCGGTACATTAAACCCCCGCTGTATGTGCTCAGGATCTCTCCTTTGACTTTGTCAGTCGTTCCCCCTTTAATGTTTAATACAGTCAGAAGCCCCATTGCTCTTCCTAATTAGAGATGTATTGCTTTTAGTGCAATGGTAAGCACACATTAAACTCACTTTCCAGTGAATCTTGTGCAGGAAACCATTAGGAGGACAATACCCAAGGTGCAGATAACCCCCCTCCCCCCCCCCCCCCCCACACAAAGGGGATTTGCCAAAAAGGTGTGTGCCCCTTTAAATGGGGTGTCATGGATGGATCCTCCTTACATAATCCTTACATAACCTTATGAGCAGCAGGCTGGACTGTTACCGACATTCCTTAGTGCTCTCGAAATGGCTGAGCCCCCCTCCGGTGTGAGGTTTCCACTTGCGGGGGTGAAAAGCCTTTCCTCTGGTCTGGATCTACCAGAGAACCCCTGTGTTCCTGTTTATAGCTCAGTACCAAGGGAGCTGCTGGTCCGGTTAGTGGTCTGGTTAGTGATCTGGGGTGAGTTTCCCGAAGCCTCCTTAACACTACGTCGTCCGTTAGTTCTATCTTTTAACACAGAATTTAAGAACGACGTAGCGTTAAGAACGCTTCGGGAAACTCACCCCTGGTTAGTGGTCTGGTTAGTGGTGCGGTTTACCTGTGAATTTCATGGAAGTAAAACAGCAGCAACTGTTAGGTGAGAAAGGAAATACCTGCAGTTATAGATTTGCATTTTAACAGATGAATGAAATAGTGTTTGTGACAGAGCTGATTACACTTGGTCTAGGGAATGATAGGAAATCAGGAGGGTGGAGGTTGAATACAGCAGCGTCACAAGGCTGCCTGCAGTGTAGGGGAACTCCGGAGGCCAACGGGGCTCTGGTACCCACAAAGGGCGCACCGTGGGCTCAACCGCCTCCTGCCCCTGCCCCCGCAGTCTCCATGGTGATGGGGATCCCCACGGTGCGGCGGAAGGTGAAGTCGTACCTGGCGGAGACGCTGCACTCGCTGGTGGACAAGCTTTCAGCAGAAGAGCGGCAGGACTGTGTGCTGGTGGTGTTCGTGGGGGAGGTGAGGATTGCCGGGGGGGGGGCGCAGACCAGAGGAGAATTGCTGATGAGATGGCAGAGACCATGAAGATTGACCCCTGCCCCCCATGAATGTTGTAGTTGATGGCGGTTGGCCGTCGCACTTCCATTTTATTCTCATATCTTGTTCCATCCCACATCTCTGATTTACAGTCAGGAAGGAAATGTTTAAATTGTACCCAGTTTATCTTTAATCTTGCCTCAGTACATATTTCATTGTCCTCATCTCTGATTGGCCTGCCTTTTTGCATTCCACTGTCACCATCTCTCATTAGGCACTTTCAGGATCCTGTTCAGGAACCTGTTTCCTGGTTCCGAGTCCCTATGCCTTCTCAACTGGGAACTTTTGCAGCTCCCGGCCACTTTCATACGTCGCTTTCCCACCGCAAAACAGGAACTGTCACCTTTATACTAAATAGGGATGAGAGATGCAAGTTAAACTTGATAGGTTCAACTTCACACATAATTTCATGAGTGAGAAACTACACCGGCACCCCAAAACAATGGATGACGAGTTGTTTTGTTAACTATTGTTCAGTATTTTTTCACCAATTTATGTACATCTATTATAAAAATCATACTACCTGAAGATGTATATGACAAGATAAAAATGACTGTAAAGCCAGAGCACAGAAGAGAAAAGACTTTTGTGCCATAAGATTTTGTGATGAACCTTATCGTCTCATGTGGACAGTGCTAAGTCAGGAACTACATCCCAGAAGCTACAGTTGGGCCAAGTTCCTATGATGGAAACATGACAGAAGTTCCTGAGCTCCTGAATAGTTTTTGGTTCCTCAGAAATGTTCCTGTGATGGGAATGAGCCTCTAATCATTGGCTAATTTTTATGTGAATAATACCCCCCTGGTGGTGCTGGTGTTGGTCACTGAACCCCCCCCCCCCCCCCCCATGTGTTGTTTTTCCACAGACGGACACAGACTATGTGCGCAGTGTCGTCGATGACCTGGAGAAGGAGTTGAGTCACTTTTCACGTTCTCTTTTTCGGAGCCTGTCGACACCCTTGCGCTCCGTGGCCCTGCCCTCTACCCCGGGGACGCTCTTTGAAGCTGATGTATCAATGAGGAAATGCATTTGAAAATCAGTTAACAAAGACTCCTCGGTTAGGCACCAGGAGCATCCTAAGGCGCTTGATCTCAGCGCTGCCACATCTCTTGTGAGAAGGTCCACAGACCCCTATGATTAAATGTACCTTCCGGAACCTTCTCAGTGTGCCTCCACAATTGGGGTTTCCAATTGTATCCGCGGCTGAGGTTCTGCGTTGTGGGGGGTCTGTGGGGGTGGATGTGACCCCTAAGCCTCCTAAAGGCGCTTTCTTCTCTGGTAGGTTCTCCACGGAGTTCAGCTCTGGTCTTCTAGAGGTCATCTCCCCGCCAGCCAGCTACTACCCTGACCTCAACAACCTGAAGGAGACCTTCGGCGACTCCAAGGAGCGAGTTCGGTGAGGGCCAGTATCCCGAGGCTGGTGCCGTGTGACCAGTTCAGCATCACATGGCTGCCTGTGACGTAATGAGTCATGTGACGCTGACCCACCAGTTTTGGCTATGGGAGAAAAACCAGCCTTTGAATGGGTTTTCCCTCAGTTTAGTTACAGCATTTATGTATGTGGTCCAACTCGCGTCACTCGGGTGTCATTTGTATAGCACACAAGCTGTAGAACGAAAGGAATTGACAGAAGCTGTACAAATGAGTCTAAGAAGTAGGACATGTTTCCTTTATTTAACGTGTTTACATGTCAGTCTCACTGTGTTACATACTTGACTGTCTGTCATCCACCCACCGCTTTCTGGTTCACTGGCCCTTTCTATTTCTGAAAACTATTCCTTCAGTAAGTTTTTTTTTTTTTCTTTTTCCCCTTCTTCCTTTTCCTCTTTAATCAGCCTGATGACTCAGCCGCTGTGTTTGTGTGTGGGTGTGTTTCTCTTTCATTCTTCTTTTCCAGTGTGCTGGGTGCCCCCCCGCCCCTTAGCGTGTTCCTGGCCCATATGCATGTATGAATCTGTATATTAGAATGCCCCGTGGCATATCGCTGGGCGTGTTGGCGGTGGGTAGGACTCGGAGATGGGTGCTGACCACGGAGGTGCCGTGCTAATGTTTTGGCATCGAAGTGGGTTTTGTTTCAAGCTGATTTACCCACTTGTGCCCACTGCTCCCAACCCCGTGCACCTTCAGGATCCCCCCCCCCCCAAGCTGATTTACCCACTTGTGCCCACTGCTCCCAACCCCGTGCACCTTCAGGATCCCCCCCCCCCGGCGCGCACACACTCGGAGCAGGCACTTGAGTAGTCAGCTATCTTATACCACCATTTCTCTCAATGCTTTCTATCCAAACAGGTGGCGGACAAAACAGAATCTGGACTACTCCTTCCTGATGATGTACGCAGTGAGCAAGGGCGTGTACTATGTACAGGTGCGTGCGTGTGCGTGTGCGTGTGCGTGTGTAACACTTAGCACTAGATGCCCTGGTTCTGTTATTCTGTTTTGTGTCAGCGTTCTCTGTTTCGTTTGTGATGTATAGGGTATGTCTGTGCACTGCTATCTGCTAAAAACTAGAGAAACATGAGCTGCATGCAGACACGCACCTCAGTCACGAACACTCCTACAAAATCTTAACCCGCGTTACCTTGGTAACGAAATTCCGTCATGCTGAAGGGCATCTTAGCATATGAAGTTCTGTTGATTTCTGCTTGGACGCGAAGATCTTCAGACTTAATAAACGTTGCCATGGGAATGTAGGTGTTTAGCTTTTCTGTGAATTCTCAACACCACTGCGGCAAATGAACTCCTCTTGTGCAGCAATTATAAAAAAAAAAAAAAAAAAAAACACGTGTGATGAAGTGATTTGACGGACAGCTTTTGTCCCGCCCCCTCCATCAGCTGGAAGATGACATCGTCGCCAAGCCCAATTACTTCGCCACCATGAAGAACTTTGCTGTTCAGCTCGCCTCCGAGGATTGGATGATCCTGGAATTTTCTCAACTCGGATTCATCGGTAAGGAAGCCCCCACCCCCTCCAGTTAACGAGGTGGGGTGGTTAACGAGGTGGCTAACGAGCCTGTGCTGAATAATTTACATGGCAGCCCTCTCATGTTCCCCCGGTGGGGGTGGGGAAACTCTTCAGGGAGCAGCTCCAAGGCTGCAGATGCACGACCCTTTCATCTTCTCATGGAGGGTGGGGGAGGGAGTCTTTCTCAGCCCTTGAGGGGGGGGGGCACTGCTGCACTGCTGTGTCGTGATGTTTGAGCGGAGGATGATTGCAGGGTGAAAAGTTGAAGCTCTGTAATGAGGAAGGGTAATGCAGCCCCAGAGGGGTGTCATAGCGTATTACCGCAACACTCCGGAGAATTCTCACATCCTGCAGAGCCACTCGGCTCAAACGACAGCAGGAAAGGTGCACAGATACACTGGAGCGTTGCTTTTCCCTCCCCAGGGAAGATGTTCCAGGCTCCAGATCTCAATCTCATTGTGGAGTTCATCTTCATGTTCTACAAGGAGAAACCCATCGACTGGCTGCTCGACCACATTCTCTGGGTCAAAGTCTGCAACCCCGAGAAGGACACGGTACGGCCATGTGTGTGAGTCACCCGGACCAATCAGGCGAGGCCGGCTGTGACCCTCACCTCTTTGGTCTCTCGCTCTCCAGCATCTCTGCTCAGTGAGAAGATCGTGTCTGACCTGTCTGCTCTGTGTCCTCGTAGAAGCACTGTGAGAGACAGAAATCCAGTCTGCGAATCCGCTTCCGGCCCTCCTTGTTCCAGCACGTGGGACTGCATTCCTCTCTGGCTGGAAAGATCCAGAAGCTTACGGTAATGCCACCATGCGCCATCTCTCTCTGCTTCACGTTCAGGCGCCATCTGCTGTGTGCGATACTGGTGTGTTGTTGCCAGTCTGCACTTTCTTCCTATTCCTGTAAGCCCTCTGCTTTCTGCAAGGTCATTGGCTCGTGTTTCGGAGTGACAGCTGAACTATCCAGTCCCCTTAGCTGTTACCCCGGGTTACCTCTACTTGCCACCCTTCGCAGGACAAGGACTTCCTGAAGCCGCTGCTCCACAAGATCCACGTGAACCCACCTGCAGAGGTGTCCACCACGTTGAAGGTGTACCAGGGCCACACGCTGGAGAAGACCTACATGGGGGAGGACTTCTTCTGGGCCATTAACCCCACTGCTGGTGACTACGTCCTTTTCAAGTTCGACCGGCCTGTCAGCATTGAGAGGTGAGGCCCACAGGATTTTTCTCTCTCGTTCTTTTGAATGTGCGGATTTCCTGGTATGTGTGTTTGTTCATGTGAACCTTGGTTGGTCGGTACTCAAAGGGGAACCTCACACTGAAAACAAAGCAAGTCTGTGTTTCAGCTTAAGAACCTGCCCTACACTCACAGAACAGCAGCTTTACATTTTCATGGCTGTGAATCGCTTGGCTTTCCTGGGCTGGGATTGGTTCCATGAGGAGCAGTACCCTTCAGATGGAATTATTTTTGTATCTCAGTTACATGAAATGCAGTAATACATTTTTTGCTTGACTCTCTAAAATTCTGCATTGGGAAATATAAATCGATATCCGATATAATATTGCCAGTGCTTATCGTCAGACTAATATGGCATCGTTTTTTTTTTGTTGTGGAAAAAGAAAGATTGATCTGCTGGCCGTTTAATAATGTATTATAAACCATGTCATGGGTCATACAAATAAAAAGCTGTGTCCCGTTTTTGAACCAATACAGGATGTGATTCTTCCCATATTTTGGACCATGTGATCAATACCCCCATTAACTAGCAAATAACTAACAAAATTACTTGGTCATCCTCCTTTTTGTTTGGGTAGGTGGCGCAGTTTCATGTGAAATTATGTGTGATGTTTAACCTACAAGCTATTTGTGTCTCCCATACTTGTGTAACATAAAGGTCTCAGTTGCTGTTGTGCGGCCGGAAAGGGACACACTTAAGTGGCCCGGACCTTCTCAGGGGGAACTTCAGGGGGAAAGTGCATAAATGGTGCAATTCCAGAACCCAGCCTGTAAGACGTGTGCTGTGATTGGCAGGTATCTGTTCCGCAGCGGAAATCAGGAGCACCCTGGTGACAAGATTGAGAACACCACAGTGGAGATTCTGCCGTTCTCGGTAAGTAAAGACACCTTTTGGTTAAATTACAATATCTTATTTGGGAGATACTCTGATCCAGAACAACTTGTGTGAAGGTTCTGTAACCTGTTCACAGGCTAATCTGCGGGGACTTTATTATAGTGATTTGTTCCATTTCCCAAGTGTTCGCCTTGGTTACCTACAAGCCTGCAGTGCTGTCATTGACCTTTAATGTGTCTGTGTGAGAGAGAGAGAAGGTCTGTTACTTTTAAAAAAAATTCTTCTGTGGATGATTTATCTGTGTTCCAGGACACTGGACTACAGACCAAATACAAACAGACAGAGGATCATTTCTACAGAATCGGTGAGTACACTGAACACTGGATCCCCAACACACACCAGAAGCCCAGTAACCTGCCCCACTGCGCAGCCCGACCCGATTTAAACCCGGTGGCTCAGGCCCCTCGGAGCCCCCGCCTTGAGAGATGAGGAGCAGCTCACACTGCACATTCCTCTCCCACTGCAGGCAACTTCCTGTGTGTGGTGGGCTTTGGCAGGGGGCGGGGCAAAGAAACAATCTCAGTATGTTATTGGCTCCTCCCTAATGTATGTAAATTAGGAGACATCCCACACCGATTGGATTAACCACGCCAGTCAGTCTGTGGTGTTGACAGTCACGTTTGGAGCATTTAGTGCAGTAGTAACCTCTGTGTCCATGTGCACCAGGGCATTTTGAGAACGGCATCGCAGAAGCGTCTGTCGATCCCACCTTAAACCCCGTGGTGGCACTACGCCTCTCCGTGCTTCAGGACTCTGCCGTGTGGGCCATCTTGAGTGAGGTTAGCTTCCCGTTTTAGAGATTGGTCCCCCTCCCCCCCCCCCAGGCATGGCCGCCTGGCTTTCCCTTCCCCTTGCACACCGCCTTTCTGTTTGGGGGGGCAGCAGATTGTGATCCACAGCATGTGAGACGGGCAGCTGACCACAGCTCTGAGATTTTATTTCGTTTTCTTTTAATTCCCCTTTTTTTTTAGATCCACATCAAGAAAGTGGCCACTTAGTTGGCCTCCAGCCAGAAGGGGGCACTGTGGGGCCTCTCCCAGGCAAGGGGACGTCGACAGAAAGCCCTCCTGTGGCACTTCCTGCCAAACACTGAATGCCGCTCCCAAGCTCTACCTCGAGCGAATGTGAACACTACTGTTAAAAAAAAAAAAAAAAAAATACTCGAGGGAAAATTCCCAAGACGTGTGACGCAGGTGTGGGTGCTTAAGTGGAAGGGTGTCTCATTGCTGAAGGCGGGGGAGGGGGCACTTTGTATGTTATTGCACTAAAAGAGGAGCAATAGGAGAAGCAGACTGCCTGCGAGAACGAAGACATACTGATAGGTATGCTGCTGGTGATGTGACTGCTGGTGATGTGGCAGCTGTCTCCAAATATTTGCCATTATCTTTAGTGGGTGAAGGCTAACTTTGTGTAAATATTATATACATACATTTTTGTTTGTTTGCCAAAGTGTTGCTTTAAGTGGAAAATCTGAGTTCTGACCTTAGTCCAGTCAATCTCGTTCAGCTCTGATTGTAAATAGAAATCCATTGTACCCAATTTAAGTCTGTGCGTGGTCATAGGTTTAATCATTTGCTTCTTTTATGCAGTACTTGATGATCAGACCTTATTTACTTTCACAGAAAGACTAAGGCCCATCAGCTATGCGGAATAACCTTGAGGAGGAACTGCACTTTTATTTATTGACTTGTATTATTTATACAAGTGTTTTTTTCTACTTTTTGTGAAGAACTTGACGGATGTTTCATATTTTTTTTCTCTTGAACGAATGGTCTTGAGGCTTTCTGCAACATTTGCAGCTCACTGCGGTACTGGAGTGGGTGTGTCTCAATGCCTGTGCCTTAACTGACACACCCCCCGTAAGGGGCGGGGCCTCGCTCTGTATAGTGTACCGCGTGGGGGGAGGGGGGGGTGCAGGAAGGACAGAGGCGGTTTGTTTTTTTTCCTCTCCTTATGTACCTTTTTTGTAAATGTAAAAATAAGCCTGCCATGTCATTCAGTGTCAAAGTAGCCATTGCCCATTTCCCAGAAAACCTTGCTGCACTGCAGTCACATGATCCTGATGCGTGTTGTCGCTAACGTGCCTGCTCACTTTGAGCCGAAGGATGGCGACCTGGGGTTTGACTATGTTCGAAGTTGCTTGTCTTACCGATGATGTCCAGGCGAGGTCACCTGATCATAGACGACTAAATGAGAATGAAAACAAATACATATTCAGAAGGGAAGCCATGTTTTAACGATAAGTGTATGATGTGTGATCAAATGGTGCTCTTGTATTGAAGGGTAGGGTCTGACTGGGGAAGAGTTTTGTATAAAATTTAAGTTATTCTTTCCAATTGATGAGCAAAGTGGTGGTTTCCTTAGTGACACCCCTGACTCCTCCCTATTGCCAGGGATCAGCCCCTCCCCCCCAGCTCAAACTCCTGAATCATCAGTCATATGCTTGTGAGCTTCAGCAAGGTAAAGGTGGGGAGGGTTGTTGCACACGGCCTCCAGCAACCCCGAGCAGGTTCCGTGCCTTCATCACTATATCAGAGATATTCCATGGATATTGCAGAAATAAAGTAGGAATTGTTCCCATGACCGTTTGCCTGCTGACTTATTAAATATCGTCTTGGGAGGTGTTGCACTTAAAAGTATTTCTGCAGCAGAAAACCTCAAATCAGGTGACTCTGTGTTCATTCATTTAAGTTGGATTTTTATTCAGGAGCTTAAAATGCATTAAGGGTTTTCCGCTTTTACTTGATTGCTGCTTTTAACAATTTTTTTTAAGTTAACCGCCCCGTGTGAAGTTTACTAATGCAGCGACCCTTGGGCTGTACTTTATCTTTAGTGCCCCCTACAGGTTAAAACACAAGTACTGATAACTGACCCCACTGAGCTGGTGATATCTGTAAAATTCAAAGGGAAGAGGAAACTACTACTAACTGGATTACAGCTGTTTGTATCTGTAATATTATGCTGTATTTTTTCTGAGCAAAACAATTTTTTAAATTATAAATTAAGTCTCGTGGAGGAACTGCTTTCTTTATATCAGACTACCTTGGGCAAGCTATACGGTTACTTTAGTTTGTGTTCCAGATGGTCCTGGGTGAGTACCATAGCTAATCAAGTGGTTATTTTTTTTCCACCAATCAGCTTTCAGATATCTTTGCTAATGTCTGTGCAGCCTGATCCACTGCACTAAATATTTCCTCAATTAAAAACCTTTTTATTTAAGGTGCTCTGGGAAGGGAATTGGGAATGTACATACAGAACACCCTCCTAAAATGCACAGATTCATTTTCATTGTCTCACACCCTTCAATAAACTGAAAGAAATGAAAAGTTATTTTTTTTTTACACAAACAATACATAACTTTATCTACAGAGAATGTTATTTACAAGCTTTACAAAAATTAAACCCTTCGTACAAGTCTCCAAAAAAAAAGGGAAAAAAACCAAAAGGAGGGTCCTGGGATGAGCCCAGGCCGGCCCAGTCCATGACAGTCCCAGAGATCATATATACACAAGTCCCACTATGTCACAGTTATTGAACCCGGAACTTATAGAACCAGCAGAGGCCCTTGGTGAAGTTCCAGCCCAGGCAGAGGGAAAGGACATAAAGTAGGCCCAGCAAGGCAAAGGGGTACAACAGCACCACAGTGTTCTTCAGGAAGGGCAATGCTGTGGATGAGCAAAGAACCAATCAGCAACAACCTGGGAGGAAGTGACCAGTCACAGAGCAAGCAACCAAGGGTTCTACACAGTGAAAAGTACGATTCTGTACAGATGTGTAGAAAGGTTTTTTAAAGTTCCAACATCAAGTTTCATTTGTGGCAACTGCCTTTGATTTAAAAGAGCTGACAAGCCCTTCTGTAGGCTTGTAGAAAACACCAGCAATCCTTCTACAGGAAGCTTGATTACTGTTCTCCAAAACTGTCAGTGTATGTAAAACGGCTATATGCCAATGCATGAAATACTGAGCTGCTCACTAGGATCCACACACACACACACACACACACACACACACAGCATCACAGTGTCCTCCAAACTCACCGCTGTAGCCCAGGAACGTGATGTAAATGTAGTAACCAATGGCAACCAGCCAGAGAGTGTTCCCCACAAAGTAGCCCAGGAACCAATCAGAGTTTATAACCACAATGTCTGCAACACAGTGAGTGAAGAACAGTCAGCCTCAGCATTTTCCAATGACCTGGGATTCACGCACAGTCTGGGCCTGTGTTACCACCTGGCCCAGAGCTATCTGAAGACATTTAACTGGTTGAGTTTGCCAGTAAGCTATTAAATTCAAGTACAAGCAGATAAGGAAAAAGGTACAACTGCAGCCCTTGGGATTCAAACATCAGTGCAGTTAGTCATGCATTACTTGGCAGGGTACAGTGAGCCGGAAAGTATCGGGGGGGGGGGGGGACTCACGGTTGATGAAAAACAGCTGGAGGAAATGCAGGATGACCAGCAGGGGGTAGAAGGCATTCAGGTGCACATCGAAGGCATAGCCCCACTCCACGTCGTGGTCTTTACTTTGCTGCTTCATCAGGTATTTATTTGTGACGACCCTGCAGCGGGGGGGGGGTCATTTCAGCACACACAGAACAGTCAAGGCCAGAGATGAAACACAAACCCCCCCAGGAAGCTCTGTCCATGCTTTTGCTGGGAGCAAAAATGTGGGCCGGCTGACAAGGAGCTGGGAGGGAGCAAAAACATGAACTACCTGGGTGTCCCCAGCGAAGCGCCCCCTGGTGTAAAAGTCTGGGGAAAACTCATTCATTCTTACTGATCTAATCATGGCAACGTGAGTCTCCAGACCAAAGGAAGAACTGCCGGATGCTTGAGGGCCTGGACATGCTACGGCGTATGAGCTTACCACATGAGGGTGGAGATGAGCAGACCCACGCCGATACAGTCGATGAAGACCACCCAGAGCAGCAACTTCATCATCTCTACCAGACCCATTTCCAAAACCACACCGAATCCCACTGTGGACACTGCAGGTGACAAGAAGTGGGGCATTTTCACGTAAAGGGCACCTGCTTTAACATACACACACATACTAAGGAAGAGCCAAACCAGGGATCTGCAGCACAAGGCAGGATTTCTTGCTCAGCTGGACAACTTGTAGGATTTAAGGTACCCAAGTATAAATGAACTTTATCTTTGTTCACTGGCATTTTAGCCCAGACAACCTAAATCAGACAAGTTTTCCGGCTACGTAAGACATCCTGCTTCATGATACAGATCCCTGGTTAGTTAAGCCAGAAGGGTAAATATAAGAATTAATTCTACAAAACATTATAATAATTAAGATAGATATTTGTTTAGGTGTAGGAATAAATGTTGTCCCCCCCCAATGTCATATTCGCCCCTATGGTGTTGTATGTGTGCGAATGTGAGGGAAATATACACAAAACTGGTCACGCCCCCAGAGGGCGGGATCACACCGCACCGCAAAGCCATATGCTGAGAAGCACCAGGAAGGCGGGGTCATCTCGGGCCCACTGGTCCTTGGTCTGCTTCCTGTAATGGAAGTTGCGGTAGACCCTCTGCGGCGAGGTGAACAGGTAGAGCATCTGCCAGGCGGCAAACTCAAAGTCCATCTGTCGCACGTGTAGGAGCCGCCGCAGGTACTTGTAACGCTTGGCGCCCGCCGTGTGGCGCGCCGCGTCCCGCAAGCTCAGGCTGCCGTTACCCGTGCTCAGCGGGGAGTAGCTGGTGGTGGGCAACATGTTGCTGGGAAACATCAGGGGGAGGAGTCAGGCAGAAACCAACCAATCAGCAAAGGGCCACCTTAGTACCACTGTCATACGTCTGCCTGTTGGTATGTACATAGCTACATCTGCTGCCTCTTCATCAGTTCTAAGTATATCTGGCGTTGTACCCGTTAGGCCTGGAGGACAAACTCACATCACACACTGTCAGCTCTCACACATCCGGCGAGAGACACACGCTTTCAGAATCTCACGCTCACGCAAGAAATCTTACGGCAAATCTATATTTTTCCATTATAAACCTAAAATTAGCGACATCAAAAGCGTTGGGGTAGCTTGCAATCCATACAGACTATTTGCAAGGAAATAACTCTTACAAACATATAAATACGTGTGTAGACTTGTCTCGAACTGAAAATCTTACTCCAGCCAGTTGACCAAACTTGGCAACCCTGCTTTTGAGAGCTTTGCAAGCTTTCCTGTACTAATACCACACTAATACAATTTTTATTTCTCAGGGTAATTTGGGCTTTTAGCCACAACCCCCGCGCCTATTTATAGGAATGTTTGTTTCCTGTACTGATGGTTTACATACATTACCACAGGTCCCTGTGATTACTATTGATAATTACTTCTCTGTAATCCCTGCAGCGCGATCAGTGATCCATTACATCGCCTGCGTGTGATATTTTATTGCTTTCGGCCACTTCTATCAGTTTACGCAGGTAGCCTTTCCGGATATTACCATCTTATCAATACCTTACACCATACTACTACAAAAAGACTGGAAGTTACAGTAATGGTTACTATCTAGGAAATACCAGTGTAGCATTAAGGTCAGTTTATCATAAATTTCGAGCTCATCGCATTTATTTACAGCCCTTGAATGCTTGAGGCTTTCGGCTACTAGTACTAGTCGGACAGCCTGCTCACTGCAGGCCAACAGTAACTCAAACGTACACTGACGACATAGAAAGATGCGCTTCGACGGTGGCTATTAAAGAAGACACGTAATCTGTATTTGCAAATTACCTGTAAACGCAGCAAAGGCCCTCTGGAGCTCCTACAACGTTGATTCCTTGCTCCAGGTACCAAGCGCCCGTCCCAAAACCGAACACGTAGACCACGTCTGAGGCACCCGGAAGCGATGTCTGTGGCCCACGTGATTGGGAAATGTAGTCAAATTCAGACAAACGCTTAGCTGGGATGCGCCATGAAAAACTACAATACTTTTCACACCGTTAAAAACCCAACGTGGGTCTTCCGGGATCCCATCATGCTACGCGTTCTACATGTCATCGAGACTTATGGGAAAAATCAGTTCACGATTTACCTGTAAATGGGTTTAAAATGCGTATTTAATACATAGATGACTTATGTGGTGGGTGACATACGGCTTATGCATGGAGTTTGCTCGTCGTCCGCGGTACATTCACAGCTTCTCTTGACGTCGTTTTAATATTACCTCTATACCCGCTGACGCTATTCCAAAAGTTTGGTCTGTAAGACATGTCTTCTCAAATAGACTGTCTTCAGGAAGCTGGTGTAGGCAAATGAAATGGTTGAGGCACCTGCCGCAGGAACCGGACTGCAGTAACTAAGGCCTGCATACTGACTTAACTCTCCGTTGTGCGCTTCTGAACTGTAGGTCGCTAACGGATAAAACTACTTTCCTGAACGACCTGTTGCTGCTTGTAGAAACATAGCAAAATCCTGGTGATTACTTGCAACTAAATCTGCTTACACCTCCTGGTTATAGTTTTTATCTAAACCCCGTCTGACGGGCAGGGGTGGTGGTCTAGCGGTGATTAATCGTGACTGTGTTAAAACAACTACTGTTGGTTTTAATTAGATTACATTTGAATATCTGTTTTTTTAAAACTGCTGGAAAGGCTTCGTTACACGTTATATTAATCTATAGACCTCCTAAGCCTCACCCTAATTTTTTCTCTGATCTTAATGAGATACTTACTCTTGTTTGTGGCATGTCTACCGCTGTTATTTTGCTTGGTGATTTTAATATTCATGTGGATACTGACAGTTCTTCGTCTAGCGAGCTGCGTTCACTGATGGATTGTTTCAGTTTTGTACAACATACTGATTTCCCAACTCATGCTAAGGGCCGTACTCTGGGTCTTATTTGTTCTACTGGTTTACAGAATGTTTGTACATCTGGTTCTGTCATTGGTATCTCAGATCACAAGCTGGTTCAATTTAGTTTCAATTATCTGTTGCCTACATTAATTCAAAAATCTAAAATAACCTATCGTAACATTAAGAATGTTGATCAATTATCCTTCTCTATGTCTGTCGATGCTTCCTGTCTTTATGATGTTCTTCAGTTGTCTTGCCCAATGCAGATTCTGTCTCTGTATAATTCCACAATGTCACAAGTTTTAGACCATCACGCACCTATTAGATCCTTGTCTCTCCCTGCTACCCGGACCTCCCCATGGTTCACATCTGAGCTGCGTACCTTCAGCTACTACTGCTATGCCAATGGCACGCAACTGTATATAAGTGTTGATCCAACTGCATCATCCCCAGCCTTGCTGACTAACTGAATTAGTGAAATCAAACACTGGATGCTGGTTAACTTTTTTCTGCTCAACCCTGACAAAACCGAAATCCTATTGGTGGGTACTAAATCTGTCCTCTCTACCATTCGTGGGTTAAAAATTGATGTCGATGGGATCTTAGTGGAGCCCTCAACATCAGTCCGTAATTTGGGTGTCATTTTTGATCAGCTTCCTCTTAGTCTCCGTAAGGAAAAATCTGTTATCCATTTTAAGCTCCTGATAAAAACACATCTATTTAATGAATATTATTCATCATGTATGTAACTTGCCTCCCTTGTTAAATGTGTTTTTCTAAATTGTCCTTGAGTGTATGAAAGGCGCTATATAAATAAAACATTATTATTATGTCCTTTTCATATTAGGATTAATTAACTTTAAAAAAGAGGGTAAATATCTTCAGCTTATTATCAGAGTTCTAAATGTTCAGTACATTGGTTTTAGAAAAGTTCCACTAGAGGGAGACAAATACGACTTTAACAAATATGAAGGTAGAAAGCTGCATTAAATGTAAGTGAAGAGATTGTCAGAATTTGGCATCGATCAAAATTAGTATTTTTTTTACTCAGGCAGTCAAAATCTAAAATGGACAGTGTCCCGGGTCTACACCAATACAATTTGCAGAGTAGGGCAGCAAATGGCAAAAATTTTCCCCAACGCATCACAGTTCTCTGCGATGTGTGTATATTGTATCCACATTAATCAGCTTACATCCAAGGTCTGCCCCCCCCCGCAGGAGCGAGTCCCATGTAGTATTATACTGTTTAAATACACTTTTCATATCAAGATATTCGTCACAGGGGGCATCCGAAGCATCATCTTTCTGGACCAATTGCTACCATTGTGCCCCCCCTTCGGGGGCTCAGAATCCTCGCCGCTAGGTGTCTTTACTATTATTCCCTGTCTTTTTTGGTAGAACCTTCCGGAAAAAAAAAGATTGTTGCAAAATGGCCTCCACAATGTTTTGCATACTCATGGCAGGGAGCCCAGTGTCAGCCAAGGGCACTGTGATAAAAGTCCAGGCAAGATGCGCAGAAGTATCGTGAGAACCCAGGTGTTTCTATAATAATGACCAGTAGCTGGCTACAGAGCCAGTTATACTCTTAGGCCATTAACATAGTGATAAGTTGCAGAGCTGATTAAGGCACATATTCATCAGCAGCAATTGGGCTATACAGTTGGCCCTCATTTATCGCAGTTAACGAGTTCCAGAGTACCGCGATAAGTGAATTTCCACAAAGTAGGATTCTTTATTTATAAATTGAATATTTTCATAGTTAGAGCATAGACGACCTGTTTACGACCTTCTAAATACGGTTTTTAACATTATTAGAGCCCTCTAGATATGAAATAGCACCCTTTAGTTACCATTACTGTTATGATTGCTGGACACGGAAGCAGGATCAAAGGGTTTATTTGGAATCACTCCAAATGCAGGACACAGGAACATGTAACATCAAAACGTCAATGACAGACCTGGGGTTACAGACTGACGTGGACTTAAATACACCGGACAAAAAACAGCTGGTTACAATCGGGGTTGCACAAATGGTTAATAAGGGGGCGTGACACACAAGAGGATCGTACAAGAAGGTCATGACAATTACACTGGTATTACCACATATATTAGACAAAATCAGAGAAAATAAGACGTATTAGATGTTACAAATATATTATTGTACATTTAATTACGAAGAGCAAAAATGCTTCTGACACGTAACGATGTATCATTTTCACTGTCTCGATCAACTTTTTAATGAATATACAAAAAAGAGAGTGAAGCCCCGAGAGTCGAAGCGCGAAGTGGCGAGGGACGACTGTATTCTCTAAAAGTTACAAGGTTACATTGTATTTTGCTGGTTACATCTTTATAATATTGTCCTAAGCATTACATTCACTAAGTGTGATACAGTGCTATACAATATTCTATATTATACTGGCTTCTGAGAGTATTCTTTATGGTTTGTGTATCATTACCCAGTAATATTATTCTTGGTCAGGCCCCAGACTGTGTTCTCCACTATTTCCACGCATCTTCCACTTGGCCAGCTGAACTGCTTGGGCACCATCTTGGTTCTGACTGGTTATTCAAGGGCTTTCATAAAGAGGGTCTTAAACTTCTCCATGTCCACCTTTTGCAGGATGAAGGCTTTATGTTCCTTCTTCAGATAGCTCATCCTATCTATGACCATCATACCTCGCGTATATGTGCCTGCCAACTCCACGGTGACCGGCACCTCCTCGCATTCTGTGACGAAGGATTTATCAATTGCCGCTGCCATGGCGAACGCATCACAAAACGCGAAGCCTGCCTCCCCCAACTGCCTCTGAGAGACATCTCTGCTGTACTGGAAGATCTGCTTCATGAAGCGGGCCTTTTCAGAGTCCTGGTCCAACCACTGATCATAAAAATCCTGAAAAAAATAAAACAAAGAAAATTAACCTTTTTCCTCACTGTTTACCTTTCACCTCATGTCACATCCTCACCAACTGAAATTTCATATTACCTTCTCTATCTTATACTATTTTGAGTTTACATGTATCCAGGAAATGTATTCAATTTCAAAGTACTATCTTCAGCACTGCATGCAAGAAAAAGTAAACTGCTTTTACATTGTGATTCTTTAGAGTTCAGCCCTCAAGGTGTTTTGGCTCTTACCCAAGACAGTATGTTCATGCAGGTGAACTCCCAACTTGCTATGTAGGTAGGGCACGGGAAATCATTCAACACGATGTAAGCCGCTTCTGGGTCGGCGGCGAAATTGAACTCAGCGCACATTGTGGTGTTCCCCCTAGCTGCGGACACGCACGGTCAGTCTGACAAAGCAGCACTATGACTGATATTCCTTTGTGCAGCTGTCAGAGCCAATAATGGTGAATGCTAGAGTCAGTAAATTGGAAGATAAATTAGAAGATGGGGGGTCAAGTAGGGTTGCAAAGAGATGGAAAATTTCTGGAAACTTTCCATTCCATGGGAAGTTAAGCTAGGGAATTTTGGAAATATTCCAAGCTGGAGACTTTCCTGGGGAATTAACAGAAATATATGGGAATTAATGGGAGAATTCCCAGAATTTTTCAACCCTAGGATCAAGGGCTTGCCTTCAGTGGTCCCTCCCATGATATAGAGACCCTTGAGCTTCTTAGGGAACGTGGGGTCGAGTCTCACAGCCAAAGCCAGGTTCGTCAGAGGGGCTGTTGCCACTAGGGACACCTGGGAGGTACAAAGGCATATTTTTTATTTTCAAAGTTAGTGTAAAGTAACACATCATAATTGTTTGGGGTCATCAATTACTCAGTTTATGAAAACGTGACCCTACTCTCAACATGTTGTATAACGGTGTCTCCAAGCAATAGAAATGTATATTATTAAATACATGTGCATAGATTCTGCAGGTACCCACCTCTCCTGCATGCTCGTTGGCGATCCGGATCATGGCCTCCACTGCCCCCTCCTTCTGGATCAGCTCCAGGCCTGGAGCATCGGGGTCTGGGACATCGCCAAGCCCATCCTTCCCATGGAAGGCCTCCGCCATCAGCACGTTGCCGAGGATAGGCCTCGAGGCCCCACGGAACACAGGGATCTAGAGCATGGATGGAGAGGCCATCTCCAGGTCATGTGATGAGTCTTATGAGAACAGATACCAGTCATAAACTTAGTTTCTCACCTCATGTACCTCATTTATTTCTATCTACCAGACTCTGAACTTCTGTAATTATTAAACCGCACAAATGATTGTCACTTTGCTTGTTATGCTCCTATAACCATCACAAGCTGCAGTACAGAGGTCCGTGACACTCTTAAGGTAGTCTGTCTTATAGCCAACCTGCAGTCCCCATGGCAACACTCCACTGAAGAGCAAGAATCTCCCCCTATGCTTCACACACATCGTACCTCCGGGCGCCGGCAAGCCTTGAGGACCCGTAGCGTGTTCCGGCAAACATTCTCCACACTCGTGTTGCCATTGACACAAGTGATACCCAGAAGCTGGACCTCAGGATCAGCCAGAGCCATCATGATGGCAGAGGCATCATCTACCCCACAGTCCACATCCACCAGGACCTTCACCATGCTGTGACCTGAAAGAAGCCAAAACATGCAGGCTATCAATTAATGTAATCTACATGTATCAATGTATCTAAATTAAGCCCCACTGGTGCACACCAATGCATTAAGATCAATATTCAGTACCAGTCTAAAGTGTGGAGGCACCTACTTTTAAAGCATTTGTCTGAAGTTATTTTGTTCACCTTATATTAAAAGGCCACGAGACAATGAAGTCATACATATTGAATACTGCAACGACCAAGAGAAGTGTTCAACATCTCTGAATTTTCTCAAATTTATAGGTGTAGCCACCTGGAACGCTTCTCCAACAGTCCTGAAGGGGTTTCCACAAGTTCTGGGCACAGGTTTGCTACCTTGCTTTTACTCTTTTTACTCCAAGCAGGTGAAAACTTGCATTTCTCCATACTAGGTAATAAATCTTGCTGGAGATTAATCAAGCGCGCACCCCCGCAGACAAACCCCCATTCCTCCGCTTGGGACGGGGCTCCTCATTATTCGGTCTGTGCACATCCTGGCGCTGACAAACAATTCAATCTAATTGTTTAATCTAGAGTATTAACGTCAATTCAGATGTTTTTTTTAATCAGATGTACCTAGTAGGCCAATTGTTAGTGTAGCCAATTGCATGGAAACGCCGAATTCATACTTTCTTTCCTTTTTCCATCCTTATGTTGACTTAGGAAAAAACAAAGCCAAATTCCATACTTTTACATACCGCGTAGGAGCCCCATATCTAACAACGTATTCATTAACCATTTTTATGTTTGCGCTAAGCAGGATTCAACTAGCAACCAACACATGAACAGTTTTATAAAGCGAGCGGAGCTGCGGCAGTGCACGGATTACAGTGAAAACCAGAAATGTATTTCACCTAGAAATGAATAAAAGAGACCCGTCTCATAGCCGATTCACCTCTCCTATTGTGTGTTGAGTCCAGACATATCTATGAGTCCAGATACGACGAGGATGCTGGCAAATTCTTCTTCGTCTTTTTCAATTCTTTTGGCGGATGGCATCCAGCTTCAACGGAGCATTACCGCCACCTACTGGACTGGAGGGTGGTACAGGACGCTAACCTCTCAACAGGGAGAGAAAAACTTCATAATAACTAATAATAATAATAATTATTATTATTTAAAAATCCTAATATGAATAATAAGACAGATAAGACAGAGTAATCTTTGTCTGTGTGTGAGATATTTGGGGCCGTGCAGAATAACATGTTTGACGGACTCTGGACAATCACAGTGAACACAATTGCCATCACTGTGTTTCCTCATTAAAAACAATAACCTCCTGAGACCCAATGAAAAAAGTGTCCTTCGATTGTAGGTTATTTGTTTTTGGAGGAAATAAGACATCTGACAATTTAGATTTTTTCAAATTTATTCTTATTTTAATTTCACAGCATGTCCTCTTTAGTGCACAACAAGAATAAATACGTTTCCCAACATCAGTGAAAAAATGTCCACCACAATGGGCATAAATGAATAGGTCGGGTCTCAGGAGGATAATGTCCTGTTCAGTCTTGTGTGCCCATATCTCATCCTGGAAATGATATCTTCTTCCTGTTTTACTTCTGTTCTCCTTTCCCCACTTTTTGGATGCTATAAAATAGTCTTCCAGTCTGTCCATTGTCCCATAGTGTCTGCCACTCCTTTTTAACTACAGTCTTCACCTTACTCTTAATTTCTGATTTGCTCTATTTAACATTAATGTCTACAGTGGATCTTCCTGCTGCTGTCTTGCCGGATGAATCTGCCATTTCATTCCCTTCAACTCCTATATGGGCTCTTACCCAAACAAAAGTTCTAGAAGCTCATGACTGTAACAGACTGTCTGCTAGTTGTACTATTTCAAATATAATATCTTGCCTGGATTCTGACTGACATGTTGTAAGGCTGATTAATGATGAACTGGAATCAGAAGCAATTACCGCCATCTTTGGCCTATTGCCTTCCACCCAAAGCAGAGCCAACCATATTGCGACTAATTCCGCTGTGTACACAGCTAGGTCATCATTAAGTCTTCTAGCGGTCACTAATTTTAGCTGAGGAATTATATAGGTGACTCCCACTCTCATCAATCGTCTTAGATGCATCTATATACAGAATTACATCTTCTCTGTGTCTTTCCACCATATAGTTCTCCACCCTATATCTATTCACGACACCTGCCCTCTTTTCTTCCAATAGTCCCAAGTCAACAGTCAATTCTTTAAGAATCCATGATGGTTTTGTTGGAAAGACTACAGTGGGGCTTATTTGAACTAAGCGGGCCTGTCGATTTTTTTTCGTCTTGTACCTCGAACGAAATCTTGGAACTCGACCGTTTCTGCTAAAACTTCTTTGGGGCGAGCCGCGTTCCAGTCTACCGATACGGACCTCGAACGGGTCGGCTGAGAAAAATCGAAAACTCGGAACACGACCAAACAAAAACAGACCTGCTAGCACTTGATGGGCTGAAGCGAAAGCGAACAAATCTACTAGGACGCTGATGCCTGTGAATCCGACGTGCGAAAGCTGCGTTCCTGTGTTTGGTGTGAATTTATTTCTGCTTTATCTACAGAACCCTTAGGGATACAGTAATCATGGCCCCTAAGAAAGAAGTGAGCAACAAACCAAAGAGGGAAGAAATTAAGAAATTAACAGTATAAATTAAGAAGAAAATACGTGAAGGTGGTACACACGTCTGTCTGCTCTCGTTTTGGAGTGTGTATTATCATTTATTTCATGTTTGTTGCTTTTGTATGTGTGTTTTTTCCCATTTGTGTATTAGTTTTATATTTATTGTTAATGTTTTTTTTATCATTAGTTAGGTAGGTAGATAAGTTTAAATAGGGGGTCTGAAACGGATTAAATTCATTTACCTTATTTCTTACGGGGAAATTAGACTTGGACCTTGATTAAATCGCAACTCGACCAGCCTTCTGGAACGAATTAAGTTCGTGTTCCAAGGTACCACAGTATCTCTATTCTCTGAAATGGCAACAGTATTAGTTTTGGGCTGCATATTCCACTTCTTTACTGCATCAATTGTTAGAAGTGTCTGTGTTTGTTTCTACTGCTCAAAGGTTGAATTCAGTTCAATTTCAGTAACACATTTAATAAGACCTGAATGAGTTCCCAGCCAAAGTGAGGACTGTTTGCTGCTCACTGGATTCATAAGTCCGCATTATCAGGCTTAGAAATTTATATAGACTAACTTCTGGGTGCTTTGCAGCTGAAAGAAAAACCATTTAAAATATATCAATGAAATCCTTTTATTAGATAATACTTTTTTGTGGAAAGAGTTAGGGAAGGTGCACATATTACAGCATAGATAGGGAGTTGTTCTGTGAACCAAAATAAATACAAAAAAAATCCAGCACATTCTCTATAGCAGGTGGTATTGTTGTAAATTATATCATTAAATTACACAGAGTTTATGTTCAAACGTAAAGGCAGAACGTTAAGGTGATGACAGGAGAATAAAAATGCACATGGAACACAGAAGAGAACATGGTGCTATAGCAGAACAGTGTACACAGCGAAGTAATAAAACATAAACGGCATTTCACAGTTCTAGCGGCTAGATCTCTACATTGGTTTACAGGGTTGCGTGGCGTGCTGCTACATGCTTTTAGACAACAGCACCTCCAGTATGTCATTTATGATAGATTTGAATCCGTTTTCTGGTGTGATATATAGTCAAAAATCATTTGATGTATATCTGATGAAAGTTTTGCCGGTATTAAAGCTCCTTCCTGTAACAATAAAGCTCACAGGCTGATCCATAAAGGACAGACGATACAAGATGCTGGTTCTTACTGGAATATTCCTCTTTTTCATGCATCCCTGAAATTCTTTAGCAAGAGCGAAGGCGAAAGACAGATCAGTTCTCAGCAAAGAACAAAATGTTTATTTTTTCCTTAGTTGTGCCCATTGATTTGTGAGCCTGTCAAACCCAACCTGTATTTAGCTCTCAGTCAATCTGCTTATCTGCCGTATAGGTGTCTGGCTGTGACATCATTTCCAGACAGGTGGGAACCATGCCACTCTTTCATTGGATGATTCAAATGACTGACAGGTTCGAGGTTCAAATCCATTGTGAACAAACATTGCCACTGGCCAATGTTTGCTGGAGGTACAGCTGAGTTTTCCAGCTAGCGAATCCCAGCCATCTTATAGACTGAGGTAAGGTAGCAGAGCAGAAGAGCGTTTCTCAGGCCATGGGGCTTGATGGCCACTAACCACAGGCACACTTAAGACAGGTCCCCCTGCAAAAATGCATCTTTGCAAAGGTTTACAAAATGACACTATTTCCTCTAAAAAAAACTCACAAGCGCACTCCCAGTAAAAACACATTTTTCAGCGTTGTTATTGATTTGTGCCCACAGCCTGGCAGAAATGGGACATAGACACGTTTGCTTACAAAGAATAGCATTTAGCGTGTAGCATGGTTACTTCAAAAGAGAGGAGCAGTGCGGGTGGAAGGAGCCTGGGCCGCGGGGGCAGATGGGAGTGTTAGAGCACTCTCACCTCCTGGGCGCAACATTGACAAAAGGCACAGGAAGACCATATATGGAGACCAGCAGAGATCAACAAGAGCTTTGATTGATTACTTTAGCCATGTTTTGTCTTTGGGTACCAAAGGATTTTTGGGGGGGGGGGGTTTGTGAACCAGGGAGGGTCAACAAGTGTGAAGCTTAGGGTGTGGGTGGTGTGTGTGGGGGGGGGGGTTGGCATGGGCTGAAGCAGCCTGGCAGGGAAAACAAAGCAGGCAGACAGCATGGGGGGGCAGTACCCAGGCTGAGTGAATGACTGTAGGGAATCCTGTTTCGCTAAGAGACTGTAAATCTCAGTTAAATGGGGGGCGGGGGTGGTTTGTGTGTCCACATCTCAGTAAAGCCCCCTCCTGAGATGTAATGACTCTGAAAGGGGATGTTTGGGGCAATGCTCAGTTCTGTAAACCAAAATAAAGCCCGAGAAGCAGCCCTGGCTAACATGGTCACTGATGGGATGGGTGGGGGTGGGGGGGGTACAATTAGTAACAGCCGACTGAGCAGCAAGTAGGATGAGTTGCCGGGTTTCCAGGAATCACAGATATCGCTGCGCGACAGATGGAGCCGCACTGGGCTGTGACACCATTTTCATACCCCCCCCCCAGAGTCCCTACGTCACCCCTCGGACCCCTTCATGAAGCGTGCACACAGCTGATCAGCGAGACTTCACTCTTTGCACACTTATTTTGGCTGCGAACCGTGCAAAAGAGATTTTAAAAACAAATTCCCATTAGAAATCCCCATTAATTATTTACTTGTGATATAACATATTTAAAATTTGCAGGAAAACAAATCTATGGAAATTTGTTTGAAAATATTTTGGCCACCAAAATGCCCTGTAGAGGAATTTTGGATTTGTTTTGTCAGCTAATTATCTAGTCACTTGTGTGGCCCTGGCCAATTAGGTGCACCGCAGTGAAAAGGTGGAAGTGACAGTCACTATAGTACTGAGGAATGGCACTCAGATGTCACGCTGCTGGCCTTCCCCATAGCAGCTTTTAGCACTTAGCATTTTGCTATGAACCATGCTCCCTCATTAAGTGGAAAAAACAACCCAAAGCTGCGTGTGAAGGCTAAAGTCTACTGTGACGTGCCTTAGCCATAGTTACAGGGCTCGTGGGAGATTTACTTACACAAAATTGTTTTGAGAGTAGAATGAAAAATGATTGGTTCAGAGAGATAACCAATCAGATTGTCGAGGAGGTAGGACCAAAATATCTAATTGGTTGGTTCCGCCTCCTCTAGATGCTTGGACCCACCTCCTGAACAATCTGATTTTTGTGTAAGTAAAACTCCCATGAGAGCTTACAGGGCTCACAAATGAAATGCTAGATGACACCTTGAAAGCAGATTATGTTTTGTCCTACATATACGTCTCCCACTTCCCCTATGATCAGTGACTCCCAAAGGATGGATGGTCATCTTTGCTGCAGGTTTGATTCATTCCTGGCCCTGTTGGTCGGCTGCCCTATCAGGTGTCCACCTTGCCATAAGTCCCTTCCGGAGCTCTGTAATGTTTTGGGAAGGCTTTTAACTGCAGAGAGTTAAAAGCATACTTGCGACATCCCACGTTCTTCACAGTGTTCTCCCGTCGACAGCCCTCGCTGGGGGGGGGGGGGGGGGGGGCAGGTATAGAGACAGATGATAGCAGGTGAAAAAATAAAACAACCAAACCAAATAGAACTGCAATGTTATACACAGGGTTGCAAAACAAAATCTTAGCATGGCAGCCAGTACTGATGCAAATGGTCACATGACTGAGATAATGGTCACATGACTGAGATAATGGTCATATGACTGGGATAATGGGCACATGGAGCAGGAATTGGGTGAGTGAGGGTCTGGGGGAGCAGAGGAACCTCAAAAGAAATTTTGCTATTTTTATTTCTCAAAGCAATCAATTTAAAAGGCCAAAAACAATACATGGCACAAATAAACACGCACAAATGGGTCATCTTTACAAATGACCCATTTTATAAATTTATAGATATTATTTTTCTGTAGATACTTTTTGTGACAATGAAATTCATTTTACATGATATATATATATATCACAGAAAAACAACATTGAAAAACAATTATATACTTATGGCATAACATTCGTATTTTTGGATACCTGAAAACCAACAGACAAATGTATCTTATCTGTTGTCCTGCTACATTTGAAATTCATTCAAAAAGGCTGATTCAAGATCAAACTGCACAGAATCAGAATCATGCAGTAATAAGATATATACCACCACATAGACAACATTTACTATTAAAATATGGACTCTTTGCAAAATAAAGCTATAGATCAATAAACGCCTTCTTAGCAATATTTGGACAAAATATAGATACAAATACCACTTTAATTCGGATCAAAACAAAAAGCAGAGATTTTGATTTTCAACCAGTCCCTGTTACATTCTAGATATTGAGATACAAACTTATTCCTCTAAACCAGGGGTCTCCAACTCCGGTCCTGGAGAGCTACTATCCAGTAGGATTTCTATCCTACCTGGCTACTGATGAGCCACACCTGTTCCTGGTATTTACCTGAGAACAGCTGTGGCTCATCAGAAGCCGGGTAGGATAGAAAACCCACTGGTTTTTGTCCAAGTAGCTCTCCAGGACCGGAGTTGGAGACCCCTGCTCGAAACCATTTTTTTTCTTTCTTTTTGAGCCCAGAGTAATTGGTCACATGCTGGTGACTCCATTCTACAGCTGTTGTCCAGAGAGGATACGTTCTAGCATTTTTGACTGTGGAATTTTCCATCACCGAAGCCCAACATTCCGGACAGAAAGCCAGCGGATGCTGTCAGGTTGGGGGGGGGGGGTGCCAATGCCAATGCAGTGCAGAGTCACACAGGATGCTTGACACTGATCAAACAGGCTGGTTAAAAACCTGCACCCCCACACACCTGGGTTCTACACTAATGCCGTTCTGCATATATCAAACCAGAACACCTTGAAACATCCCCTCCACTGGTTTACCTTCCTAGCAATTCCTGTTTGCATTTTTTTAACGTCTCACTGAAGAGCCAATTAGTCAGTCACACTACTGTTGTACTGGGTTTTCTGTTATATTTGTTTTCAAAGTAATATGTCAGCAGGGAATTGCAATTTCAACAAAACAGACAGGCATTTGTAACACTGGTAACACACTTGATGCTGACTTGATTATGTTAATAACAACTAAACACTGTGTGTGTGTGTGGGGGGGTAGTTTTGGCTAAAGTGATGTGAGAAGTTAATCTGTGTGACACTTAAAAACACGTTTTCCTCTCACCCAGAATGTGGGGGCAATGAGGCCACAGCCTAGTGTTACAGAGTAGCCGGGCTGTACCTTATACGGTATTATTACGCTCAAATCAAAGCAACAAACCCAGGATCCAAAATATATTTATACTTTGGCAGATCAAGGTGTCGACTATGTGTACAATACACACAAGACATGTTTGTGATGATATCTGACGCACTCCAGTTCCAGCTTAAAACTACACTGCCGTTTTGACAGAAAAGTCATGCTAATCTCCCTCTCGCCGCTTGCTTGTGCCTCCAGAAGGCCTATTGTAGGACTGATCTGGCCTACAAAGGAGCACTCAACGAATTTCCTGAATATTCGAGCAAACGAGAAAATCACATCATGATGTAAGTTGTAACTGAAGGTGCTGCCAACTTTTCTCTGCTGTGTGACTCTCAGATTCACATTTCGCATTTGTGGCCTGCGATTGCATTTTTATACTCCATGCCCTTCACATTTTCTCATGGGTGACTCATTATCCAGTAAACACTCCCCCTTAGACAGTTAAACTGCATACAGTATGCTGCATATGGTGTTTATATTTGGAATATAAGCTTACAGGTGCATACAGTGCATATCATACAGAAATGAGTCATGCAAACGGTGTTTAATCTACATAATTAGGCACTCTTTCTGGAAATCCAGCGTAAACAAACACCCGCTATATCTCATCTTGTGTGACATACCACGCTAATGGAAACCTTACGAAAACCAAGGCGTAAAACTTAATCTCAGCTTCTTGTAGCAAAGTCAGAGTCTTCCTCCTAACCCGTGAGAAAAACCGGACTGACAGTCAGAAAAAGAGCTTGGTTTTGGCTGTTTTTGTATCAAAACGCAGAGGGAATGACCACCACAGTGGCCACAGAACGGAATGGCTTAAAGTATGTTTAGAAAACCAACTGAAATATCTATGTTCAGCTGGATATGCTTGTTGCTTCTCACTTACACTTCAAAGGTCTCTCGTTTCTGGGGTACTCAATAATTGTCTTGGAAATTAAAGTAAGGCATTTGTTGACAGTGTATTGGCATAGACCTTTACACCTGTGCACTGGGTCTGAGCACTGGGTCTGAGCACTGGGTCTGAGCACTGGGTCTGAGCTATTCACAAGAAGCAAGCTTGACAGAGCAGGTAAGTATGGAAATCATCTGGGTCATATCTTTCTCAGATTGTTCTACTATACAGTTTAGATACACATTACTTAATAACTTAGTTTGTATAACCACTTTCATTTTGATTTACTAGTTATTAGTGATGGACAAAATGATGCTTCACAAACCATTCGATGTATTTTTTAACCCGACTAGATGGTGCTCTTGGTTTGCTTTGAGCTCTTTTTTTGAACATAGAGCACCATCTAGTGGAGTCAAAAAATACAGCAATTGGTTCATGAAGTGTCATTTTGTCCATCACTACTGGTTATGTATGTTTCTAGATGCATACATAGCTCAGCTTCATAATAAACCGATGGGCTCAGATTTACAGGCTAGCCGCCCTCCGTCCTGACATGGAAATGCAATTCTGGGCCAACATACGATACTCATGTACGGTGCCTTGCCGAGAGACACGAACGACTCTCAAGACTCAGAGCGTGCTGACCGACCGGTATACCTGACAGGCACACGGACAGGAAGGCCAGTGGCCAGACTGACAGTCAGACAGAATGGGAGTAGGCAGCTGAACTGGCAGGCGGGACGAACAGCCCTCAGTTGTAGCGCAGCTTGCTCAGCACGTAGACCGCGCTCAGAAATAACAAGACCATCAGGAGATTGGGGCTGAGCGCCAGCAAGGGCAGGGAGTACAGGAGGCTGGGGTCTAGGTTGAAAACACGGATGGGCAACAGGCCACTGAGGTTCTTCTGGGTGACCCCCTCCCTGGTGCCAATGCTGTGGGGGGAGAGGCATTGGGGTGGGACCACAGGAGACGGCATGGAACAGAAACATGCAAAAGTGGTAGCAGGTTTGGGGAACGCAGTGTGGAAGAGAAGTAAAGTGAATGGAATTATGGTTACCGCGGCGAATACAGTACATTGTAGCGTGAAATAATATTTAAGGAAATGGTAAACAAACAAATCGGGATAGAGCAGTGACGGACAGGAACAATGTCAATTAAGAAAAAACAAGGAAAACAAGCAATAATAAAGGAAGCAAAACAGGAAGTAAAACAGAGAAAGTAAGTAAAGCAGAAAAAAATGAGAAAGAGGGATGATATGATACAGAGAAAATTACACAAAAATTTCTATAGTCTTTGGAAAAGTAAAAAGATCAGTATGAGGAAACATTGACATAAAGGGGGACCAGTGGGAGTGTGGAGGACAGGGGGGGGGGTGTATCATGCAAAGGAGTCATGCATCTTCCCCGCATGCAACAGTTACAGAGTCACCCTGGGCAGAATTTCAGATTATTCTGAGAGCACAGAAAGGTCCCGTAATTCCTTTTCCCTCCCTTGCAGCCCCAAGGAGGCTGATCACTGTCTGAAACTGAGCATCACGCAAAAGCAACTAGCAGGACCAGAGTCGAGTGAGTCACTCTGGCGGCGCAGGGCTGCCTGTGAACCCGGGACGGCAAGCTCTGTGCATAAGTCTGAGTCGGGATCAATCAAGCAGTGAGTCTCGGGGCAGATGGTGAGAGATGACAAGGTAGCGGCTAAACAGCATGACATCATCTTCTGAGAGGAGATGGGGGCTTTTCTCAGCCGCTTTTCATGGCCTCCAAACTGGGAGTTTTAACAGGGGGCCATCTACCCCCACTGAGGAGTGTGATTCAGCCATTTCCTCCCCCCCCCCCCCCCTATAACGTTCCACAAGCAGCGTGTTAGCGTTCTGGGGGTTGGAGATGGAAGTAAAATGGATGGAAACATTCTGTGTGATCTGGCTGAATGGGCAGGATGTCGGGAGGTGAAGAATGGATCTGCAGGAGGGTGACAGTCTTCACGCAACTCAGAAAGGGCATTTCAACTCAAATAATAAGAAAAAACACATGAGTGTAGGAGTGCTGTTGCTTGGATCCCTAATGATAGTGATGGACAGCTGTGTGACTTCAGATTAACTCCATATCCCTGTCCACCTCCCTAAAATGTGTGTGAGACACGTATGAGCTCGTGTCAGCGTGTTCTGCGCAGTAAGGACGCGCAGCTGTGACCATCTGCAGAGCTGCCTGCCTTTTCAATCACTTTTCCTCTCAGACCTTCAGATTCATACAACTTACATGGATGTATCAGTCTGGGTGACCATGATTTGGCATGCGGCACTCGGCATGGATTTTGCAGATGATGGTGGAGGAGGAGCTGATGTTGAATTTTACATATACACTTTAAATTTTCGACAGTTTTCTACAGTCGTTCAACCTACCTACGCATGCAGTCCAGGACCTGTGCGAAGACCTGCGGCGCCATGCCGTGCTCGTGCTGCAGGATCAGGCACTGCTCCAGCGTCACCGACATGGCTGTGCGGTCTTTGGCGCTCTTGCAGCTGGTGAAGCGCACGCCGTTCAGCCGCCGGCAGATCTGGAAGCGGGCGGCGCATGGACAAGGTCACATGACCGCATGCTCACAGACGCTAAGTTTCTAAATATACACTTGGACGCATCTGTCAGTGGGAGTAGCGCTCAGCGTGGGAGGACGGGCCCCCACCTCAGCGGCCTGCCACAATATGTCCACATTCTTGTTCTTTCTGACGCTGACGTTCTGACCCAGGAACCGCAGCAATTCTGGCAAGCAGGTCTGGCTACGAGACCGAGGAAGACCTGCAGGGATGGAAACCATGGGAACTGCTCCTCACTGCTACTGTGACTACTACTGTGTGGGGTAATAAGCATTACCCAGCCACAATGATAATAAAGGCATTCTATTCTAAATTCAATAATTTAAATTGGGTCAGTTTATCTCCTGATGAATATGTTTTGATGGGTGTGAGAGAGACGGTGGTGTAATTACAGTCTTCAGGTAAAACTTCCTTAAACTGCTCGTAGTAAGAACTTAGTCGAGTCAAACTCTCAGTGTTGACAATCTCCTGCAGAGACGTGTCTCCGAACCTGTGGAAAACACCCAGCAATAGAGGTAAAGAAAAGAAAGATCCATATTAGGTCAGTATCCATACAAAGATCGGCCAGAATTTTAAACCCTTGGCTTAATTTCAAACCCTTCCTCTCTGTCACACCAAAAACTGCTGTCACGTTCACTATGATAGCGCACGACTGTGCATTTTTTTGTGCACGAGTGAGGTAAAACAGTAAAGGCGAGAGCGTATCTCGTGTGTGAACTTGCAGAGCTCGGCCACACACGCACGCGCCCCCAGCCCCCGCCGGCTGCCCCCTCACTTCTCGGCCAGCGTCTGCTGCTCGTTGATGCCCACGTTGAAGAGCACCGGCTGCACGCGCAGCAGCATCCCGCTCTGGATCTCCCGTGGCAGCGCGTCGAAGACGGTCCCCGGCAGAGGGACGCGCACATTGAAGCCGTCGCGGTTCCCGGTGATGACGGGAAGCATGTCGGGGCTGGACATCGAGGTGGCCGGCGTCACCTTGAAGGTGACGTTTCTCAGGTCCATGACCCCCACATTCATGTCCTCCAACATGGCCAGCTCTTCTCCTGAAAGAGATGCCCTCAGCCTGACTCGGGTATCCACACCCCAAACACCCTCACGGACTGCACAGACCCAGAAAGCACCCCGATAAGCGCGCCGTGGGGCCGTGTGCGGTTACCGTAGGTACTCAGCAGGCTTTCGAATTGCGCCAGCAGGCCGATGGTGTAAAGCTGCCGCAGAAAGCCGTCGTCACGGAGACAGTTCCTCAGTTTGATGATGAAACCGCATATGAGAGCCGTTAGCTGGAGAAACGACATCGAAGGCAGCATGAACCTTTTGGCAGGTCAAAGTAACTAAACGAAACAAGCAGCCCGTCCAGCTTCACATTTCAAAAAGGGTCACAACACGCAACTACAGAAGCAGCAGTAATCAGCCGATCTCTAACATCTAATTCTGCTGCCGCTTCCAGCCATTACTGTACAGAGTTGTTCATTTATATTGAGCTGTTTAATACAAATCTGCAGGAAGTAGAGTAGATGTTAACAAACTGAACACATCATTGCTGTCCGATAAAAAACATGCATCTCCAAAAATCCATTATTTCAGGACTGGGAAAAAAATGCATTTTCTCAGAAACTACTTTACACAATATACCTAAATCAAAGTAATCAGACACACTTAGTACCACAAATAGACACCTGTCTTTATACACCCGTCAGTGAACAGTTTAATGTTTTAAATGGACTTATGTGGATTGTTGTCAGTGAGGCAAATATGTCAGCATCTGCAAAACACAAACTAATGTCATATTATATTCACAATTAACAATAATGTTAGCTAACTATCTAGCTATCAACGTTAAGTAGTTAAAATTAGTGATATAAAGTAATCCATACAAACCACCATCAAGAATATAAATGCTAACTAGCACAAACATATATACTAGTTAAATAGATGACTTCATAAAACCTCTTTTCATTGGTCAATTAGATGTCAAACACTATCAGTAGACAGAGGAGAATGGGCGTATTCCATCTATGGTAAGAAGTCACAATCGTCAAAAATGAGACATACACAGATTTCATTGGACAGCAATCACATGACCTATGGGCTGGACAAACAGTCAGATCCATCTGTTCATGGACCCCATTTTTTCCACTATGCCACCTGCTGTCTAATGAGACCCAGCAGTAATGAATACCCAAGCTCCCTCTGTCAGTCTGTGTGGGTACAGACCGTCTGGCAGAAGACCACATCGCGGCGGTACTGCAGGCTGAGCGCCGTGGCGATGGTGGGGGCGCTGTCCTGCATCAGCAGAAACACCATGGATTTCTTGGCCTTGTCGCTCATCATGGCCACACACTCTGTCAGTGTGGTGAGCAGTGGGTAGAGGGCGTCGCTCCACTGGCCTGTGGGGGCGCCGGCGAGGCACACACATGTACAGAGGCACATTTACACAGCATAAAAAAAGACACATTCAAACACTCAATCCACAACCCATAAATTTGAACCATTAGCTGTCCTATACATAATATCTTACAAAAATAGACCAGTCTGTTGAATTTATCGAAAGGCACTGTTCTTTATTTCCAAAACCACTGCGAAATCACAGAGAGACCACAATTGCAGTGACCTAGACCTGTGCTGCTGTTGATCTCTGAAGCAGGAGGAAGGGGTGGTGTCTTACCTGGGGTGGCTTCTTCTGCATTGGGGCTGCCATCTAAACAGGGTGGGGGGGCAGGGGGGGGTGCGACAAGCCTGGTTAGGAGGAAGCCCTACAGCGAAGGGTATTAGCCACCCAAAGCTGCCACAGACACTGGGAGCAAACAATCCGACTGACTGTGCTACTTGCAGAGGTGGAAGGTTCAGGTCCCGAAAGTACAAATCCAGACCAAGGTTTTGTTTCGACCAACCAGTTGAATATAGAGAGACACAGTCACAGAGTGCACAGCTGGTGCTACTTTCTGGGCATAAACTTTCCACCTCCAGCTACTTGCCAGTCAAAACCAATGAAGGATACAAGCAGGAGAAGCTCTTCTGCAGAACTATCGTGACAAAAATCAAAGGGGTCCGAGACGGCTGCCCCGTCCTCCTTCCTGGGGCCTGGCAGACGTATTACCACATATGGACCAGTGGGTTCAAAACACAAACTGCTACGTCCTCCTTAAATGATCTCAGACTGAAATCTTACTTTTCATTTTTAGATGTCCAGACACACAGGAAGCAGGAACGAGAATCGAGTAGCCCTGTGGCAAACATATACATGCACCAAGCCTAGGATACGCTCTCTGGTTCATCGCTCTGGTCACATCAAGCGGGAAGCGGCTGGTAGCTTCTGTCAGCCTGGTCATATTGACCTAGTCGTGCTGTGACACACCAGGCTTGGTCTATATTACAGTAATATGGTATCCCGTGGAATTTTGGTAATACTACAAGATTCCCCCTTGCTTGCTTCCTGTGCTCCCCCCTATTTGCTCAGTGAATTTCATCACCAAGATGAAATTACCGGAATAGAAGTAATGAAAGTACCAGAATAGTGCTGCTTTTGAAAATACTGTCAAAATACCATATACTGTGGTATAACGCTTGGACGTTATGACACAGTGAAATATTAGATGCCGCCAAGCCTGCAACACACACTGCACGCACTGCAACACACACTGCACACACTGCAACAGAAAATGATGGAAATCTGTAGCAGTGAGATCAACTGCAGTCCTTGACTGGGTTCCATATACCAGCACTGATGCCAGTGTCCTTCACGCAATGTTGCAGGAATAAAATCGGTATCAGAGAGATACGTTTTCATAGCACTGGTGTTAAAGAGCAAAACTGGGGACCGGCTGCACTTAGGACCAGCAAAACAAATTTGGAGGCATTTACAGGATCGTTTTTCAAAAAACATGATCTAATATCTGATTGAGCTTGGGATCGTACAGTTTTTAAAAACCCAGTAGCACCTGTCTACTGAGCCATCGTCTACGCTGGCGGACGGCAAATCGATGATGCTTTTTAAGTAAGAGAACTCTTGGCGTGAGTTTGTACAGCAGAACGCGTCAATCACTAATGGATAAACAAAAACCATGAATGAGAGAAAACAGGGAAAGAAAGTGGTCAACAGGAAGAACAAGAGGAACTAGGTGAGAGGAGACCAATTCAGTTTTTTTCAATGGTGAATGACAGGCTTGGCTGAACGTTTAATGGCTGCTTTGCTAAGTATGGGGCTATGGTCTCTCCTGTCATTGGCTGACATGCTCATGCCCAGTGATGTCATCAATATGGGACAGCATATTTAACAAGGAGAGTCTAATCAAGGTGGCCATATCCTGTCCTGGTGATAAGCCAACAATACTTGTTTGTCAAAAACGTTTGTCTTCAGAGATATTATTATATATCTGTTGTTCTGGCTGGATTACGCATCTCTCCAAGTTCTTGACAGAGAGATTCAAATGAAAAACAAAGGAACCAACAGAGTGAAGAAAGATGTGGGGGGGAAAAAAAAGCCAGCAAACCTACGACTGATTTGGCATGCGGCACTCGGCATGGAGGGTGGAGGAGGGGCTGATGTGGAAGATGGCAGTGATGGTGACTCCTGAGATGATTCCTCCATGCTGCCAGGGTTAATCCAGAACACGCATGGCCTCTGGTTACCTGTCTTGCTGGCACCACCTGACTGTTCACCCTGGAAGACCTCCTCACTGCTGTCACTCCTCAGTCGCTCCCTCTGCAGGAGCTTGTCCACACGCTGGATGATACACTCCAGGCTCTTGTCCACATTTAGCCACACCTTCTCCTGAGGGATCATGGGAAAAGCTTTGGATTTATATTGTTTTCTAACTGGTGTCTATATGTGGTTTAAACTACGACCAACTGCATTAAGCTTATGCCCTATGACCCCTTGATCCCTGACCTTTGACCCAACTCTCTTTACCCATTCCTCCTCATGCCAATTGACATGCAGCGAGGTGCGACTGGTCCGTCCTGCCCACTTGGCCAGTAACGTGTCCTGGTCGTTGCGCAGAACCACCTGCTCGGGTTCGGCGCCGGTCGGCGAGGCCTTGGAGGCGATGTACTCTGGCCGGGCTGCGTTCAGCGCCTGGATGGCGGATGCCAGAAGCTTGCAGTCACACACTGTGACCAGCTGCCGGGTCTGGGCAAGCGGAGGGAATGACACAGCCATGATTAATGGGACGATGCGTCCCAAAGCGAAGCGTGCGGTGGATGTGAAGGTGCTGGTGGCCAAAGGCCCAGGCAGATCATGAATGAAGCGTCTATGCCCTTAGGTGGACTGGGACTGCGCATCATTAATTACAGACTGCCATGCTCTGAGGTATGTGCAGTGTTCTATCCTGAGCTCGGAGGAGACGCCCCAAATTCATTAAGGGGACGGTGAATACCTTATCAGCCAGGATGGCCAGGGTCCTCTCCAGGCCGTTGGCGGAGCGCTCCTTGGCAGCGCGGGAAAGTCGCTCAGCATAGTAGCTGACCTGCGTCTTTAGCGTGTTGATGTGCGCGATGATCTCCTTGGCGCGGACGATGTCCTGCGGAATGTACACCATGGACTGGGATCCGGCCATCGCACTGCTGGAACGGGGTGGGGGGTGGGGGGGGTGAGTGAGTCAGACAGGAGAAGAGCCCCTACACACACAGAAATACACCGGAGCAGAACATGACATACACATGCACACGTATAAGCACTGAGGTACACCATCGTCATGGAAACCCGGGGTTTTCCCAGGGGAGACGCACAGTTTGACACATGGCCACCACACATGGCAAGCTGGTGAGGAGACACACTTCTTCATGCGCGTGAAACACACCAGTCGGAAATGGCCAAAGAAAAGAATCAACGATAGAAGGCAAGAGACTCACCAACCCTCCTCATAAAAGCTTTATAAAAAAAACAGCAACAACAAAAAGCAATTAAAAAGCCATCAAACTAATGAGCAGCCTGAGAGAACGGCCCCATCAGAACAATTACAGAGACAAGGAACCCGGTCTGTGGTTCTACATGCAAGAACTTCAGAACCAAACACCACGAGGGCTCACTGACGCCACAGGGCTCGTCGAGGGGAAATCAGCAGTTACCATGAGCACATGACTGGATGCTTAGCTGATTAGATTAAAGGAGAACAGGGTTTCGGATCCCATCCAGGAATCAAGATAACTTAAATGTTATGTTAACAAGGCTTATGATGGCTGCCAAACAGGCTCCCAGAAACCTGCTGTGATCCTACCAAACAAACCAAGCATAAACTTGTGGGTGTGTTGTTGGAAAACAGAGTACAGTGTGCTGAGCTCTGTGAGGCTTGATGCAGACTCAACAGAGAAACCATCCAATAAGAACAGCACAGTGCTGTCCCCTCCCCCAGATAATATAACCAATCAGCAGCCAATGTGGAATGTGACGCGGCCAATGACTGCAAAATTTCAGCTTCCATTACATAACATGTTATCTGCATCAGCAAATCCCAACGAACCGGAGGATGCGGGGAGCCGCTGTGCTAACAAACGCAGGACTGCCAGCTGCTGAGGCGGAGATGATAACGGGACAGAAACAGACTTGAATAGCTAGCCGTTGCCATAGCAGCCAGTTGCTAGGGTAGTGATGACAGCTCATTAGTTTATTAGGCTATCAGTATAAAAACCGCAGCCTTAATGAACGCTTACTAGTTTGGTGTACAGATAAGAGTGTGGCATGTTTTTTGTGTGTCAATCTGCAGTTTGATGCCCAATGCGGATATTTTGTAGAGCAAATTAAAAAACATACTATTAGCGAAGCACATAAACATACTTTCCTTTTCATAAGGAAAGGATTCGTCATGAAAAAGGTAAACTAAAAAATGGTAATGCAAGCAAACGCAGCCAAATATTTAGAAAAGCAGAGAGGAATCCAGATCGGCAGAACAGCAGGAAGGTTGAAGTGGGGCGCCAACGCCACAGCTCCTCACAGATAGGCATGACCTTTGACCTCTGACCCCACTCCCGACTTACTGCCGCCTGGCCTCCTCAAACTTGTTGATGATCCTCCGCAGGCCGCTGTGCTTGAAGCCCTGGCAGTGGGCCGCAGGGGCCCCGATGGTCACCACGTCGTACGTGTGATCTGTCAACGCAAGTGGCCAAGATACAGCAAACGACAGGAGGCCTGTGGGAGTGACCTCTCTCCGGGGGAGTTCTGATGACCACTGATTTATGGTGGAGGTCATCACATGAGGCATGAACTGTTTGCCCCCCACAGACTGGACAGTCTGGGTCCTCATTCTGTCCTCTAAAGAAGGGCAATGAATAATTATGACACGGAGCACTAATCTGTACTTTAAGTCGCTTTGGGAGTTCATGGACGGGTTTTTCAGTGAACCTGCGGTTTTCTGTTTGTTCATGAATATGCATGAATGTGTGGAGTGCCAGTATTAGCATTAAGGTGCTAAAGTGAATGGCTTCAGGGAGAAGAGATGGAGGTAGAGGTGACAGTGAAGACCAGAACTCTCACCCGAACCCGACTCATCCTGCACCCTCATTCTTTGCACATGGAGGTTAGTGGGAATGAACTCCAGCTTCTTCTCGGCCTTCAGGTTGCTGGCTTTGAAGGAGGGTCCTTGCAGGAGAGAGTGAAAGGGGAAAAGAGAGAGGAGAGATATCGGGGTAGATTGAGATCAAAGGTGACCAGTTAGATGGAATATAGATCAAGATCAACCCATGTGGTCATGACGAAATCTCAGCACTGACCCTTGTACTCATGTAGGTTATGGATGGTCTCCTGGTAGTTCAGGATGATGGTCTGATATTGAGTGATGATCTGTTTGCGCAGGTTCTCCCAGCACGGAGACAACTCGCCCAGTTCCTCCAGCTCGCAGACCCTGAGACAGACATGTGCTCCTTGGGTCTCCCAAACTCCCATCGCTGCCCCGGCCACGTGTCCCCGGCCATGCTGCCGTCTCCGGCTCCTTACCTGGCGGCGTCCTCCTCCAGCAGGAGTTTCACGAAGTTCCGGGGCACGGTGAGGGACAGCACGCTCTCCGCCATCTGCTCCAGGACCCGCAGGTGGTTCCCATCGGTGGTGGGGAAGCGGTACATGCGTGACATAGTGCCCCCGAACACTGGGCAGGACAGGGGTGAAGCACGGTCAAGACAGGATGGGCAAAGATGCGTGAAGGTGCACAATGGAGGGAGAAGTATGACCCCAAACTACTGGGCCACTATTTTATGGGGCAATTAATACAAGAGAAAACATCGCCTCTCTGTTCAGTGTGGAAAAACACACTAACTGGGTTTATAAGCCTTTAGGACAGGTGTTTGTGTGCCGGTTCTCCAGCCTTTCCAGTTAGCCAACACCTCTATACAAAGTACCAGTCAAACGTCTGGACACATATATTGGAAGTAATTTATTTTTCAACAAGATAGCGACCCTGAGCACACCATTTCTTGTGAACAAGGAAGGAGGTGGAGTGCTGTGACAGATGACCTGGCCCCCACAACCCCCCGACCTAAACCCTGTAGAGCTGGTTTGGGATGAGTTGGATTGATGAGTAAGAGCAACCTGTGCCCAGAAGTTGTGGAAAGTCCTTCAGGACTGCTGGAGAAGCATTCCAGGAGGCTACATCTGGAAACTGTCTGACAGAAGGCCAAGAGTCTGCAATGCTGTCATCAAAGCAAAAAGGGGCTGTTTCGAGGAATCTAAAATCTGAGAAAATGTTCAGATGTTGGACACTTCTCTTGGTAATTGCAATATTAAAACTGCAAATTTTCTTGAGGCCTTTTGTTACAGGGTGAGTAACGCAGCTAAAATAGAGACAAATGCATTAAAAACAGGTGTGTCCAGACTTTTGATTGATATTGTACATACTTTTTCACACATTTGTCTGCTGGATATGGCAAAATCCAGGACTTGAACCAGGAACCTGAAGTGTCATTCTGGGGTATTGAGTACCGGTAGGTTCTGCTGTCTATGCATTTCCTATTTGCCATGAGTGTCCTGCTGGCCCTGGATTTGAATCAGCATCATGGGAAATCAAAGGTCTCCATTTCATAGGCGCAGATAAAGAGCAGCGGCACTAAGTGATGCATCATATTACCGCAGATGTCAATGTCTCCAGTAGGCTGTCATTTAGGAAGACTGTCCGAAATGACACTTTGAAATACAGGACCAAGACTGGGCCCCTGTTTACTTGACTATCAGTGAGACAGTGTCTCTGTTTGGTCCTGATTGTCATGTGATATAAAGGCGGGAGGGGCCAGAGGCGGAGCTGCGGTACCGGATTTAAGTAGGGTGTCCTTGCACAAAGAAGCGTATGTAGGTCTGATTCCCACAGACTCTGTCAGGCTCTCGTCCACAGGAAGTATCATCTAGAGGTGGAGGAAGGCACTGGTCACTGTGAGCGCCAAAGCAGGAAGTGATGGCGGTTTGCACTGGTCACTGTGAGCGCCAAAGCAGGAAGTGATGGCGGTTTGCACTGGTCACTGTGAGCGCCAAAGCAGGAAGTGATGGCGGTTTGCACTGGGCGTGGCCACGGATTCTCACCTTCCCATTGATGGTGTCTGGCAGTCTGGCCAGAAGAGGCCTCTGGTCCCTCTTTTCTTCCAGCCCCCAGGCGATGATGGAGATGTTGCCCACACACTCTCTGTCTGCTGACCTGATCGGGTGAGATCATCTGAATGGCCGACAGTCAGTGAATAAGACAAGCTGACCGCGTTGGCCGCCTCATCGGCCGTGTTTATTTCGCTGCCTCTGATCAATGTCGTCTTAGACAGGGAGAGTGACCCACCTGCCCCTTTTAACTGTGAAGGCAAACAAAGTTGCTCCAATCAGTCCATTTAGACCTGAGATCCATGTGGTCTAGATGTGGGGGCTTTTCATTATGTTCAAGGCTGTAGCCAGGATTTTTTAAATACTGAGGTTAGAAGTGTTCGCCCATCCTAGGTGTGCCCCAATGAATCATGGTTATTGAAGTAGCAGAAAAAAATACCGAGGACTTGACCTCAGTGTCATCAATGGTAGGTATGGGCATGGTGACGTTAGAGACACACTGAACCTTGGGCAAAATGCCATCTTCCTCACATCAGATTTCCCAGCACACTAGTCCTCGAGTCCCTTGATTTAAACCAGTTTTTCATTCATAAAGACAAAAATTGTACCCGTGATAGTTTCTATCCTTGCAGGTAAGTATTCCTGAAGACTTAAGTGCAAACTCACTTAAAGATGGCTTTCTCTGCTTTAATTTCACAAAGAGCCTAAATCCTGGTTGCCAGATTTGGAGTTAAAGCCAGTAACATGATACAAGACTTCATATTTCATTGCAGGAGCTGTCATTCGGGCTGCTGGTGTCTCTGGCTGCAGAATGGATAGGTTACCATGGTGATCGAGGGGGGGACCTCTTACCTGAGCGTCAGGTGAAGTCTGTGCTGGGGGTCCTGCAGCAGTTCCTTCACCGTAAACACAGCAGAGCCCAGCATGTACATCTGGGAAGGAGCGAGTGGAGCACTTAGAGAGCACACAGCAGGCCTTAACGACACACCACGTGAACAACAACGGCAGTGAGAGGCCATATTTCCACGTTTACCGTTCCCTGAGCGCGGTCCTTGACATCGTAGACTGACAGCTTGACCTGCGTCTGCTGACTGATGAGGGAGTCCTGGAAGAAGGCGATGCTGCTGAGGAAGATGGGATTACTGGTGCCCTGCAGGGAGATCATGGATTGATAGGCAGGGGTCAAAGGTCAAAGGTCACTGGCACTCTTCAGGAATAACAGTACAGCTGCAGGTGTTTTAGCTCACCTCTGTGATCTCCGTCTGGGCGTGCTTGGTCCAGAAAGCCTGGGGGGGTGTGGTGCAGCTAACGGCAACAAAACTGTTTGGTTTGCGCTCTAGAGCAGGAGTTGTGAGCTCACTACAGGCTGGGGGGGGGGAGAGAGACAGATTACCACCAACTTACAGCAGTGACACACGTAATGACTTCAAAGTTAAAAATAGCACAATTCATAACAAAGCCAAAATAAAAGACCCTTTGTTTTCAAACTCATACACAACTGGAACGGTGTTTTTCATTAGCTAAACAGTCATTATTTGTGCGAACCCCACCAGACCCACTAAACAGCTGAACCTAGAGGAAAACGAAAGGTGGGAATGTGACCATGTCACGTTAACTAAACAGAAATGCTTTTAAACCTGGCTGCTGGCTGTCAGATCTGATGCGGGAAAGCGAGGGTCTCAGTATACTGCCTGACAGGGACTTTGGGTGAGAGTGAAGTTTGGTTGGTTTAAGAAGAATCCTCCTGAAATCAACTTCACTTCATCAAGACTGGTGTATTTCCCTTATAAACACTGTCTCAATTATGCTAAACACGGAGCAGTCAATCAGCAAGCACTGGACAAGAAGCTAAAGACACTATGGTCTTCACCCACAAAGTGAGAGTCGGCCATAGCGTGAGACTCCAAACCTGCTTCCTGCACGCGAAATTGTCTGACGAACTATCCCATAATGCACCACTCACCCAGGCTGAACTCCAGCACAGGCTCATCAGGATCCTGGCTGTTTCCTAGGAGACGATGAGGACACAGTTATGATCCTACAACAGCTAAATCAGCATCCGGCCACCAAAGAAGATCAATGGGCAATAGAGACGCACAGAACCATAAAAACAAAATCTAAATGTGCCTAAATAATCCAACAAAATGAGTGGATAAATTTGGACAAATTAAATAACAAGCATATCGGCACAGGATCTAAAGAGGGCTGGTACTGAGAATAGATAGTAGGGAAGAGTTTACTCACCTGCCAGTGTGAGCCCCAGAATCTCGGAGGAGAGGTCAGTGGTGTTGGTGTGGTACATGGACCATGGCCGCTGGCGGGGGCAGCGATCTCTAGCAGACATCTTGGCAACGGTTGGGCGGTCTCACTAGGGGCGGGGACCACGCCCCCCGTAACCTTATTCAGTCAGCCTGGTGTTTCCTGGAGCATAAACAAACAAATATGTCCAACGTGGGTGAGCAACACCAGCCCGGAGTTCGGCCCCCTTCATGCCGCTCTCTCCAGCATCCTCCCTCTCGTCTTTCCTGCTCCATTGCTTTTCGGAACCCTGTACCCCCTAGTGGCACCGGCGATCGGGATCTTGGGGATGCCACAACACAAAGCTTAAAATCAGACTCAGATTAAATACAGACTTCCTGACTTAAACGCTTATATCAACATTAAACATGCTGGGAACTGTAAACCCTGGAGCAGCTCGTCCTGGTACACTCGCTCATTCCCATATAAACAGGACATTTTGTTACAAGATAATGCTAAATTATCTTGGCTCCTTACTCACAGGTTACCTTCAAGGGACCTGCAGTCTTTCCACTACTTACACACAAGGAAAGATTATTTTTCACAGGCTTTAAAAACACTGGGAATAGGTTTAGCTTTGCTAATGATGTTCCTTGGCCAAGTTTCAGTTCTCTTTCATGAACTGCCTGATATTTATGTTTACTGTCACTATCCAAGGGAAGCTTGTTCCCTGAAGCAGCACAGGGCAGCCATCGCTGCGTTTACACGACACAGATACATAAATGCTCGCATGCGATTTTAGATGATCAGAAGTCCTCTTCCGGCGTGAGGAAGATCGCAAGAGATCATTTATTTTTCAGCATGTCTGGGTCTTTCTTCTTTTGGCCTGCATTATTCATTGCTGGATGGTAAAACAGATTTAAAATCAAATGGGAAACGCAGGGAGAGACAGGGAGAAAGCATTTCCTCTTGTATTATTCATACTAGAAACGGAGATGTTGCTAAATGGCTTGTGTGGGACGTTGTGAGCAAGAATCCGAGACGGATTGATGCGTAAGAGCCTCTCACGATAAACAGAGCATTAGCCAGCTAATACTCCATGTTTATAATTCATATTCATCCTCTCTATTTTTGTTTGTTTGCTAGGTACTTTATTATAATAGTAGAAAATTAGCAGTATAACTGATTTATTCATGCGTTGAAGATGTTGACAAAGGTTAACTAGGTCTGGATGGAATTTCTTGTAGGACTAATGACCATTTCTCAGGTGATGTGAATACTGGAGAGCAGGATCTGTCAGCAGTCAAATGGACTTTTATCTCCAGACACAGACCACGTCAGCGACTGCTGCACGCCTACATCTCAGGACAGCTGGTGTAAATTGCTTCAACCGCGACAGAGTCTCTCATTAGCTGCTGAACTTGTCAGGACATTGTTTACCTAGGTGAGAAACCTCCATGATGGTTCTCCTTCTGTTTATCGACATTTAAACATAAAGGCATCATGATTGGAAATGAGTCAGAGTGGGAATCTTACTTATTACAGACAGATGCTGTGATGTACAAACGTACAGAGTTTTGTTGTACATGTTCAATGACAATAAGGATATTCTATTATATTCTATTCTATTCTATTCTCCATTGTGTTGCTAGGTATTTCACATGTCTGACTGCCTTGGCTCATACTCTTCTGTCAGCAGGGGCGTTGGAAGGGCAGGGATACCCTGGCAGACTCAGGGGGCCCGGCCCCTTACAAGGGCCCCTGAATATGTAAAATTATACAGAAAATTGGACGGGGAGGCCCTAAGGTGACATTTTGTCAAGGGGCCCAGAATTTCCAGTTACACCCCTGTTTGTCAATCATGTGGGCCAGCTTGAACATAACACACCTGTACTTCACAGTCATGTGAGACATTATGACATGCCCGTGCTTCACAATTGACTCTGAGGGGATGATGAGAATTACAAAAACTAAAAATCAGCAACCTCAAGGGGGCACAGAGACACCCAAATAAAACGCTACCAAGGCATCAGAAGTTACAACAAACAGGAGACCAAACGTCGGGGTCGCTGTGTAGCGCTGAGTCATCTTCCATTAGCCAGCTCCCCTTCACCCCAACCCAGCCTGTGAGTGTCATGATGATGGATGAGCACCAGACAGACTTTACAGAAACATCAGGCTTCAAAACCAACTGTAAAAATGAGTGATAGACTGATAACATCTCCGAGAATTTACAATTCCCGCTTACCATTCAATCTGGACAATTCAAAAAACCCCATTTAGGTGCAGAGAGCCATCATTTATGGGCGGACGGAGACGGCTTTTTACAGTCTGCTGGTGAAGTGTGTTTGCTTTTATGAGAAGCTCCACCATCCACATCTAAAAACTGGGCCTTCAAGGGCCAGCTCTCCTCCTGCAAAATCTCATCATCTTCAATTCTCCCAGGTCAAGTCGAGACCACAGGCCTCAGCCTCCGATGTCTGTCACCATGGGAACCACGGCAGATGAAAGAAGCATGAAAGATGTGGATGGGAATATGTCCAGAGGGTTGAAGAACAGTGTGACTCTCGCAGGAACTTCATCCGAGTTCTCTACATGCACATAAAAAGTACCACCAGTACATATAGGCACGAGCAGTGCACAACGCAGTGTTGCTATGGTAACTCTCATATGCCACATGTGCTGGTCTATACAGTTCAGAATGTGGGAGCAGAGGCGTGGTGGACTGTTCTGGATGAAGATGGGGTTGACATAGAACAATGAGCATGGCCTGTTAGGAGCTTAGAGAGAACCAATAATATTTCCACTGCCACCATGAACTTAGCTGATATACCCATATACCCATGATATACCGAGCTGATATGCCCATATACCCATGATATACCAAGCTGATATACCCATATACCCATGATATACCAAGCTGATATACCCATATACCCATGATATACCAAGCTGATATACCCATATACCCATGATATACCGAGCTGATATACCCATATACCCATGATATACCGAGCTGATATACCCATGATATATACCCATGATATACCGAGCTGATATACCCATGATATATACCCATGATATACCGAGCTGATATACCCTATACCTGCGCTGATATGGCCTTACTAGCAGTTGAACCGAGCTGGATACGTCACCACCATCTGATCGGTCAAACTGCACGGAGATACCAGTGTTCTGCATAAGAAAGAATTATCTGAAGCATATATTCTACCTATCATTCATTATTTGTAGTATCGCACATTGTGACATACTGATACATTACTGATAAGTCAAAACCTGAAAATTTCCAACCACCTATTTAAAAAGTACTATAGAACAGCTGAACGGAATGGATTCGTAATGCCAATCTACGCAAGCGAATGCTAATACCGCTAGCATCTGATGTTAACATTAGACAGGGATTCTTCAAAAAAGAAATAATAAGATGGTGATTCTCACAGACTTGTTAGCGGACATTAGCGCATAGTAAATTACGATGTACACCATGTGAACTGTATATAAGTGTCTTCAGCTTTACGTCATTGTCACTCTACAAACCCGGCAACGCCTTTACCAAGCCGACCCTTCTGCAGTGGAAAACCAAAAGTGAGCGGGAAAGATACTGGAACTGGTCTCTCTTTGTAGTGTGGCCTGGGTATGGCTCGGGTCCTATATGCCAGTGGAAAAGCACCTTAAAATGGCTTCCTAAGAAGTGAAAGGGTTGCGTCACTCAGGATCTCCAGGTGCTCGTTAGGGAAATGAAACCTATGAAGACAAGCGCACTCTCAAGGGCCAAAGAACCATCGACTATCCCTTTAGTATCAGGAGAGTCAGAAGAGATCTGATTGACATTATTTAATACCATGACCACAAAGACTGATTAAATGCACAGAACATCTCAGCAGGGGAAACCTTACATGGCCAGAGAGGGTGCAGTGTTACACATGAGGTAAATTAAGGGTTAGGATTAGGATTAGGGTTAGGGTTAGGTTTGAATGAACCACCATTCTAATTTCTCATGGGCTCATATGAGCTGCTTATATTCTTCCGATGGAGAGCTCTGAGAGGTGTTTTACTGATGGATTTATACGATTTTATTTGCCATAATGCAGTCCTAAGGCTGTAATCCTAAGAGGGCTCCTGCTAGCATACCCTGTACCCCTGTACCAAGCAGTATACCCGTTTCGGGTACTCGTGCACTCTTACAGCATCTATTTGGTGAGCAGAGTGTCAAACATGATTTGGATGGCTTTTCTGGTGAATCAAAGGCCTAGTCAGCTCTTCCATGTGTGGATCTTTCCAAAAACTCCGTCCAGAAGGCGAAGAGCGAGTCACAGCAGGAGACATTGATCGCAGCTCCCCAAGCACAGCTCCTGTCTGGGGGTGGGGCTTCAGAAATCTATCGACATGTCATTCCCATATGCACCCTGTTCAGATTAAATTTAGAATGTTCACTCAGTATTACCTAATAAACATTTCTGTCTTAGTATTTGCTATACTAAGTATATTCACTTTCTTACTCAAATATATTAAGAAAAATGGATTATAATTTTCTAAAATCATGCTGTAGCCACTTACTCAGTGCTGGCACTGGGATTGGTCACTCTGAGCTGACATGGGATTGGTCACTCTGAGCTGACATGGGATTGGTCACTCTGAGCTGACATGGGATTGGTCACTCTGAGCTGACATGGGATTGGATGGTCTGAGTTAACATGGGATTGGATGGTCTGAGGTAACATGGGATTGGTTGGTCTGAGCTGACACGGGATCTGTTGCTCTGAGCTGATACTGGTATTGGTGGGTCTTGAGCTGACACGAGATCTGGACTGAAAATTACAGTGCATCGGACGATGGCTGAGTGCATAACTGTATTGATGTGGGCATTTAGCCCAATTTCTGACTGTTATTGATACAGAAAATGTGATGCAGCCGTTTTAGGTACATTACATTAAAAGTGGGCCATGGTACCCAGCTCAGCATTTGCATCCCACTGTACTGCACTGATCTTAGTGAGCTTTGCCTGCTCCGCTGCCCCAAACTGGTTCTTTCTCCCGACCGATTATGAGTGTACATGCTTTTTTTTTATTATGGATTGCTTGATTAACGGAACTCACAGCCTGATACCAGCACCGGGATATTTTCAGCTTAAGGCCCTGTCCAGGAGGAATCACTGGGCCACATGAACTGATGATCTGGGCCTGGTACCAGTGCAGGTGTTTGGGTTTTGTGCCCGTGTTGGGTCACAAACCATAACGAGCTAGGAAATTCTGAATGAATGACTGGATGAATGATAGCATGTAGCTTATACTCCAGCAGCACTTCTGGCCAAACGCACATTTGTGGATATTCCAAGCAGCGCCTCTCAGGGTAGCTTCCTCACTAAACAAGAGCGCAGGTGACCTTCAGGTGACCTTCAGGTGACCTTCAGGTGACCTTCAAGTAACCTTTAGGTCCTGTAACCATTTTTCTACCTGCCGCCTATAACTGGAACCTTGCTGTCCTTCCCTCTTTTCACTTGACTTCCTCATTATGGCCTCTGTCCCTGAATCTGACCCCCATGACATGTACAGCAGTACATGTGAAAGGCCGATGCGCATCCAAAGAGCTTCCAGTCACATGATCCCCACTCAAGCACAATTTAGGCTTCCATTTCCTTCCATTGCCCAGCCCAGGGTGCTCATGTGAGTGTTCATGCCATCGAGCTGCGCTTCTCTGTGTGAAATACGGGGCCAAAAAGGTTACCAGGGCCACATGGCGGCAGTGAGCGTCACACGGCTCGCCGACGGGCCACCATCTGCTTAGGAAGCTGGATATGGGCCGGTGGTTCTGTATCCTGCATGAGCGATCTGGGTCCGTGTATTTATGTGAGCACTGTGGACAGAGGTGCATGTGTGTGGCTGGGGGAGGGCACTCCCAGGCACTGGCGGGTTCGAGGGCACTCCCAGGCACTGGCGGGTTCGAGGGCACTCCCAGGCACTGGCGGGTTCGAGGGCACTCCCAGGCACTGGCAGGTCATGGGCACTCCCAGGCACTGGCGGGTTCGAGGGCACTAGCAGGGACTGGCAGGTCGTGGGCACCCGCAGGCACTGGCGGGTTGTGGGCACCCCCAGGCACTGGCGAGTCGTGGGCACCCCCAGGCACTGGCGGGTCGTGGGCACCCCCAGGCACTGGCGGGTTGTGGGCACTCCCAGGCACTGGCGGAGGCGTGACCACTGTGTGTCTGAAGAATGCGGTATGTTGCCAGCTCTTTGCACTTGTCTGTTTGTGTTTGACAGCAACATGGCTGCGTCGGGGAATGCAAACAGCACAGGTCCGGGTCAACGGCACGATTTCTCAGACTGCTTAACCTGCTTTGGCCTCAGGGCACATACAGAGGCTCAGACAGAGTCCAACAGTTTATGTCTGTGCGTTAGCATGACAATGTTTATGTATACATGTGTGGCTAAATGAAACTCAACACTAAAGCACTGTTACCTATAGCATCCGACCATCCTATCAGTGTCCGACTGCTTATCCAGCACAAAGAGAGCCTAGAACCTATCTCAGACAGCAGGGGAACAGCCTAACTGGGACGCCAGTCTATCACAGAGCCACAACAACCTTGCGCTGTAGTGTTAGACACTGAAGAATCCTCTCCTAAATAAATAACTTCCTATAAAGTCACCACCCGCAGACTGAATAGCCCGGTAACGCTGCACTGCTTCTTCCAGTCCTCATAAACCGAAAATGACAAGATGATGCTGGCAATGATGACAAAGCCTCACCACTTGGTTCTAAGGCTGGACAGCTCCCCCCAGCAATAAGGATATTGATTGAGGGGGAGTATAAGCTTCAGGTATCTCATCAGAATGACATAATCCACGTGAACAGTGTAGCCTAGCTGGATATCTGCCTTATAAACTGTTTTGCATGACTAGAGAACTAGACCCATAAAAATAAACAGCTGTGGGGTCAAGTGTGAAAAGCGGTTCTGCTTTTGTACCGCTGTGTATATCACTTATGCCGAGTCTTTGCAGGAGAAATGGAAATTCGTAGCGTTCTTGGCGTTTAAGTAGCTAGGTGAGGCCACAACCCAAAACTACAGTCAGATACTGAAGCGTATACTGAAACAGCCTATGAAGAAGTGGCTGCAACATCTGCCCGACATTGTGAAAGTCCGTGGTGCACCCATCCCACACCTGGCACTTCGGTTTGGTTGAAGAACAAACAATAATTTACTTTCTCATCTCATCACCTTGAAAGTGACGTGTTTGTGAATGTAAAGACGTTTTTAAACTGTGTATAACGGGAACATCTTCTGATTGTACGCAGGACTTTATAAACACAGGTTACAGCTTCTGCACCCTACGGACTCACATATAATGATGCACACACGATTAAATGGGAAGTACAAGTAAAAAAAAAAAACCGCCAACAAGTTGAACTTCGCTGAATATATCAGTATAAAACAAGTGAGGCGTTTTCATCTTATTGCATGATGTCCCTATAGCTGGTGGACTCTGCAACCAAGAATATAATCATCCATATGGTCTTTAACTGAATCGCCTTCTGGGTCGCTTTTAACGGCCTTTCGGTTAAAAAAGGGCAGTTTTGGTATCACACCCGTATCCGCATAAAACCCGTAAACACATCATCTCTGCCGGAGCTCTTCCACGCGCCAGCATAGCGGTGGTTAATGATGAACTAATTACACGCATCCTCCCTACCTTTGCATAAAAATGTCTGCAGCACTTACACGTCATCTTATATATCCAACTCCTACCGTAAAAATCAGTTATGGACCATGGTATGGTTTGATGTGCAATCCCTGTCGGACGCATAATTAAAAATGGGGACTACACTATAGAGGTCCAAAACAACAACCGCTATTACGGTAAATAAACTTATAACCATAACGGAATCGCAGCTGTTCCTTTCACATCTTATGCCACAATTGTCCAAATCTCTACTAATATGCAATTAATCATTTATTACACACTAGGATTTCATTGATCTGTGCCTGCAAACAGGAATGAAATACACTTAAATGCACTTACACTTTTATCGTGCACCGCAACAATCCGTGCTGGCTGTTCAATGCGATGCTGTGAATTCATAAACGGGACATTTTTCTAATTCTTCCTTTCTGTTTACGTCGAATCGCCTCTGGTTACTGCCTTGGTATATCACAATCTGACGTAAGAACGTAACAAAGCTGTCGCCAAACCGTCCCCCACCCATTCCCTTCCTCCCCCTTCTTTCTTTCGTTTAGTCCGCAATCAGAAGCAGCTTTAGTCCTTCGCGCACAGACGCAGTGGCAATGCAATTAAAGTTACTGTCTGAAGCAGACCCAAGCGACTAAAACGAATGTATTTACATCATACGCATTTTCCCACAGCGTGCACTTGTCAGAGATCAGCACAATAATAATTTGAACATTGCCTCCCGCTTTATAATGTCTTTTAGCCGTACTCTACATTTTTTTTTCAATAACATGAGCCTGCTCAAACATTGCATTTACTATAATTTAAGACTGAAGTGCAAGTTTCACCCTAGGTGGTCACTAATGAAACAGAAAAATATAGGCTGTCATTGCTAGATGTTGCGATCTTAATATAATCGCATTTTTTGTGTAACAGTTATGCTGTTATTGCAAATTGGGAGCAGGATGGGTTTTCCCAGGGATACCATGCGATAGGGTATATATTTCTCCCAGGAGACGGACCTCAGAAGCGATTCACTGTGCCTTCATCGTTTATGATGGACAAATAACAGTTTACAAAAAGGACAGCGCCGCGTGAATAGTCATCGATGGTCAGCACGAGGGAAGGGGGTATGGTCTCGGAAGACACGTGACGCCCACTTCACTAGCCATTTACTGGCTTTAGTGCGACACAGCGGTGACACAACCATGACACGATCACAATTACTCCAAAAATCCTAGATGCCATTTTCACTAACATCTTAACAATAACATGAAACTCTTTACTTAGGTTTTAGTCTTCACATAACATTAAAATATAGAAGACAATAAATAAGATACATGTCTTCACCTCTGATAATTCATCCAAAAATATTAATAATGCAACGCAGCAAAGATCTACTGCCATCTTGCGCTGGAAAAACAGCTATAAAAGACATACTTTGGTCCGTCGATATTCCCAAATAATACTTCGTGCATTTCTGGTGGTATAAAAAAAGAATTGTTTAATGGACGCCTGTGGTATATTTAAACCCACACGCTTAATACTATCTCTGTCCGGCTATGCATGGTAAGACCACAGTAGCTTAATTATCTCCACCAAACCCAAGAACAATCAACAGCCTCGAAGAATAACGCGAAAGTTTCGATAAGTATATGGACGTAACTGCCTGGAAGGACAGATCACAGAATAGGAAGAAAATGACCCATGACAAAATTTTGGAAGTGAGCTGATGTTGTTAATAATGAAAAGATTGCAGCTCAAGCTTGAATTATTGCAGTCTCTTCGAATCTTTTGGTTTAGATTCTACATAATAATTATGTAATTATTATATGACAAGACTCTGCTTAGGACAAGCGGGTATAGAAAATTAATTGATGGATAATTAAACCTGTTTGTTTTTCGTTATTTTATAAATTTATCCGATAAAAACTGAATGGATTTATTTAGATTCCACCTATTGCAAATAATAGTAAAAAAATCATACGATTAATTCACATGCACCTTTATATGAATAATGTTCCGGGCTAAATTTAAATTTAATCCGTTTTTTTATAAAACATTTTTTTACTACTTTTTAAAAAAAATAAAGCCAACCGTATACCATTCATTATATACATATAGCCTACTAAAACGGAATTAAACAAAGAATATGACATCTATGAAAGGTGAACAAAGTTTGAATGTTCAGTCGTACCATGGCCCCTCCCACGATTTACCTACACACGGAGTCAGGTTAAATCTCTGTTCACGGGAACTTTTCATTCAAATAAAGAAATAAATCAACGATTGTTTAGTGGAGGCGAAAGGCATTTTACTTATCCACTTTCCCGGTCCATTGAAAACGTACTGGATAATTACCGGTGTTTTTAGGTTTTATTTTTTGGTTACATTTAATTTAATTTCGTTTTACGTAGTCCAGCCTGCTGAACACTGAAAAGCACTATTTCATCTTTTAAAGGTTTTTGAAGAGATGGACGACTCCATCTCCTGTAAATGTAACTGGACTTCGAAATATTTAGTTTGCTTGGTGATTTTTCTTTCTGGCGCACTTTGGTCCAGCCGTGATGTTTTATCTAACGCCGCAGGTGCCACTACCAAGGCGCCTCCAGTTAATTCACCCGCATGGACGCAGGTTAGCCCGAAACCTCAGACGCAGCCCTTGCCGGTCTTCACGATAAACTATCCTCGCATCCAGGTGCCTTTTGAAATCACTCTGTGGATTTTACTGGCGTCGTTTGCCAAGATTGGTAAGTCCTCATCCCGTTTCCATAACCACCGTGGAGAATTCGTCTTTGTCTCGTTGCTGAAATTAATGCAACATTGGAATTGTATTTTTAAAAGAATGTATTTCGAGGTTAAGATACTTTTTTCCTTGAACACTGTATGGCCGTTTATGTGATTCTGTCGCTGATCTCCCTGAAAGGTTTCAACATGTACCACAAGATAACCATCTGGATCCCAGAGTCTTGTCTGCTGATCAGCGTGGGTCTGGTGGTGGGGGGCATCATGTATGCAGTACACGGAATGCCCCCGGCCGTGCTCACCTCCAACGTCTTCTTTCTGTATATGTTGCCCCCCATCGTGCTCGACTCCAGCTATTTTATGCCGACGCGGCCGTTCTTCGAGAATGTGGGCACGGTGCTCTGGTTTGCTGTGGTTGGCACACTCTGGAACTCGTTGGGCATTGGGGTGTCGCTCTACGGCGTGTGTCAGATCGAGGCTCTGGGCCTCAAGGACATCAACCTGCAGGAGAACCTGCTGTTCGCCTCCATCATCTCCGCCGTGGATCCGGTCGCGGTGCTGGCTGTGTTCGAAGACATTAGCATCAACGAGCAGCTCTACATCGTGGTCTTCGGCGAGTGCCTGTTCAATGACGCCGTCACTGTGGTAAGCAAGGAGCCTTTCAGGTCGAAGGTCAGCTTGTTTGGGTATTAGGTGTATAAAACGAAAAACTGGGACATTAAAAACGCATTATTTCTCTCACCTGGAAGTAAGGGTTAGATGAGTATTTAAATAAAGCCAAAAATATATTTTTTATAAATAAGTCAATCATAGTAATGGGTCTAATTAGCAGTTGCTGGTTTATCCAGAACATTGAGAAGGTGCTGATCAGGTGAAGAGCTTCACCTCTTCTTGGGGTTCTACTGATAAGGGATCCCTTTGTATCTGATCACATGATCTCCAGACCCATTCCTCTCAACAGAACACAAAGCCCAGAACGTACGGCAGTGTTCTGTAACCATGCAGTGGAACACATGGTACCTCCAAGAGAGAGATACTTTGTTCTGTTTAGGTGTGAAGATATATATATATATTAAGGCCCAACATTATCACTATAATAAAGCTGGAATAGTAATGAATAGAGTGTGAGTCTGAGACTTTTACACATGAAGAAAGGATGGTGATCACATTTTGAAGGTGAGGGTGGTGGTTTAGCTGGTGAGGCTGTTTTGTGCATGTGAGGTTTCTATTTTAAATGTGTCTGGTGTTTGCGTTTCTGCACAGTCAGCTCATGAATTCTGCATCGGATAATTCCACTGTTGAGTTGCTATTGGCTATTTTTTTTTTTCATTTTCCTGGTCATAAGATTATTTATTTCTATACTGCTGGCAGAGGACTTGTGCATCTCCATTTAACTGTAGTGAGAGCTATTACCCTGGACTGTTTAACTTTTATTACACACAAATCAAATTCAGTTTCTTTGGCTTTGTAAGATTTTACAGAGCACATGAATGGCACACTCTGCAGACATTTTTAGTTTTTGCAGATTTATATTTCTACTCATGTGATTTATCTGATACCTAATGGGATTTGAAGCAACAAACATTCTGGTCCTAGTTGTTAACCACAGCTCCACCTTTTGGCCAGGCACTGTACAACATACTCAGCTTTGTGGCCACCATGCCGGAGGTGGAGACGGTGGATGTTTTTCTTGGCATGGCTCGCTTCGTAGTGGTTGGTCTGGGCGGCCTGTTCTTCGGGTTCCTGTTTGGCTTCGCGGCAGCGTTCACCACACGCTTCACCGCCCACGTGCGTGAGATCGAGCCCTTCTTCGTCTTCATGTTCTCCTACTTGGCCTACCTGGTGGCTGAGCTCTTCTCGCTCTCCAGCATCATGGCGTGAGTAGTACCAGCGACAAAAAGTGCAGATGGGGTTTAAGAGTGAGTGGAAAATGGGGAGGTCCTGGACCTAGAAAATTAGCTCTGAGAAAAAACATGCTTTTTGGTTATTGTTGTATAATTATACAGTACAGTTTAGTGATGGACAAAATGACTTCATGAACCATTTGCTATATTTTTTGACTCCACTAGATGGTGCTCTCTGCTTAAAAAAAAGGTGCAAAGCATGTCCCAAAGCAAACCAAGAGCACCATATACTGGGGTGTAAAATACAAAGAGATGGTTCATTAAGAGTCTATATATCTATATTTCTCATACTCATTAACACATTTCTAGTTATAAGATGGCTGATTCCTGTCTTGTCCTGTGACCTTTGACCTTGCACCTCTTACATGCTCCCCTCTGCTTCCCACCCCCAAGCATTGTGACCTGTGCTCTGACTATGAAGTACTATGTGGAGGAGAATGTGGCCCAGCGCTCCTGCACCACCATCCGGCACGTTGTCAAGATGCTGGGCACCATGTCAGAAACACTTATCTTCTTCTTCCTTGGTGTGGCAACAATTACCACTGACCACGAGTGGAACTGGGGCTACATCCTCTTCACGCTGCTGTTCGCATTCGTCTGGAGAGCCCTGGGTTCGTGTCTGTCCTTGCATTTGAAAGAACTTGCTAATGCTACTCATTGTAAATGCTATCTGGTGTTAACGCTAGCTCATACTAATTCCATCTATCCATCCATCCATCCATCCATCCCTCCGTCCTTCTGTCCGTCCATTCGTCCTCCAACCAGTTATCCGGTATGTGGCCATAGTTCCTCCTAAACTCTTACTTCTTTCTTTCTCTTCCAGGCGTTTTTGTCCTCACTCAGATCATTAACCCTTTCCGCACAATCCCATTCAACTTCAAAGACCAGTTTGGCCTGGCATACGGAGGGCTGCGTGGGGCCATCTGCTTTGCCCTGGTGTTCCTGCTTCCGCAAAACATCACTTGCCGGAACCTGTTCATCACCGCTACCATCGTTGTCATCCTGTTCACTGTGTTCATTCAGGTACAGCGTGCCCCGGCGTGCTAACTTTAGCACTAGCCGTCTGTCACTCTTAATGTGGTGTATTTCAATAAAGGAGGGTGTAGTCTACTGTTATTTTGCTTCAGTTCTGTAAAATCTTCCATTTCGCCTCTTTTATAACTGATTATTCTGGTGGAGCAGTTCAGGTCATGTGATACTACGAGTTTTTGTCTTTAACTGCCTTGCCAGCTCAGCCGTGCAGCTGCTAGCAGCTTTTCCAGACCGAAGGACACATGTGAAGGTTAGGGGCTGTTAAGGTGGTCCAGCAGAAATCAGTCTGAAAATGTCACTGAAACTTACTCATTGGAAGCCCTGGTCCTACCTGAGATGGTGAATGTGTCTCAGTGGGACATGTTGTCTACTACAGGGGATCAGCATCCGGCCTCTGGTGGAGTGTATGAAGGTCAGGAGGACCAACAGGAAGCTGGGCACCATTAACGTTGAGATTCACAAGAGGGTGGGTAGCTATTTCATTGACTCGGTATCTGTTTACACAGTTGAAGATACTCTAGCCCAGTGTTTCCCAACCCAGTCCCCAGGGACCCTCAGACCAATTTTTCGGAGGGAGCAAAAATGTGGAAAGTCTGGCAGGAAGCTGGGAGGGAACAGATACGTGAATGGCTGGACTCCACGAGTCACTGTTTTAGCAGAATCTCATTCTGTGAGTCCTCTAAGTCAGAGATTTACAGAGATCTGGATAACCTTCATTTTATGTTCCTAGAAGAACAGTGGTACTATTTTGCATCAAATTTTCAATTGGCAGCCTGTAATGATACTGATGACCTTTTCAGCTGATGGAGCACACCATTGCTGGCATTGAGGACATCTGTGGACAGTGGAGCCACTATTACTGGAAGGACAAGTAAGCGTGTGTCTGGCATTGACTGAATGAGGTGTCTTTTTCACAGCTCTGTGCACATTGCCATGATTCATTGCAGCAAGAATCTAATTCTTCAACGAGATACACAAATGTTCATGTCAAGCAAATACAGAGGAGCAATACCCTATTCATATGTATTCTGAAGGTTTTTTTGCATGCATGTATTTAGATGCTTTTCCACACTGAGATGATCTGGGGGTTTTGGCTGATTGTTGTTCCCAGCACTCTGTCCTACTAATCGATCCTCCCTGACATATCTGTAAGTGAAGGCTCTGCCATGTCAGAATACTCTCAGGGCTAGAATTTTGCTGCCCCCAGGAAAGAGGGGGGTGGGTGGGGGGAGCACACTTCAAAATGTCAAATGGAACTTGACATAATTCAATGTGTGTGGCTTGGCCTGCTGGCTTCAATCTGTCACTGGTCATGGCTATTTTTTAAAGGAAGAGGAAAGAATGTTATTGGACATGGATGACAAAAATATAAATTCATGAAGACATACCAGGTACAAACATCACATTCCTTCGCTTGCCTATGAAAGTTTTAGCCTTTTCCCCAGCATCTCTGAAGCCTTATGAACATCAGAAACTGACAGTTGCCATGGTAATGTACCAGGTTTAAGAAGTTCAACGACCGGGTCCTCAGGAAGATTCTCATAAGGGACAACAGGGCTGAATCCAGCATTGTCGCCTTGTACAAGAAGCTAGAACTGCAGAATGCGCTGGAGCTTCTCGGTCCTGCCCCCAGTGACCTCAGTGCTGCACCCTCACTCATGGATTTGCAGTAAGTGATGTATCTGCCGGCAGTTACTTTCACTGCCTTGGTTCACTTTCTCCCCATCACTCATACAGTGCCAGTTATTTTCAAATCATTTGTTGAGTATTTCTCTAATTCCCTAAACCTCCCTCTCTGTTCATGGTCAATAGGTCTCCAGCTGCCTTTAGCTGATTTGTTGCTTGTTTTTTAGTTTATACCAGCGTTTCCTAATCCGGTCCTTGGGAACCCACAGGTGGTCCACGTTTTTGCTTTCTCTAAGTTCCCCGCCAGACAGTTGACATTTTTGCTCCCTCCCAGCTCCCTGTCTGTGGGTTCCCGCAGGCTAGATTGGGAAACACTGGTTTATACAATAGGAATGGCATTTTACTTGAGTTTAATTGATGACAGGACATTTTTTGGAGATGCTAAGCTGCTGACTGGCTGGTCGAAACAGTGATTCAATTTGAGGAAGCCCTCCACTCCAGTACAGGATGCCCTGTGTTGCTCATGGTGACGAAAGCTCTTTCACTTGGGTAACTTGCAGCGTGGAGACAAAGCCAACGGCCAGAACGAAGAGGAACTTCCCGGCAAGCGATCTGAGGAACATGCACGAGCTGCTGTCGAAGAATATGTACAAGATCCGACAGAGGGTGAGTGGGTCTGTCAGTTCAAACGCGCTGTGATCCCTTCCCCCAAAACCCTCAACAGAGCACCTGCTTCTGGTAGCTCTGTCTTGTGTTGCTATGAAACCTTGATGAATGAGTCGAGCTGGTTCCTTTGTGGATGGTTCCTGGCAGACAGTGGAGTACACCAAGAAGAGTGCTTTGCCCAATGACTCCAAGGTCAGAGAGATCCTGATCCGGCGACACATCAGCATCCGGCACAGCTTCCGGGTCGGAAGTTTCCCTAGAACGGTATGGAACCTGAATGTGTGTGTGTGGGGGGGGGGACTTTGTTTCATGGTTTGCATGATATCAGTTGTTGAAGGCCTTTATTTGTTTTATTACTATTAAAACAAACAAGGTTCTGCCTGTTTCATATTCACCATGTGACATTCAAATTCTGACCCTAAAGAAGATAACTTTGTACATAAATTCAACACACTGTGTTGTGTGGTATATGCATGAAATACCACTGGCATTGATTGTGCTGGAAACTAAGTGGATTTTGAGGAAGTTCACTGTTCTGCTTACATGTATGTTGTCATTTGGAGATCATGTCCCTGCTGTGACCTCATACCTCTCCAACATATCTTTCAGGGTGTGTCCAAGCGCCACAGGTTTCTCTCATTGCCTCCCAGAAAGAACATGGAATCCAGGTCCCCCCCGAGCAGACCGAGCTACACCAGTGAGTATCAGGCACTCAGCTAGGAAGTACTGTACCGATGTTCCAGAAATCTTCTGAGGGCTCCGATCATTTTCCGACACGGAACTTGGATACCTGTGGCGACACTGGATCTTCTTATATTATGTTCTTCTATAGTGTTGGTGTTACTTACACATTGTGTCCTCTAATATTCTGGTACCCCCGGGTCTGGAAGAAAAGGCTTTCAGTCTGCCGCAGAACTTAATAATACCATTAAGCAAATCATTTTCCGAAGTAGGCTTTTCAGCACTCTGTTTGGCTTTGTTAGGTCAGCTTCATACACCCTGCCCCCGGGACTAGCCTCTTTAGACAATGCTGAGGGGCCAGGCTTAGAGGATAAACAGTCGTGGAAAATGACTTTGCACCCGTGTTCAGGTTCCAGAGGCACAGACCTGGAACTGGAGCCCCTTTCAGCCACATCCAGCGTGAGCCAATTGCAGCGGTTCTCGTCTCGCCAAGAAAGGCCCCTGCAGAACCGCTACCACCAACCGGAACGACGTGAGCACGAGTTGGGCCAGCAAACCTCCCGGGAGCCAATAGCAGAAGGATTATGGGGGCAACCCCAAAGAGATTCCTGGACGGCCCATCGTTACTCTCGCAGCCGTGACGAGCACAGGCCAGGTGGGGGGAATCTTCCGCCATCTGCACCCACAGGCTGGGCCCAGGAGCCTCTCATCCAGAAAGGGGGTGGATCCCAGAACCACCTGAACAGGAGACCACACTGGAGACCCCACAACCCCCATGGTCCTCAAAGCCCAGGACAGGTGGACTAACCAAAGATGACCAAACCTGACTAGAACAAGCTGGAACAAGCAAGAAAGACAGAACAGACCCACTGTTTGCACCCCAAAAGAACAAAAAATGTGTCTTTATTTCACTCTGCTTGCCAGGTGTTGATTGGCCTTTTAAAAAGGTGGATATACTTGGCTAAATTTCCAAATACACAGTAATGATACTTCAGTAATGGCAATATTTAGAGAAGTGAATAAGTGAAAAATTGGTCTCTAAAGAGCCAGTCAGAACAAAGGTCAGATGAAGGAGTTTTGGTCTACGCCCTTTTCAAACAGAACCCAGATAATACCTGAATGTGTGTAGTGCTGCCCTTGTGGTCATGTGACATGGGATGTTTCACACGGTAGTCAGGAAGGTGGTCTGCGGGCGTGTAATGGACACAATGGGGCTACAGGTTTCTCGCCTGGAAAGTCCGGTCAGTATCATGGTCAAATGGACCACTGACCTTTAACACAGGAAAACAAGTGCGTTAGAGTATGTATGTGTGAGTGCAGACCATTTGTTACCTAAAAATAAAATGTTCATTTGCTCTGTGTTTCAATGCCATAAGGCAGTGTTTCCCAACCTGGTCCTCGGGCAATCGCAGCCGGTCCATGTTTTTGCTCTCTCCCTGCCAAACAGTCCACATTTTTGCTCCCTCCCAGAAAAAACGGTCTGTCTGCAGGGGACCAGGTTGGCAAACACTGCAATAACAGCAGTACCATTTAACACTAATGAAAATATAAGGGGTGGGACACTGAGGATTGTTTCTGCATTTGTACGCAGGCGGAGCTAGATCCTTGGTTATTATGCACTTCAGGGTTCCTATGCCTGCCTGGTTCAAGTGGTGTTTCTTCATACGATTTGCTGCCACACAGTGGTGAAGCGGCACATAGCAGTTTTACGTTGCTGTTGTTTTTCAATAAAGGATAAAAGAGCAATAAAACACCGAATAGCATTTACTGAGGTAAAACCAGTGCTTCATCACAAATGGGTCACACCCCCATACACTACCGGTGTCAGCATAGAGCAACCTGAGAGGTATGAAGTTATCCATTAATAAATTAAATGAGAAATAAGGTTTAACAGCCTGATTATAGATTATTATATATGTAATACGGACAAGCAACTTAAGAATGAGGTTCGATTTTAAAAAAGGTCAAAACGGTGTTTTGTAAAAATCTGTTTGTCTTTATTCCAGCAGGACGACATTTCATCTAGAACTTGGTCTACCTGAAAAACACGGAAGTCCTGTTAGGTGACATTTTCAAGACTTCCAGCTACAAACTAATTAACTGGCTCATGTCATCTGCTTCAGTTCACTGCCGCTCACTGCATGGGTCCCCTGTACACTGACCACAGTATTCCACCATCATGATATCTATTTATCTAAAATATTTCTCGACTTCTGAGAGATTTACTAAGTATCTTATTGCTGTGTAGTTCATGTCGGAGTCTCTGAGGTAAAAAACATTCAACAGGAATGAGGATTTTTTTTTCTTAAATCAACTGGTCCTGTGACACTTTTCTCCAAACATACACCTGATCATGACATTCAGGTCCTATTCAGCTCAGAAATGCAGATAAATAAATGCTTATAGGTAAAAATAAATAACCAAAACAAAACAAATGACATCAGAATATTAGTTATAAAAATGAACATGTAAAACCTATGTTGTAATTCCAGCATAACCTCCTGACACCATCAATGTAGCAGAAAAAAATGTATTTCAATGGAACTAAAAGGAAAAAGTGGTGCATTACGGGACGTAGAGATGAAGACAGGCTGTGCTGTTACTGCTGAAGGACCAACTCGAAATGGAAAAGGCTTCTTAAATAAAACGTGATTTGGTGAGTGAGCAGCTCAGATGGTTGTGCCGTTGCCTGCCATTGGTTGGGAAGACGAGACCAATGTCGCTGGTGGTTACCGACAACTCGGTGACCAACAGGTTAACAGAGCCCGCGGCGTATGAGCTGCTCCAGAGTGTGAGCATCCAGCCCAAGAGCAAAAACCCGGGACCTCAGAGTTTGAGGTGCTTGGCTTTGCCTCCCTTCTTCCACTTTGGTGTCCGGATGAGGAGAAGCAAGACAGCAGCGAGGGCCAGGAGGACACCCAGGCCTGGGGGGCCGCAGGGACTCACTTCCTGGGCCAGCCCAGAAAGCAGAGGCGCCACCACGCGGCCAACAGCTGTGACGGACTGGCCGGCCCCCAGCAATGTGCCACTGGAGCCGGGGCCCCCCCGGCGGAGCTCCAGGTCAGTCACACAGGTACGGCCGATGGTGGTGGAGATGGCGAAGAAGGTGGAGCTCAGGACCACGTGCCAGACGCTGTGTGCAGTGGCGTACAGGAAGATGAGGGCGCACGTCAACACTGTGGAGTGCAGCAGCAGGGCGGCCATGTCGTTGCCGTAGAGACGAGTGACGGGACCCACCAGGCAGCCGGCCAGGGCCCCCAGCATGCTGCTGTAGCTGATGAGGTACCCGGCTACTTGGGGGCGCAGTGCGAACCGCTCCTCCAGGGCCAGTGAGAAGTTGCTGTAGTACAACATAATGGCCACGGCCATGAAGAAGCGCACCAGGAAGACGTCCCACATGTCCGAGGAGGCCACGGCCCTCACACGCTGCAGAACCGAAGCCGGCGGCCCCTCCCCGTCTGAGCAGTTCATCACGGCCTGCTTTGGCCTGTCCCCCCGGGCGGCCTGACTGCTAGCGAAGCCCGGAATCTCGTTCCAGGGTAGGATCCAGACCAGGCCTGAAGAACCAGGACGTTACACGTCAACAAACATCCATCAACCCTCTAAACTCCATCCCTTCAATCAATCAATAAATAAATTACTGATCCCTGTGGGGAAATTCTCTTCTTATCTACCACCACACAAACACATATGTAGATAAGAGGAAGCTTAGCAGGGAAGGGCAGTTAGGGAAGGACCTCGCTCAAGGGCCTCCGGGGCTCAAACCAGCAACCTCCTGATCACAGGCATAGAGGGTTAGGGTTAGGGATCAGAATACTGAGGAAACGACCGAACACCTGCATTGAGGACGAAGATGGTGGCGCAGGCGAAGGAGGATGTGTAGAAGCCACCCTCCCGTTCGGCGAGATACCCGCCAACCACGGGGCCCAGGATAAAACCCACGCTGGATGCCGCGTTGAAGTGCCCCATCACCAGGGGGCGCTCTGTTTCCGACACCAGATCAGACAGAAGGGCCCGGCAGATCGAGAGCGAGTGCTTGAATAGCCCTGTGTGGGTGTGAAAGGGAAAGGGGGAGGTGAACGGGCTCTGGGGGGGCACAGATGACGACATCGTCCGTGCGGCGTTAAGGAAAATCTGACTCTCAAATATAGTTTAATCTCATCTTACATAGTTGTCAAAGCAAATTGGAGTTACCAGGGCGAGTCTAAGTGAAGTAAATGCATTTTCTGTCTTTATACTGTACTAATCCCAGTATGTATGTCATTCCTACAAGGGCACCATCATCTACACAGTTAGCAACTGTAAGCTTGTAGCATAAGCTGCAGTAGCAGACCCCTTACCCTAATCCTTAGCTAGCCGTTAACGTTCTATTCATTTAGCAACTTCATTTTTCACACTCAATTAGCCATATAGCTAAAACAATATTGTTGAAGGTACAACAGCCGAACCCTCGCCTGGGACTGCCACCTGCCACCTAGTGGTCACAAGCGTGATTCCTTAAACTCACCCACAGGGACCCTGGCGAGCACAAAGAGGGCGACGCTGGTGGAGAGGCCCAGCAGGGCGTAGCCCAAAGCACTCAGCAGGAGACAGGTGAGGAGAGAGCGCCGCCGTCCCACGCCGTCACTCCAGCTGCCCTGCGGGGCCACCAATGAGACACCGGCATGTGTGAGCAACAGTCAGGGCAGACATACACCAGGTCCGAAACACTCCACGGCTCAGGCCAATCAATCGGCTCCTTGCAGACTCGCCCTAACCTGTGCTCAGTCTCGCTAAGTTCATCGTGGCACCCCGTTCCATAATCAAATCACGGAAACTAGTTTTCTCAGGATGGCCTTTGTGATTGGTCAGGGGACTGGGAAGATAAAAGGCCCTTTCTCTCATCCTAATTGGTCCCATGACTCCTGTGTTTTAAAGGAATTCCTCAGCCTTGCAGTGCTGCGGCTCAGTCGCTCACTGAGGCTTTCGTCTATCCTGCGGTCCTCACAAACAATACAACTGTTCTGCTCCAAATTCCAGCGCTGCGTTAATTATGAAGCAGTGCGCCACATCGCCGGTGACTCTGCCCGTCTCCATGGACACCTGACAAAACAAAACCCCTCTAGGCGCCGTCCGAGGGCCGGTCATATCACTTGGCTGGGGACCTGCGGATTTGAGTTTATGTCACTATGCATAAATCAGGCAGCAACAGACTGTAACATAGTAACAATCCAAATGTCAGATTTGAAAGCAGCCATTTGTTTACCACGTTAATCACTCATTCCTTGGATGTAAATCGATGTATAAAATTCTTAACGGTCAAATGCTTCTAAAGTTGTTTCATGCAGTCGGCAGCAAACATCAGCCACACATCTGTTTACATTCTCATTGCAACCATGATTCATGGGAAATATGAGATTACAAAGCATAAATGGACAAAGAGGATATTTGTTAGCATAAATGTAACAGTGCAATAGGTAACTGGATGGTCAGGAAAACCTGTCAGGTGTGGAGAGATCAGAAAAACACTAATGATTTGTACGGCACAAAAATTCTCATTGATATCCAATATCAATACAAACATAGTGTCTCTAGGTGATGTTTATGCTTAATGTGAACACATTTTAAGTTCATTTCTGAAATATATGACATTACTCGAAAAAAAATAGATTTTGATATTTTCGGTGGATTTTCCCCCCCTTTTTTTTTAATTCAAGATGACTAAGACATGCAGAACATAAAGGGCAGAGAATATGTACATATCATAGAAAATGATGATACTTACTACTATTGTGCTTGAAAATAGCTGTAAAATGCCATAAGTTGCACCTGTAAATGACAAAAACAAAGCTGACTGCTCATGAACTCGTGAAGTTTGGCTGAACACCACGGCCATCTGGAGATCAGTGCGGCCTTGCAGCACAGGGTGATTAACCATTAAGGGTTGGACAAACAGAGGAGGTTGCTGAATGGAAGGGGTTTATGTTCACTGCACACCCTGGTGGTCACCTAACAGTCACGTTTCGCATCCCATAAAAGGGACGAGGTGAGCTGGCGATGTTCTGAAATGCCATTTCTTGGCTGGATGGGCTGCAGATGAGCCGAAGCTAAAGCTGCGAGACGACCGGCTGGTTATTCATCATCCAGCAGCATCGGACAGAAGTTTAGAGACAAACATGGACTGACCCACTATTCCAGCCATCGTCGGACTGGCCCCGAGGGACTTGATGTGATGACTCAGCAGAGGTATAACCATGCTGACTCCAAACAGGTCCTGGAAGGGGGGGGGGGGTTAAGGAGAAGACTTAGCTATGGCGCTTATGCATGTAGCGTGCACAAACACTGTGTCAGCATCACCAGGCAGCATGCAACATGACTTGCTGGAATATTTACACAACACTCATTACATAATGGTCAAAAACCAGAGATCCATGCTGATCCGTGGTGTAGAAGCAAAAGTTTTATAACTGGACGTATGAAGGACCTTAATTTTAAAGGGTTTAAGAGCCCAGATAGGGCTCTGCAGTTGTACTATGCGTGTAAATATATAGATGAATCCAGCTGTATAGTGAAGTAAAGCGCAATACCCCGAGCTGTCGCACTGACAAGTCAATCTGATGTGTAACTATACAAATGAAATTCAGAGCTCGATCTAGTTGGGAAGGCGTATGTGCGTGTATGGGGTGTAGTGCCCAGTCACTGGTCAGCGAAGGTGAGAGCAAACCCAGACTTAAGCGCTCAAACGGAGGTAGACGATGTCTCTCTAACCAAGCTGCTCATTTCCTTGATTCGAGTCATGCCAGGAATTTCAGCGGTATCACGGCACTTCCCATTACACTAACTCCTCAGTTACTGGGAGAGAAACGGAACCCTGTCCAACATCGCACGAGAAACACTGCTGTTTAACCAGCGACTCCTTCGTTCTTCAGCCTTTCAAGGTCAACAATCATCTGGGTTAATTGTCAGACTTTATTGGGCATCTTTACAGCTTCCAAATGTAGGCTGTCATTCCCGCGGGAACGTAGCAGGACGGGGATCCATAAAAGTGGAACACGGGAGCTGTGCTGGTGTCGACGCATTCTATCCCAAACAATATAACCCTCAATGCAGCTTGCAATAAACTTTAGCAATATAAAAGCGCATTGACACATTGTTAACTCGGAACCTCAACACACTTAGCGCCACTGGTCTCACGTTCGCAAAGCATCTTTTCTAAAGTCAGACACACATTTATCTACCAAGAACACAGTCGAAATTTGTCCCAAGATCGGGGGTCACAACTGCATAATGTGTCGACACTGCATATCATGTAGTAATTATACACCATAAACATGACAACAACACAGGGAAAAGTACACGTCACTAAAAATATCACGCTTTTTGGGAAAAAATACGAATGAGATACTGTAATTTATGGAGATCGACGTATCAGCCTGTATAATGAAGAGACAGAGACGTGTAGCTTAGGCTCTGCTGCACTGTGCACGGTCATATTCCTGTACAAAGGTGACTGTCACTCTGGCATTATGGCGTCCCTAAGCAGATCCGTTCCTCCGCTTCCGTATAACTCACCATGAATCCCACCACATACATGCATCGCAGGAAGCGCGGCCGCCCGCGGGGTCTCCGAGGTGAGCTGCATGCCGAGCCACACATTCTCCCGCACTGACTCGATTAACGCAGTGGCCTCTGCGGAAGCGCGCAGTGCGCGTCCTTGGCGCGGCCGCGTAACTGCCAGGCAGCTCCGGGGCTCCCACAAGGCGGCGCGTTGCAGGGGCGCGTTTGCTTATTTAAAACGAGCATATAAATACCACATCGCTATGTGATTTCCATCTTAATGTTTAAAGGGCGCTTAATGTGTGTCTGCGCTATACTCAACTGTGAGTATGTGATCACATACGTTTTCAGGGTCCCGAGTCCTTTCGGAGATGGTACAGTCCTTTAGTGACGTCACGCCACGGCGGTGGATTTAAATTGGGGGTGGCTTCTGCGCTGTGAGACTGCTTGTTTTTACTTTTGGCTTCTTGACGGTGATACTGTTAATAATGTAAAATGTAGTTACTTTGTACTTAAGACTCTATGTCAATTTGGGATTTCGAATGCGTGTTTTAGACAGTAATCAGGATAAGCTGAATTCAATGGGGCTTCTTTGCTCCCCATACATTTCTCCAGCGCTTCCAGTCATTCAGTACTGTATGTTCATAGGAGATTTTACTTAGGTGCTTAACTGACTACTGGTCAGATGAAAATGTCATTTGATTATATTAAGTTCAATAAAATTGAATATTCTAAAGTTTTATTTGAAAATTTGGTCTGCTAGTCATATCAAAGTGTAATGATAATTGATTGTACATTTATTTATGGTTAACTAATTCACGCGTGCTGGAAGTGAAATACAGCCTTGACGTAAAACATTTCACTGATACAAACAAGTCATATTCCCGTGTTTTTTAAAGCCTACATCGCGATCGTGTAGTGTGTTTTTTCCCCAGTGCAAGAGCGACACCATGTGGCCAATTAACGCTATTACGTGTCTAGTCAAAAAACGCGTCCTGTGAGATTCGGTAACTGCATGACCTCACATGTAGAGGCAAACCTCAATTTTTTTCGGCGTGAACCTTCTTTGACATCCCTGTTAATGTTCTACAAGAGTAACATATTGTGCAAGTATTATTTTTTTTTAATGAGAATTGGAAAATAGTAAATGCTTCATATGAAGTACAAACATTAATCGTTATATGACATTAACACTTGCTTCCTATGAGAAACTAAGATGGAGCAAATATAAAGGCGGAGAAAAAGGGGAGTCGACTCTTTTCTCAGCCCCGTATTAATTACCCCTCGTCTCTTTGCAGCCTGTGCAAAAATACCCCAGCTGTGTGACAACTGCGTTCGTCTCCTGTGGTATGGTGTAACCTTTCAGAACAGGAAGGCTAAAGTTTCAGAGCGATCCAGATGGTTTTGGAAGCTGCATGCGATTTCCTGTAAAACTCACAGGAGCCATTAAACATGTGCTGGAGGAGAACAGCTATCATTCTGAAGCTTCTGAGTGACAGGATGGCTGATCGTAATACTGTTTAATGCAGACCTCTGTCACATGGATCTGTATATATTTGTGCAACACATATGTTGATATGTCAGTAAGTAAACCTTAGAGTTGGATTATAATTTGTTAATGCCTGTATTCCCTTCCTTCACCACAAGGAATTCCCAACTTCTGTTCGAACACGTCTTTTTCAACCCCTAACTGTCCAACCTGTTGAGCTGTGTCCAAATGCTGGTTGATATTTCTGTGCTTGCCCCAAGGCCACGCCTCCCCTGCTGGGGAGTAACATGGGGGCCAAAAATAACGAGAAAAAAAATAACAAGGCAGGTCCAGGGAACTGGACCCCTGTGTTTCTTACGCGGCCAGGCAGACGGACAACAGACTCGGGACGGAACCATGAAGCTTAGTGTGGCGCTCTTCTTTGCCGGCTTCTTTGGAGCCCTTAGTGTCCTGTTCTTCCTGCTCTCTTTTGGGACAGATTACTGGCTCTTGGCCTCAGAGACCTGCAGCCCGGAGGACACTACACAGCCCCTGTTAGAGGTAAGCTTGTCTTTTTTGCGCCTGGCCGGGTGTAAGTCATGCCGATGTAATGTTTGCTTCTCGCTAACAGGTCCTGACATATTTTTTTTTTGCTGTTTAAAACCGGCTCACATGTGTAGGAATGGAGGAGATGATTCAGGGAAACAGAGGCCCGTGTCTGACAACCTCTCGCTGAGTGAAACTTATTATTTTCAACAGAAATATAGATGGAACACTGAAACGGAGCGCAGTGCTATTGGGGGAGGGCTTGACGTCACTTACTGTAACTGTCATGAGGCACAAGGGAGTGTGTTTGATGTCAGGTGTGGCATTAACACGCGTCTCGGGGCTGAGTGGGCTGCGGGCCAGGGGCAGACGCCCACACTGAAGCCTGGCGACAGCTGCTCTCTGGGGGTAAAAGGAGCGTGTGCTAATTTGGAGCTTTATGAGTCCCGCACACACCCACTTCCCAGCAAAACCACTGGCCATCACACGCATTGGCCCCGGTTGCGGCCGGAAAACAAGCCAGCCGCTTTGGGCAATGGGCTGCTGCTATTAATATGCAAGCCTGTATATCAGCTACTGAATGATATACTCTGAAGCTTTCGTGGAGAAAATATTATGAAAGGATTCCGGGCCAACAGTTGCCAGGGATAGCTGTTGTTGATGCCGGCATTTTCCCCCTCAGGGTGTGGGAAGAGGACGACCTTAGATCACGTATTTGCAGCATCAGCGCAGCTTCACGTTTCTGATTGGTTTTTCAGCAGGGTCTTGCTTACATGCTTGTTTGTTGACTGGCCCCTTTTATCTGAGGTGCCTCATGAATTAGTGCAGCAAAGTGCACTAGTAAGTACTTAGAGATGGTCACCTGCACAAGCACAGGAGCTGGTAGGTGTGGCCCAAGGCGGGGGCAGGGGGGCAGCGGCTCCTTAAAGATACGCAACATGTTTAATCACAGAAGTGTGTAGCTCAGAGAACATTTAGAGTTTTTACTGAGAAGGTATCAACGTCAGAAACCCCTCTCCCCCATGGAAGGCTTTTAATCCTGAGTCCTACTCAGGTACTGAGTACAGAGTACTTTAAGTACTGAGTATAAGTTTTAGATGGTGGCACACATGGACGCAGTGGCTTACGGCTCTCTCTCGTAATCTGCTCGTAATCGTAATCTGTAACTGCTCTGCAATTTCGTTATACTTGGAAAAATGACAATAAAAGGCTTCTAATTGTAATTGTAATTGTAATTGTAATTGTGATTCTCTGACCAGGACCCTGAAGGCAATAGTAACTATGATAGTCTCACAAAACTCTTGAATGTAAAATGACACAGTTCCACTAGAAGCCATGTGTATTGGCGCTGATGTTTCAGATCAACTTTGGCAGGCAGTTGGTGCAGTAAGGAGTTGTGAATGGGGTGCCTGCATTTGGAGGATGAGGGGAAAACGTGTGCGGCGAGGTCTGGGCGATGGAGAGAGGCCTGATGGAAGACGGTGACGGTTCCGCCCTACCGGGGGTGTGCGATGCTGCTCGGTGAGGCCGCAGCCCTGGCTGTGGGCTCGACCAGCAGCGGTGTGAAGTGTAGGCGGACCCCCCTGAAGCTGTACAGCTTGAAGCTGAGCACTGGAGCTCCAAGGTGGGAGTGGCTTTTGAAGACAGAAGACAGCTTCAAGCTGCTTCTCCTGGAAACTCCTCTGCCAGGATCTCAGTTTATCTCACTTTATTTTTTTGCATGTGATATTTTTTTCTGTATGGATGTATTTTCTGTCTGGCACAGCAGTTCTACTCCATGTTTACATTTTGACCCTATCTCACACTGCCGTTTATGCTCCACAGTTCTGCACGCACCTTACACTAGCTTCCCTGCATTATTCTCGTGTTACACTGTTATCCCGTGACCTCAGTCTGATTCCTTCCCCACAGCGAGGGGATGAGGTCTTGGCTGATGAAGATACCACTGGTTTCCACCACGAGGGCTTTTTCTGGAGGTGCTCGTTCAGTGACAAAAGCACAGACGACCCCTTGCTGAAGACCTTGCTCTGTAAGTGAGACCCGGTGATCTGGCTCAGGGTTTGAGGCAGGTTATGTAAGAAGGGTGTGATCCTGTTTCAGTCATTGGTCATCGTAACATGATTGAAGTTTATCTGTCCAAACAGGATCTCTCTGAAAGGAAACAGATTATATTCCGTCACCGAATCCTCTTTCAGTCCCTCTCAAAATCAGAGTATTCAGACATGGAGTGTTTTGAATCACGGGTCAGGAGAATGTTCTCACTGAATATCACTATGGAATCATTTTTCTCCCCGACAACTTAAACCTACCATCGAGAAACGGGCAACTTGAGAAACAAATTCTTCCCTTTATAATCCTCACTAATTTAGAATTATGAATGAATGTCACCATACTCACGCGGTAGGGAAACAGTAACAGGCAGCTGACACAACAGAAAATTGCAGATTAACAAAACCACATATAAAGTGTGGGATTCACAAAAACCGTCATGAATGTCAAGCTGACGAGTTTAGGATCGCTTCACTGATTTTCAGCACTCTTTAGCTTCTGTATGTTGTTTCTTTGTGTCTTTATGTATTTTCTCCCAGTCAACCAGCCTTTTTCCAAGAAATGCGTGCAGTCCTACTTGCAGCCGTTTCCCATTGTAGAGAACAATGGAACCGTTCCACAGTCAGCCATCAGTAAGTATGGTCCATGCAGCCATATTACGAGTTGTGAATAAAGGTCTGAAATCTATACCTCCACACTAAACTTAGCTGTACTAGAATAACTTGACTCATCCATCTGCTGAACTATTTGTCTTTTCTGTCTCTGAGATCTCTGAAATATCTGATAGCTGATTGGTGGTCTGTCATGATGACCACTCTGTGTTTGCAGTCTACAGAGGATTCTGGAGCGTCTTCATGCTGCTGGGCGTGGTCACTGCGGTGGCAGCTGGCTTCACCATAATCTGCGCCGCCCCCTTTGCCAGTCACCGCCTCTACAAGGCGGGTGGGGGTCTTTTCCTGATTGCAGGTGAGGTCTTCGTTTTCATGATGGTTTGCCAGATGTTTCCTACCGTGAAAATGTCCTGCAAGCAGTGTCCTAGACGGGCGTCACTGCCGGCACATGCTGTCTGTGACAAAGTGAAATTCACTTGCTAAATCAAGGCGCCCTCAGAAGACAGTGCCCTAGGCAGCCGCCTATACGTCACCTAATGGGTTGACCGGTACTGCCTGCAAGTTACAGTGGAGGTTACCATACCAACAGCAAACTGTGGGATTATTGTGCCGTTGTGTTTTTCCACAAGGCCTCTTTCACACAGTTAATCCCTGAA